TCCATAATAAAAAACAGCCTTTTCACTGAAGAAGTGAAACTTATCATTAAAAACAACAACTCCAACCCTTTATCAGTTCTAGTGGTCCAAACCCAAGAAATCCATTGAAACCCCGGGCAGACCTGCCATCAGCGGTCTGGCTTCAAAGGCGTCCAGAGGCTGGTCGATGGGACCGGCCTTTGCGCGCTTGTCGATAACCCTGCTCCCTGGTTAGTAAGTCCCCGCTCTTCGTGGACTATCCATGATTTATATCCCATAGGATCCATGTATGGGATATATGCTAACATTGGGGGTATATAGATGGTAAATGTTACCATATATAGCATACATGGATCCTATGGGTATTGATTTATCCTATAGATGAGTGAACTCAACTCGCTACTTCCCCACCTGCCAGGTGAGGGTTGTTAGATTTTATGTCAGTTGCCTCCTCCTGCCTCGCCCTCCTCCTCCTCCTCTCCTGCTCGTCCTCCTCGTCCTCCCTCCTCCTCGTCGTCCTTGTCGTCCTCGTCGTCCTCGTCGTCCTCGTCGTCCTCCTCGTCCTCCTGCTCAACTGCGACTCGCGATCCACAGTGTTCGCTGCCGGACCTCAACCACGACCATCCACGCCCAGTGTTCCCTGCCGGACCTCAACCACGACCATCCACGCCCAGTGTTCCCTGCCGGACCTCAACCACGGCCATCCACGCCCAGTGTTCCCTGCCGGACCTCAACCACGACCATCCACGCCAGTGTTCCCTGCCGGACCTCAACCGCGAGTATCCACGCCAAGTGTTCCCTGCCGGACCTCATATAGGAAGATAAAATGTCAGATAGAGTGCCAGAAGATTTGCCAGGTAGAATGCCAGAAAATATGCCAGAAGATATGCCAGATAGATATGCCACAAGATATTCCAGAAGATATGCCAGATAGAATGCCAGATAGAATGCCAGATAGAATGCCAGAAGATATGTCAGAATATATGCCAGAAGATATGCCAGATAGAATGCCAGATAGAATGCCAGAAGATATGTCAGATAGAATGCCAGAAGATATGCCAGATAGAATGCCAGAAGATATGCCAGAAGATATGCCAGATAGAATGCCAAATAGAATGTCAAAAGATATGTCAGATAGAATGCCAGAAGATGTGCCAGTAAGAACATGTATAAATGTCATGGTGGGGATCACACGAAGTAAAGTACTTTTTTTTTTGGTTCCTAACCACTTGCCATTCGTGTCACGGAATCTGGACGCCAGCAGCTAGGTAGCTGCATTCGACGACACCCCCGCCTTCAGCCAGCTGCTCAGGGCTTGCTGTCTGGCAGGGTCAAGAGTTACATATTTTAGTGGCTCATAAAAGTGACAAGTTATATAGTAATGTATAGCAATATAAGATAATATAACTATGTGTAAGCTGTACTGACGATTGATAGCAACTAATTTGACAATTATAACTATAGTTGTGCCACTTACATGATTGTAGCATATTATAGCGACGTTCAGTTGATAACATGTGGTAACTAACGTTGAATTGCAACTAATACACAGTTGCGTTACACACAAGTTTATATGATTAGCTGTTCTATATAATAAAAGTTGTAACTAGTTTGATGTAACCAAGGTTTATAGTAGATACTAGTCAATGGGATGTTGTAAACCAAGAAACAGAACACCACGGGGCACTGTGGCAGCAAGGCCGACGTTTCGACCAGCAACGAAACAAACACGGAACACTTTTCAGAACATCATCATTGTTCGGAAGTGAATCAACAAACAAAATGAGCCATCTGTGGCCATCTATAGAATCTAGAAAACATAGCTAATATAGCTATGTGCGTTTACCTTAATCCAACCTTTTGGATCCTACAAATGGCACCCAGCTAGCTGGGCAATAAAACCAGCATAGTTGGGAAGTTGGGAAACCAAAAAAAAAGAGTATGCAATTCCAAAAGAACACCCAAAAATACCCCATACAATAAACATCAATAAACCATCCCCCTCTTTACCAGAAACCGGTTGTATAAACATCCCCAAATTTAAAGCTTTATGGCACCTTGAGTGTCCCTCATTATTCATCACTAGTACGGTGCACATCTAAAAATCACCGGGGTACCCCGGTCGAGGCAAGGCACCCCAGGTCGAGCTATGGGTTCTTAAATGTTTTGAGCTCATGATTACTGGGTAGCACCAGCACAATATTAGTCAAATTAGGGTCATGCAAAAGGGTACGACAAAATACCACAAACACGGCATGGCAACATCCCAAGCATCCCCACCTTCCAGGTTTTTTCACCTTTTCGGCCCCTCAGCGTGTGTGCTGCACTCAGAATGACGTTGTCAACATGGGTTTGCCCCAAACAAATGTGTCCACAATGGGGTCATTTAGAGTCGGAAAACCGGTGGAAATTATGATGATAATTAATAATTAAACCATTGACTTCCAAAAAACATCCGGAGCTGTCCCACCGTGCAACAGGGGGAACATGGATCAGAGGGATCTAATCAGCTATGGCTGGTTGGTGGTTTCAACCCCTCTGAAAAATATTAGTCAGTTGGGGTTACTATTCCCAACTGAATGGAAAGTCATAAGATTCATGTTCCAAAGCACCAACCAGTTATTCACTATAGATTCCCCATTTCTAGTGGATGTCCCATTGGGAAAATAAGCCAAGGCGCCAAGGCCTTTTGATCCTTTTGGGAGGGAACATGGATCAGGGGGATCACGGGGATACGGATCCGGTGCCAGGATGAGGTACTCCCCCCGAAATTCCTTGGAGAAGTTCATTCTCTGGTAAATGACATACCCGGCCTGGTAAATGTTTACATAACGAACTGGAAAGATCCACCATGGTTCAATGATGTTCAATGGGTAAATCCACGAACTAAATCACCATTTTCAAGAGCTATTTTGACAAATTACCAGAGGGTACAATGTGGGTCCCCCCAGTGATGTTTGATGGTTTATAAACCCCATGAAAACTATAGTTATAGGTACCATAAACCAGAGTTTTTGGAGTTATATATAAACCAACTTAGCTTAGTTTGTAGCCTCCCTGAGCAAAGTTAGCGGCCCAGATGATCTCACTCCAGGAATCCTCCACGATTCCAACATGAAAAAAAAATGTTCAAAATGGGACCAGGAAACAGGAAACCATGCTTTGTCCCAGACATAACATGCTAAGCACCAGTAAGATAAGGGTTTGCGCAAAAATACGAGGGCGCTGGAATCAGCAATGTTCTTGCGATGTGTTTCATAGAATCAACTTCGACAAATTTTGAATCTGTTGAATAATCAATATATGTATCTCTTTTGTCAGATCATCTGAATGTGTATATCATGTATTATATACATAAGATAAGGGTATGGCTCAAATGACGGGTATGGGCGTGTAAAAGGTTGATCCAGACCTATTGCGAAGGTACTATACTATAATGGCCTGGTGTGAGCACATTTTTTTAATTTGGGTACAGGATGGGGACCCCCAGTTATAAGATGGTTTATAAACCATTATAACCCCCATTAACTATAGTTGTATCTACCATAAACGATAGTTAAGCCACTTATAAGGCAGCTGAACGCTATCGACTGGGGGCCCCATCCTGTATGGATCATATCCCTTAAGAATGTATGGATCACGGGTATGCTAACCATTCCCTGACCATCCATACTTCATTGATAGCATGTAAACACTAATAATTATTGTATATATATATGTATAATCATATATATATAATATCAATAATTATATCCAAACCTATTCCAAACTGATAGATTATAAATATACACACTAGCAATATTATATCCAAAACTATTCCAAACTGATATATTATATTATATTATATTATATTATATTATGTTATTATTATAATATATATACACTATTAATATTATATCCAAACCTATTCCACACTGATAGATTATGTATATATACATATATATGTATATACTATGAATGGTTGTATCCAAAGCTATTCCAAACTGATAGATTATATATACATATATATATATAATATCAATATTTACTACATTTGTGGCACCACCATGGAGGTAGGGTCGCCGAGGGCCAGGCATTCCTCACTGCTGTTGGCCACTTCCACCTAGCCAGGGACGCGATATGGACAGTCAGAACATGATTTTCATGGTTAACAATGGGTTAGTCATGCGGTTAATAGGTGTCATTAGTGGGTTAATGATGGGTTGATAGGTGTAATAAAACTAATCATGGGTTCATTCATGTGTACCCTCTGGTTATTTAACATAGCCATGGAAGCCATGGCCCATTTATAGATGGTTTACCTATTGAACATGGTGATTTTCCAGTTCGCTATGTTAAACAACCAGATGGTAATATAACGGTTAATAATGGATGAATCATGTGTCAACATCATAGGTGAATCATGGGTTGATATAACGGTGAATAATGATGATATGACATGATATGAATGGGTTACAACCCTCTGGTAAACGTTTACATATCTAGGGAAAATCACAATTTTAATGGGAAAATCCACTATACATGGTAATCTTCAATAGCTATGTTAGTCATTACCAGAGGGTAACTTGCATGGTTAAAAGTTAAAAATTGCTTAATAAGTAATGGTTAATTTTCATGGATAATTATGGTTCATGGCAATAGTGGTTATATATAGTGAAAAGCAAAGTACATAACCTGCCGGACCTGGGGATGGCTCGAATCGGAGCCATATGGTGACTTGGGGATGGTTTATGACATGGGCTTTGCCACATCAATGGTATTGATCAGTGGGAAACAAGTCGCAAGACACATGAAAAAGATGAAGAAGTCGATATCAAGTAAAAGATGGATCTAAAAAATAACTACCATTTATGGTCTACCATGGTGGACACATGAAAAAGATGAAGATTCAAGTGTCATTTTTTAATGGAGAAAATCATCATCAAGCAGTGGATGATAATGGATGGAATAGCGCTGTTTTCCACCTTGCCATGGATCAAGACATATGGTGAAACATGCTGATCACGAGCCCCATGACCGGATCACGAGTTGCTGAAATACCTCAGTCAACGAGCCCTGAAAAAAAAGCACCTGCGATTGATAAACATGTACCCTCAAGCCTATACATGTGTGGTATGTATATATATATATGTAATATGTCTATATATACATATTACATATATATATATACATATGCATATTATATACACAAAGTATATAACATACACATATGCAAACACATACATATACTGTAAACATTTGTATACATTTGTCAGCTCCATCCGAGCGAAGGCTGCCCAGGTTTGATGAGGGCACCCAAGACATTTCGCTTGTGAATGTGCTGTGGAAGATGGGACTGAAGGAGGACTAACAAGAGTTGCTCATATCTGTAGCAACTACTGTACTGGCATTTGAAAATTCTATCTAGAGTGGATAGCAAATACTACAGCGACCAGATCTTTCTTCTGAATACATGATGGCTCTGAAAATCACTCCTCAGAATTCCTATGAGCCAGCACGCGTTCAGCCCTAACCGATGGATCAATCATTCAGAGAAAATTACGAGTTGCGATTTTTATTACATGGGCTTTTTTTGTAAGAAAACAGTCACAGGGCCCTTGGGCATCTGATGTTTGAGCTTAAATAGCCACAATGTGAGGCCCCCCAGTTATATGTTGGTTTAGATTCGCCCCAGTAACTATAGTTTGTTATTTGCGTACCATAAACCATAGTTATTGGACTATATTGGAGTTATGTGGCCCCAACCTGAGCTATCGACCGGGGGCCTCACATTGCACACATTTGCCGAACACGGTGGAACACGCTGGAACCCGGAACCCACCGAGGAGCGCTGGAATGCGGACATTCCTCCGCTGTCCGAGCTGGCTCGAGCCAGGAACCCGGGAAACCCCAAAAAATGTGCTTCATCTGACCATCAAAGATAGTACCCTCTGGTAATTTAACATAGCTATTGAAGATGGCCAGTTATAGTGGATTTTCCCATTAAAAATTGTGATTTTCAATAGTTATGTTAGTTTACCAGAGGGTACACCCCCAAAAAAAGATGCCAATTCCAAAGTTACCCAGATTTTGAATCTGTTAAAATGCTTTAAGCTTAAATCAGATCAATTTACCCGGGTTTTACCAGCTTCGACCTTTTCGGGGGTAGGATTTTCGGACCAATTGCAAAGGCGACGCTTTGGTGAGAAGTGAGTGTTCCGAAGCCTCATTGCCGTATACTGGTTGGTGAAGAACGGGATTCCCAGTTCATTGATTATGATACATGATATCCAATGTATATATGCAATGTCAACACCGGATTAATAACCCCCCCTATAGGTCTAGGTAGACCTTGTGATGCACCCCTTAATAATAAGCACCTTCTAAACCATAAAACTTTGGATATGGCTTGCGTCAATTAGATCTTCATAGAATTCCATTGGATTTGACAAGGTTTGATTGTTAAAATCTCATGGATCAGAAAGGGGGTTGATTAATAAGGGGCAAACCCTTGTTAAGTTATTATTAATGGGGGACATGGGCTCATGGGGGGGTACCCTTTGGGAGCTATCCAAACTGATGATTCTTATAAAGCATTTAATCAGACATCGATCATTTGGGGAATAGTTGTTTTTTGAAATGTTCAATGATCAACTTAAACCTTAAGTATAACAATGATGAGTTCTGAGATTGATGAGATAAAAAGAATTGGAAATAACACATGTTGGATAAAAAAATGAGATTTCAGCACTGGTGGTTTATTAATCGGGGGCATGCCAACGTGTTTATTAATCTGGGGGGACCACCTGTTTTTAAATTGCATTTTTTTTGGGAGGAGGAGGTTGGTTAATAACGGGATGTTGATTAAAATCCTGACATGACATTATATGTATAAATAAATATATGTCTATATATATATATATTTATACATGTATATATATATATATATTTATGTATACATTACATATAACTAAGTTTTATTTTGGTAATGAATATGTACCTAGTATATATATATATACATTATCTAGTACTTCTGTACCTAGTATGTATACATATATATATATATATATATAATTATATATATATATAATTATATACATATTTTAGGTACAGAAGTACTTGGAGGATCCGTCCTAACCAAGCAAGGCGCGGCGCGTTACCCCGGATTGGTCCTGGATCGCAACTTCTCCTTGGCCATGACCATCGTGGCGTTCCTTAGAAAAATTCGCGCGGCAGGCAATGGGAAAAGCCATAGAAAGTGGGCTACCCATATTTTAGGACAACTCCATATTAATTGATATTTTTGTATTGAATGGGAATATATTAATCTAGGAATATTGATATATTAATTGAATGGGAAAAACAATAATCTAGGAATATTGATATATGAATTGAATGGACATATATATTAATCTAGGAGTTTTCTCCTAGATTGAAGGTACCTAGCCATATCAAAGGTACAGTAGCTCCATTTTATGATCCTGAAATTACGATTGATTAATTGGGAAGCTCCAGTTTGGGTATAATATGAAAACTCCAACCCCAGTATTTCATGATGATTTTTCACATCGACATCTTATTTCTTGTGTAACCAAAAAACAAAAGATGTGGACAGCTTCAAATGATCACTATTTCAGTAGAATTTCAATAACTTCTATCTTTGTGCGGGTTATGCATTGTTTTAATCAATTTTCGGGTTTAAGACCATTTTAAGCTAAGTGCAAGGACCAAGTCTTCCGCCAAGTGCGATCTCCATTCCGAAATGGTGACGCTGACATTTTTGGGGCTTGGGATAGGTTTGGGACGGTTTGGGTTTTGTTACCCGTTATTACCCTCCGGTAAACAAACATAGCTACTGAAAATGTTCCATTTATAGTTGATTTACCCATTCAAAATGGTGATTCTCCATAGTTATGTAAACGTTTACCAGAGGGTATATTGCTGGGTGTGTTTTCCTCTAGCGACCTCCGTCCTCTTTTGGTTGTTAGACTCGCAGGTTTTTGATGCATCTGTTGAATCTGTTGATATTCCAGCACTGGTGACGCATCTCAATCTTTCGCTGGCAGAATTTCACCAATTCAGAACAACCTTGAATCACATCCTATCACCAATAACTATGGTTATTGTACTTATAACTATAGTTACTGGGGCGAATCTAAATCTAAACCAACTTATAACTGGGGGGGCCTCACATTGTAATCATCATGCCCTTCTACGCCTACATGGCCTACATCCCCAAGTTTGATGTTCGACGCTGAGTCGCTTTCCATAGTCTGAAACACCAACAAGTCGCTGAGCTCGGAGAACCCGTAGCGCAGAAAGATTTTCCAGTACCGTACCCATAGGATCAATGTATGCTATGGTGTCCCATAAATCCCATCAATATACCCCCTTTATGTTAGCATTTTTCTACCAGCACCATGGATCCTATGGGGTATTAAATAAGTCGCATATTTTGGCCATGACTAAGTCGCTTGGGATTTCAGCCATCCTAAAACCCGATGGCTAAGGCTCTGCTCTCGGGTTCGATCAGGGAACCACCAGTGCCTGGCAGATTTATCACATTTGGGCTTTGCTTCTGAACCAGATCAATTGATATAAATGTGTGATATAAATGTGTGAAACATAATTTAAATATATTTAATTTAAATATCTTTAAGATATATGTTTAAGTACATGTATAATATACTTCAATTAGGTTTTTCGATCGGATGGTATCTGTATCAAGACTGCTTACCGTCAATCACAGAAAGTTGGAGGAGAACATGTCGATGGAAGCTTCATGAGCACGAAGTTGATGAGGATCGAATCGATGCTTTCCAAGTTTGGTGCCGGGAAAAAATCCTGTCAGGATTATTGAAGCCCTGGTTCGTTTTATTTGGAACAAAATGCGCTTTGTACAGTAGCCATGACGAATGCTTTTTTGGTGGTGACAACTCCCAATTCAAGCAGGAATTGGTTCTAATCCTGGGTTGAAATTATCCTTCCGTGAATCTTCATTCTATCCGTTTTGAGTTGTCTGGCTTTCTTCATCAAGTTGACTATACCTCAGCTCCGTTGAGTTTTTGGATACAGTTGAAATATGTCATTCAACCTTGCCCGGTGTCCAAATGGATAGGTGTCAATCTTATATCCCAAAACAACCCAAAACATTAAATAACTAAGTCCAAAATCACCAAAATCCAGATCAGAAGTGGTCCTGAACGATAGATAACTTGGTTTACAAACCTGCTAAGGAATCATGGCGCTGGGGTTCCAAGACCAACACACCATACTGGTGAGGCCCTTCCAAGCGAACCAAGGCGCTCTTCTAAAAAGATCTCCTTAGGCCGTCGGTAGCGCTTGTTGGTGGTGTTTTCTGCAGAAGATGACTAGGATGCCGTGTGAGCAACAGCTTCTTTGACTCGTTCTCTTCAAGAAAAAGAACAATCTCACTTAGACTTTCAGATCTTTCAGTCGAGGAAAGGTCCAGCATACCCAATTCCAACATTGTGCTATATAGTTGCTGATCTCCCCATTTCACTTACAGGTGGCTTAGTTTACCGCAGTTATGGACATTGCCCCTACTTTCCCTACAAGGTGGTGTCCCCGAGTTATGTGTGTTACTTTATAACTCTCATCAACTATAGCATACTAGAGTTAAACATATGTCATAAGTATCATAATGTATCATATTAACTATAGATATAATATGTTATACAATGATATAAGACGTTACTGTATACGATGTTATAACATGTTGTAAGGTGTTATAAGATGTTACAAGATGTAATAAGATGTTATAACATGTTACAAAATGTAATAATATGTTATAATATGTTATAAAGTGGTATAAATTGATAAAATATGTTATAATATGTTATACAATGTTATACAATGTTATAAAATGTTATAAGATTTTATAAGATGTTATACAATGTTATAACAAGTTAAATCAAATTATACGATGTTTTGAGATGTTATAAGACGGTATGATATGTCATACAATGTTAAAATATGTTAAACACTGTTATAATATGTTATACGGTGTAATAACATGTTACAACATGTTATATGGTGCTATAAGATGTTGCAATATGTAATAAAATGTTATAACATGTTAGAATGTGTTATACGATGTTATAAGATGTTACAAGATGTAATAAGATGTTATCAAATGTTAGAACATGTTACAATATGTTATAAGATGATATACAATGTTTATAAGGTGATATAATGTGTTATAAGATGTTATAGGGTGTTATAAGACGTACAATATGTAATAATATGATATAACATGTTAGACTGTGTTATAAGATGTTATAAGATATTATAAGGTGTTATAAGATGTTACAATATGTAATAAAATGTTATAATATGTTATAACATGTTACACGATGTATAAACCATAATATAGTCATTGGAGTTATGTGCGCCAAGCCATTCCAACCTGGGGCACCGAGTATCATCCACTAGCTCTGCCTCCTTAAACTCTGCTAGGCAGGGCATCACGTCATACTCTGCCCCCTCGGCGGATCTATCCACGAAGTCAGGACATGGAATTCAGTGGGATTACAATGGATGATAAAAGGAAATGGTATAGAATTACATGGTATAGAATCCATGGTATAGAATATATAATTATGAATAAAGGATAGAATTACACAGTATATATATATATGTATATATATATATGAATATATATGATTATCCATAAATGAATATATATATATATATACACAGTATATATAATTATGAAAAACGGATAGAATATCATGAGAATTTAGGACATGGTGGTTGAATGGGACTGAAGATGGAGATCATAATATGTCTAAATGAGTTTTTTTTTTTTGGCGGGGCAGTAATTGGAATGTGTGTACTCTGAGCCAATCTTTGTGAATGGATGTTTTAACCAACAACAATAGGGATTTATAGGAATATCATTGGGATAACAATTGGAGAATAACCCTCCGGTGTCATCAAACCCGGCGGGCCGGTAGGAATTCCCCGAACTTGTGGACATTAAAATGGGAAGAAACATATCAGACTGAATGGGGGATTTTCCGAGCCGTGTTTGATTACTGGAGGATAAGAACAGATTTTTTTACCTGCAAGCGCAACCAAACATAGCCACGGTTGGGCATCCCTATGGTAGCGAAGAATCCCTAGAAAAGCAAGACATACAAAGGCTATGTGTTGCAGTTGAGCATCCGTGTGTTGTCTGATTAGCTGCGGAAAATTGTCTACTTCCATGAACTGCCTATCAAAAACTCTTATTTTCCAATGCTCTGTGAACATTACCAGAGGCTATTTTTTCAATCAAAAATTAGTATGGTGGTTAGTTCATTGGCTAGTGAATTATCAGCCTATAATCTCGCCTTTGTGAACATTACCAGAGGCTATTTGTTCAATCAAAAATTGGTATGGTGGTTAGTTCATCGGCTAGTGAATTATCAGCCTATAATCTCGCCTTTGTGAACATTACCAGAGGCTATTTGTTCAATCAAAAATTGGTATGGTGGTTAGTTCATTGGCTAGTGAATTATCAGCCTATAATCTCGCCTTTGTGAACATTACCAGAGGCTATTTGTTCAATCAAAAATTGGTATGGTGGTTAGTTCATCGGCTAGTGAATTATCAGCCTATAATCTCGCCTTTGTGAACATTACCAGAGGCTATTTGTTCAATCAAAAATTGGTATGGTGGTTAGTTCATTGGCTAGTGAATTATCAGCCTATAATCTCGCCTTTGTGAACATTACCAGAGGCTATTTGTTCAATCAAAAATTGGTATGGTGGTTAGTTCATCGGCTAGTGAATTATCAGCCTATAATCTCGCCTTTGTGAACATTACCAGAGGCTTAACCATGTTAACTTTGGGTATCTATCCGATATGGGTCCTTAAGTCATGGGGATCCCCAGTCGTCACCAATGGTTTCCAGTCGCGAAGTCATGACTTGGATGACTGGAAACCTCCATGGTTCCCCATCACCGGCCTCGATGTCGATCTTCAACATGACCCAATCTTCAGGGATCACGCTCTCCTGAAACTCTGGTACCCTCCGGTGTCATCAAATGTTGCTGGAAAATCCCCGATCGAAAAAATTGGAGGTTTCAAGTTTCAAGGAAAACATCATCTATATTAGCTATATAATGCTACAGTATCTATTATATATAGAGATATGGATTTTCGATTGCCATGTTTGATTACCGGAGGGTCAATCTGAAACTCATACCATGACTCGGTGAAACTTGGATGGTGAGCGATTGATCCAGTTGGTTGACCCAGTATGTCATTCCCATTCAAATTCAATTTTCCAATAAACATATATGAGCGATTGTGAAAACCCTAGGTTCACGGAAAGGACATCCACAAATTTGGGAAGGTTCCATCGCTTACCACACGTTTGTACAATAATGATATATGGTAAACTTGGGGGGTATCGCTTGCAGGAAACTGCTGCATTTATATATATATATATGTGATGAACTATGAATAATATGTGATATTTGGGTATCGCTAATGTGGATATTAGAGAAATATGATGACATAACCTTGAAAAGGGGTATCGCTAATTTGGGAAGGTCCCATCGCTTACCTCGTGTTTTTAACAATTTCCATCAATTTCCATAAACCAATGTCCGTCGAATACATATTTAGTATTGCCGGGGTTTTTACGGTTGCTCATATATATATATATACATATTATATACATGTATAACATATATATATATATATAATATGTATATATATATATGATAAATATCCTCTCTGAATATTAGTCCCCTATTCTATCCCATCATATCTCCCCTTTAAATGACCGTGAAGTCACCAGTGACACCGACTTAAAAAATCCACCGTCCGCACTCCAGCAGCAGCTTGTTGACGTTGATGGTGGGAACTGTCACCTTCCGAAGCCCCACATTCTCCACCTGGCGACGTTTGGGACAGGGACATGTCAGGAGTGCGAAGAAGGGAATAAAAAAACAACATGTGCCCATGTATATATATATATTCCCACATATATTCCCATTATATATTATATATATGACATTAGAACCACACCTGTGACATCTGACCCTTCATCTCGGGCGTCTTTTGAACTTCATCGAAATATCGATGGCTTGCACACAAAGTTGCTATATCGGCGACTGTCCCAAGGCAAAGAAAAGTTCGATCCACTCATAGATGGCAAAACATCTGACAAGACAACTACATTAGTTGGTGGTTTCAAGTGGTAAGTTGGTGGTTTAATGTGTTATGGTGCTCTGAAATGACGCCCAATCATCATCCAAGAGTAACATACAGCAATACATCACAGATTGGATCAAATGGGTGATTTTTAATCTATCCTGAAAAGAGATCAGCCATTGGATCACAATCCCAAAGATGATTGAACGCCTGTGAGTGTCTTTCCTACATTCTGTATTCCCCTAAGATACTGTGGATGGTTGCGAATTCCTGCACCAGTTGATAAGTGGTAAACATCCCATTATTTATAGGGTTTCAACCATTCTTTTGGTGGTGCAGGATTTCTTCCATCCACGGTATGACCATGTTAATAGGTAAAATAACCTTTGGTAATTTGGCATAGCTATTGAACGTCACCATGTTTAATTTAATAGGTAAGTAATCTATAACTGGGCCATTTTCAATAGTTCTGGGCAAACTATAGTAATTCTCTGACTTGAGGTAATGCCATTTTGGGATGATTCCCCTTATTAGACCATGATTCCAGGGTTCGGGAGAACAGTGAGGTCGTTATAATTTACCTAGATAATGTAACAAATTACCAGGGGGTAAATTAAAATCGTGATCCAATTCCTGATATCTTGCGGGTTTTCCGACGGGGTGCAAGGCTCGAGCCCCAATAGTTGTGCACTGAATCCGGGTCCTTAGTTTTCAGCAGGGCATTTTGTGTGGCTCAAATGGAGTGATGTCAGTGATGTGCATTTCAGCCTGATACATATGGAATGTATATGGAATGTATATGGTGCAATTAAATGATCAATGATTTGGGCTGCCCTAGGATCACGCTTCACCCAATTTCTTGTCGCCCAGTTTCCACAACAAATCCATAGAATCGGTCATTGTCAATATGTAGCCATCCTTTTCGGGAGGGTATCTAAATTTCCAGCAACACAACGTGGCCATGTGGCCATGTCTTTATGATCAATAGCTATGTTAGTTTACCAAAGGGTCAATGGTTATTAATGGTGATGAAACCAATAGTGAAACTTATATAGTGATTAAACCAATAATAAGCAATATAATGATCCAAAATGGGATATCACCAACCAATAGTAACCAAAATGTTAGTTTACCAGAGGGTAAATCATGGTAAATCCCCTTGTTTGTGGGTTAAATCACCATGTTTTTTAATGGAAAAGCTGGTCCCTGAGCCAAGCTTTGATGGAAAAGCTGGTGCTGGTTTCGCAGCTATACGCGGCCGTGCCTGGGCGCCCAACGAAGCTTCGGCCCAGCCACAGCTGTCAATTTAACATAGCTATTGAACATAGCTATTGAACATGGCCCATAGAAATAGTTGGTTTACCTACTCAAAGTAGTGATGTTCCATAGTTTTTTTGTATGTTTACCAGAGGGTACTTCCAAAAATGAACCAAATCATCCCAAATGTAGACTTACTGAGTGGGTTTGCTGCCTGAAAAAAAATATAACCATTTTTTCATTGGGTCCGCTAATGGCTGAGTAGGTACACTATTCCATATCCAGTAATTACATGGATGGAGCTATGAACCTCTGGCTATGGGTCAAAACATGTCAAAACGGAGGATTCCCACGTGGGTCGCGTTGGTCATGGAACACTCACCACCGATCCACAAATTTTGACCCAAATTCGGGGGGTACCTGGCCGGGGGGTTGGCTGAGAGCCTATGATGATTGTACAAACGCCGATGTTAAACCAAGAAATACCAACACCATTTGGCCAGGTGTATCCAGCAAAAGATAGCAAAAGGTATTCATCTTTTGTTTGGGACAAAATGTTGAATGTTTTTATCTGGTAAATGTCACTGTGTACCGGAAAACAATTGCATCAAGTTGTACCATTGATACCATCCCAAATTTGTGCCAGTGTTGACCCATGGGTGTGCCTCTTTGAGACTAGAGGATCCCCTAGTCAAATGGCCCTGCAACAGTGAACCGGATAATATATATATATATATATTACACATACATTTATATATATATATATTACATATACATTTATATATATAAGCATAAATTACATCATATATATGTCATCTTTTGGACTTGAGGATGCCCCGCCTGCCAAAGACTGAACCTTTTCAGGCAAGTTCTCCTGCAGCGCTTGCAGCTTCCTCGGCAGATCAAATGTGTGGGTCATCAGAACACTACCTGCCTGGAAGCTGCGTGTCCAGTTTGAACCTGCTATGGTTTCTCTACAAAGTCATGCGTTCTATAAAATTGGGGGCCCAATTACCCCAAAATTCAATCTAGATAAAACGTTTTATAGGGATGGAGGACCCTCGCGATTCCAAAAAGGGAGGTTAGGTAACCCCTTGGAACACTGGTGATTTCTTAGAGTTTGTCATATTCAATCCTACCAATGCGAAATCATCTATATCTGGTTTGTGGTTTCAACCCCTCTGAAAAATATGAGTTCGTCAGTTGGGATGATGACATTCCCAATATCTGGAAAGTCATTCAAAATTCCATGGTTCCAAATGTTCCAAACCACCAACCAGATACCCTCTGGTAAACTAACATAACTATGGAAAATCACCATTTTTAATGGGAAAATTCACTATTTCAATGGCCATTGCAATAGCTATGTGAGTTTACCAGAGGGTATATGTTATTTTCTCCAGCATATTCAATCAACCCTATTTGACCATATATGACCCATGCCTTGCGCGTTCTGCGCTTTTTTGCACTGGACTCCTGGCCTTGGAAGTGGAATCCTGGCCTTTTTATGGCTCCCGACATCAGGGATTTCTATAAGTTCAATCAGCCGCCAAGCGGCGCGAAAAAAACTGTCCCAAATGATCTTGTCCCGTTTGATTTGCTGCATCTAAAAAAAAAGTGATTGGTATTGGTGAAGCCATCTAGATTTGGCTGCTAATTCAACAAGCTCTAGCTGTTACGGCCTGGGGGATGATTTCCCCCATCCTAATCATTAGTGACGTCACAGCGTATGTTGGTCATCATATGTCGTCATTCTCCAGGCTACCAGTCCTGGCCCCTGGAATGCAGCAAAAGCTTCTCTGTGAACATTGGATTTGCCTGAATGGGGCGGCTTCAGTTCGGCACGCGATTGCTTTCTCCAAATGTCAAGGGCAACACCTTAAATGGCGACAAAGCCTATTTCATCCTATTTCGCTCTGGATACCAGAATCTAAAGATGCGTTTTTTGGAAGCCAAGGACATCTTGGGAAATGTTGCCAAGCTTCAATCAACCTCCAGCATCCTGTTAGGGTCAACAGTGTATGTTGACCTTTACAAAACATCACAACAGTAATTATATATAATCATTATATGATTATATTACTGTATATATGTAAAAAGGCATAGACTGTAGTTACATGTCTGATATTGTGAATAATAATAGAAAAAAATCACAGTGACAGTAAAACATACGCGCATCAACAAACACACACCAAAATATATTTCATGATATTCCGATTTAATTATTCCGTTATTCCCACATGACATATCAACATTTTTCACTAGGTCTGATAGTTATCTAATATATATATACATATAACATATAATAATATATAATTATATAACTGTTATGTCATCCATATATCCCATCTTCCCATCATTTCTTTTCCGCGCCTCGACCAAGATGGCTTGCCACTGTCCATGCGGGCAGTTCTTCACAGGGCCATAGCCGTTGGCCAAGAAACTGTCGAAGGTGTTGCCGTCCGCGGCGCCCAGATCGATGAAGACACACTTGGGCTCCGTCCTGGGGGATTTTAAGCTGCTTTCTTGAGGAAAATCGGTGTATACCTGGCATAATAACTGTATAATATGATACAATGTGATGTGTATATTGTCATAAGTTATGTCTATCAAAACATGTTACTACAACTTGTAATAACAATAATTTGGTTGCAGCTACGCAAAGAAGTGAATGAGTGAACAGATAGTGAACATATTTCTGTGTAACAATAGCGATTACTATATAGTTTATTAATGATCATTATCCGTACCGTAGCAATATTATATATAGAGAAACATTGTGGCGTTTGGGCGTTTGGTAACAAAGACGAGGGTTGAACCTGCCAACACCTATTCATCAAACAAATAGCAATTGTTCCTCTGTTTTTCATACGACTCAACCTCCGGAAGGACTTACCCTTTGGTTATTTAACATAGCCATGGAAAATGGCCCATTTATAGATGGTTTACCATGGTTTACCTATTAAGAACGGTGATTTTCCATGGCTATGTTAAAGAACCAGATGGTAAGTCACACAATCGTTTGCCTTACAAACTCCCCGAATTCAATGCAGCTTTGCTGGGGAAATCATCAGATCCGTTGGACCCAAACATGGCGCCGGGCGTTTGGCGATATTCGGATCCCCAGTTGAAAACACTTAGCTGTTAGGAATACCAATGCTTCAGACGCTTTTTTCAGCTATCTTTAAAACACATGCTCCAAAGAATGTCTCGATGTACTGTAAGAATCCCCCCTAAACCAATTTTTTCGGGAAGGAATTCTATCAGATCTGGTATCTTGACTCATCCCCCGCATTTCTTTTGGGCAGAATCGTGTAGAATCCATAAAAAAAAAAAACATGGGGTACAAGATTAGGAACCAAACATTACTGTGTTATTAATATTGCTAATATTGGGGTTAACATTGTTGGTGCTAGATGATGTTAGTATCATCATATTAATAAAAGTCACATTATAATTTATATCATAATATATATATATATAACTCTATATATATATATAAATATGTTAGCACACATATATATATATATATATATATATATATACACATTAAATGTATATATATATATAGTTATATAATTGTATAGTTGTTAGTGGTATTAATATGGGTATGGGTCAGAACTAAAGACCTTGGAGACCACAGACTTAAGTCTAGTTAAATTGATTCCAAGTATTTACCATCCAATTCTTGGGGTACCCATTGTTTAAAATCAAATTTTGACCGGCAGTTGAAGGTTATGATATTTACTCACATGCACAAGTCACCCGTCCTTTTGGGTCTCTTCCAATTCGCATTGTTTGCCTCACAGGTGCATTCGGGTCTCCTCAATCCAGTACCTTGGGCGACAGTGCCACCATACAGGTTGGGTCCACTTCAAGCCCTTTGGCAGCTATAAATGGTTGGTTATAGTTCCATACATGGGGTGACTTACTGACTTATGACATCTTATAACTGGTATTTCGGGCCATTTCACCGTAATGTCAGAATCCAGAGTTTGATTCACCGTTCTTTAATTTGCTACACTCCTCTGATACCCTGAACACATGAGTTTGATATACATGCTAATGGGTATGATATTACCAATATTTTGGGCAAACAATCCAACATAATCCAACAAACGCATAATTGATATACCCAACCTGGTTGATGGTTTCACCCCCTCTGAACAAATATGAGTCAGTTGAGATCATTTTCTATAAAACATGTTCCAAACCACCAACCAGAATTCCCAACATTCATTTTTTTGAATATCATTGATATACCCAACCAAACTTTAACACCAACGAAATACCCTCTGGTAAACGTTTACATAACGAACTGGAAAGATCCACCATGTTATAGCTGGGAACATCCACTTTTTCGACTGGGCCATGGCTTCAATAGCTAACTGCTAGTCATTACCAGGCCGGGTAAATCACCATCAAATCACCATTTATTTCGTGGTATCCATCCCATGAAACCAGCATTTTATAGTGGTATAGACCTGGAATGACCTGGAATTGATGATAACATCCCAACGATCCCATCCCATCCATCCCATCCATCCCCCACCTGCGGCTGCGGAGAAATTGCTACCTCCGCGGTACGTCAGGGCCGCCCCAAGAGGGGCCAACGCGGCCAACGCAGCCAACGCGGCCAGCAACATGGCTAGATTAGACACGGCGGATGACTCACCACTTGAGCCACTGGGTCAAAAATGGTGGATTTCTCGCGGAAAAAGACATCTGGAGACCTCAAAGATTGCCTTTTAAAAAATCCAGTAGAATAAATTTTAACGAACATTTTTTTGGGAAAATCATCTATAAACTGAGATCGAAAAAACCAACAGTTGTTGGTGAATATCGAAGAATCTAGAATCAAATATATTGCCAAGCAATGGCGATACTAAGCGTGCACTTGAACTGGTTGAGGCTCTCCAATCCAGCCAGTCAACCATCGATTGCTGGTTCCAAATTCAGCCATGTCATCTTGGTACGTGACGAACACGGAAGAGGAACGAAACTCCACTGTTCAATGGCCATTTCAGGAACCGATTGATTGGAGGTACCTACCATATATAAGGCCTATTGTTCAGGCCTATGTAATGTAAGGGAATATCCCCACAAAATATGGCCTTATATGGTACAGCACCTCCATTTTAGGATCCTGAAATTCCCATTGAACTGTTAAGCAAAGAAAACATATCCCTCCAATTCCTCAAATCCAAATGACATAATATGTCGATTGGGAAGCACACAGAAAAATTGTTTACGAGCGCTATCCGATTTTGTGTCCAGTGCTCAGTGCATCCTGAAGTATACTATAGAATATGCTCTTCAAAGATATTTACACATTACATCTACCCCAGGATGACTACATATATGGCAGTTTCTAAAAATGGTGGATCCCAAAGTCACCGGTTGCAATAGTAAAATAGTCAAATGACTTGGATGATTTGAGGGTACTTGGGAAACCCCCATGTCTGTATAGTTGGATGGGTTGTCAACCAGCAAACATCAACACACAAAACCACAAGGGCCCACCTTGCACGCAGTCCTCCCAGCCTCCACACCGCCAATCTCCGCTTGCATCCCGTTGCCAACCAGCGCCTGAATTCACATGACCAGCATGGCTATGATACCTGGATTAATGTCAAGAGTTCTGTGAAAAGGTTTACAGATCATTGTTTCGATTCGTATTAGTATTATTAGTACCATCCATATCTATCCGTTACTGACATGCATTCTCATCCACATCCCTCCCAAGCTGTGCTTGATGAAGTGATATGACTGGAAGGATGCATATACTATATATGCATATATTATAAGTTATATACACCAAACCAAACTTGTAGATTCGATTCAGCAATAAACAAACAAATGCAGTGATATAAGACTATATAATTGAATTTGAAGTAAGCCCTTCGTAAATCTACGAAAACAATAACTTCATTAGACTTCCAGATTCGAGAGGGCTAGCTAGCCACTCTGGCTACTTCAGAGGACAGTGTTTGATTCGTGCTTCAGCGACCCCCACAAAAAATAGGTGAGGTGTTAACAAATTATAAAAATCAATTTAAAAATCATCTTTCGCAGGGACGAAAAAAAAAACAAATGATCACCTGAAATTAAACGGGGGTGAACAGGGCGAAGATCCTGCCAGCTGAACCACTGAGAACCCCAAGCTATCGCTGCTCTCCGGAAAATGAATGTTTTTTGGGGCTCCAAACCATGCAGAAACGCTGCGTGTTGGCTGGAACTCGGCAGATGCTCTGAACCTCAAAGCGGCACACTGTGCTGCCAAGCTTAAAACTGGCATAGCATGCCATGCTTAGTTTCTCCAGTCAGCCTACATGATGGACATGATGGACATGATGGCTTGTTGGTCTGTTGATCCTCTTCTAGAAGCTTGACTTTGGGTGGCAATGCCAATCTGTTTGCCCAGAAAATTCCGACACCCTTGGACGCTGAGGGTTCATACATTGCTACCATGACATATTCTCCAATTCTCCAAGTGTCCCGTATCAAGAAGTAATGCTGGCTGCCAAGGAGAAAGCTGCACAGTTAAAATCATGGAAATATTGGAAACCTTAGTCGGACCTTGGTCATTTAACATGTAACAACTCCTCTGCATACCCGCATGATATCGTATGATCATCAAGAAGCTTAGTCCAATGGTGCAGCAGACCCTGTCATGGAGGTTCTACCACTTGGTGCATACCACCCTATAGTTATTATAGGATGATATTTTTACTGACCCTCAAATGGTTGGCTGTTTTGTCGCTTGCAACACTGTGTAAAACCAACTAATTATGGAAGAAACATCGTCTTGGTTTCAGTTGTTGCAGTCAGGTTCATTCCGTTCCCCTGAAACATCTGCATGTTATCAACAAAACTCGCACTTGTGGAACTTGTGTATCAGGAGATACAAAAAGGAATTTCCGAGGAGGTCGCTGCCATTCGCTAGTGGTGAAAGCCTGAGAGTTGCAATGAGCCCCAGCTACTCTCCAGCAAGTGACCTATGGAAAATCGCACATTACAGTTTTCTGTAGTTTTCTGGTTATTATCCATGGTGATTATCCAAGACTATGGTGACCTAGTTACTAATGTTATTAATTATCTATGTTAAACCAACATGATTTTCCCAAACTATTTTAGATTACCTGAAGGCATTGTAGAAACAAGATCCTCCAGTTGCTGAAAAGGACGCAAAGGAGGCAACGCTGACGCTTCGTGGTTCCACAAGCTTGGCCATCATGGTCGCAACACATAGGTCGTCAAACGGATGGCACTTAGAACCTTCCCATGCACTATGGTCCCCGTGAAACCATTTAGTACAGCACTAACTTTGCCCCTCATTCCTCTGTCATATTCCAATTGTTCAGGTTGAATCCTGATGCTTGTTGCTTCAATCTGCTAGATCCTCAAATACCCATCAATCCCGCTGATGCTGAAAAACAATCAATTATAATATGGGGATCTAAACCTCATGTTTAAAATGCTTACATCACTTAAATCAATGATATTCCCCATGGTTATATCATGTTAAATCAATGAAATCCAAGCAAAATGCTTCAAAAAGAACCCAAACAAACTGGACCTTGGATGGAACGGGGTCGCTGTCGCAGCCTGGCCCAGGAACCCGTCGCCACTTGGCTGGATAGCGCCAGGGCGTCCGAAGACCACGCCTTGGAGATTGCGAAGTCAAATCCTACTTACTGTAAACTACAGTTTTTGGGCCCCCCCAGTGATGTTTGATGGTTTAGATTCACCCCATGAAAACTAGTTCGTTATTTGCGTATCATAAACCATAGTGAAAGTGGAGTTATGTTCACCAACTTAGCGAGCTATCGTAAACGGGGGCCCCACATTGTATGATATATACTATTTTAGTGGTATAGTAAATCTATGTAAATCCATACTTTTAGCAAAGTACCTATACAAATTGGAAAACATACTAAAAGTATGAGGTGAAGTAACCGTTTGTTCGGGTCAAGAGAGGGTCCAGATACAAAACAATGCTATGTATACATATATATATATATAATTTAATGCTGTATAATCTCTAGTACGGCAGAGGCTATTCGACAAATAAATACGCCATCGTCATATATCTAATATTCTATATCTGAGTGATTGCTCAGTTCTGTTGGGGAGGCGTTGCTTTATTAACCCTAATCAGCCCTAATCATTACCATATCCATCATTGGTGAGCTCTTTGCGTTCTCACGATCCAACAAAAAACAAACGTTCTTTCAATCAAACTTGTGTTTTCCCCAGACCGGTTTTATTACGAGAACTCCGGAAATCAAACCTGGCTTACTAAATCATCATTGGTCTTGTTTGGATTTGCCCTTTCTTTGGTGATTTCAGCATATTTCAATACATTTGATGGTGAAGCAATCGTTAATTTCCACATATGTCATATTTCCATCCCTGGAATCCATGGCGCCGCTTGGAATGCCAGGCCACTTTGGAGTCGGACAATCCTCAGGCGGTTGACATGTTGTCACTTGGACTCTATGAGTTTCTGTCTTATAATGTCTTTAGTTTTTCAACATGTCCTACAATGTGGAGCCCCCCAGTGATGTTTGATGGTTTAGATTCACCCCATGAAAACTAGTTCGTTATTTGCGTATCATAAACCATAGTGAAATTGGAATTAGGTGCACCAACTTAGCTATCATCAATCAGCTGTAAATCCCATTAAATCATATCAAATCATATTAAATCCCCTTTCTTAGGTAAACTAACTACTTGGTTGTTTGGGTATCATAAACCATCGTGAAATTGGAGTTATTTGCAGCAACTTAGCCAACATTGGCTATCATCATCAGCTATAAATCCCATTTTATCAGCTATAAACCATAATCCATAGTTCTTGGAGTTATTTGCACCAACTTAGTTATTTGCGTATCATAAACCATAGTTGTTGGAGTTATCATAAACCATTAAATTTGCACCAAAAACTATCTGGTTGGTGGTTTTAACCATCTTGAAAAATATGAAAGTCAATGGGAAGGATTATCCCATATATTATGGAAAAATAAAAATCATGTTCCAAACCACCAACCAAAAACTATACTCACCACTTAGCTAACACAAATCAACAGCCCACTCTTTGAACATCTCGTCGCTCGGTGCAATTTGCGGCGCCTGCGCGCAATGGCCCAGTTTTCCACAGTTGAAACAGGTGGCCTCGCCGAGGTTTTCTTCGGAAGCTAAAGGAGATGATGATTGTACTGGGATAAGGAAAATTAATGTAATATATCAATATATATATATATATATTATATATTATACATATATAAAAATATATATATATATACATATTGCTATATATCATATCATATGATATATGATGTGACATCATATCATATAATATCATATTATATCATATCATATTATGTTGTATGTACATATATATATAAATACATATACATATATGTATCATACATATTACATTTTGTTGATGCATACCAGAGTATCCACATACATGCGAATATGGCTTTATGATTAATTGCCGATATGAGTGAAAGTCAATACGACAAATTGGGATCATGGAAGACGTTCATTGTACATATTGTGTGCATAGGGACAAGTTAGGGCAGGAACTGATGCCAGAGCCAAAGAACAGCGGTACTGAATATCTGGTTGGTGGTATACGTACCCCTCTGAAAAAGATGAAAGTCAGTTGGGATGATTATTCCCAAAATATGGAAAATCAAACATTTTCCAAACCACTATCATGATATGATGGTATATGGTGAAGCGATGCAAATCCGTAGTGGGTATATTGGTGCGTCAAATTTGGGTGAAATCCCAATAATTAACAAAGGGATTTCACCCATTTCACCCCCCCCTCTCTGCACCAAAACTGGCCAAGGTTTTAAGCCAGGGGCTAGTCAATTTATAAAGCATCAAATCATGGGGTACCCACTTTTGAGTTTTTAGACCCAAACGATGGACACAGGTACCATCGCATACTTTCCGCCTCAGAAGGTTTCTCTTCCTTGGCGGATGCCACAAGCAGACCTCACCAGTAGGCATCCAGGCTACTTGTAACAGATTGGGGTCTGAATTTGTAGCTGAAGTGTTCAAAACAACATGTGCTTCGTTAATCCGATTTTGACAATGTATCAAGCTGGAAGCACCTGAAGTCAACTTGATTACCTCAGTTTTGGACATGAGCTCCAGACCTTCTCCAAAGATATTCCAAACAAATGAGTCAAATGGCTCTTGCGGATCGTGTGGGTACAGGTGCCAACAAATATTGTTAACCTTCCATCGAAATGGGGCCTGGAGGCCCTAGAGGCCTTGCTAAACTGGATTTCTCTGGCAACGCTCACGACATGTCCCTGGATTTCCAAACATGGCAAGCGAATGGAAATCCCCGCGCCGTGGCCTAAATGAAGGTTGATGGCTGGGCAAATCATTACTATAGATGGCTAGGATTTTCCATAGCTATGAGCCGGAAAACCTCAACTTTAAGACTGACAGATCCCCAGCTCAACAAACCCAGAATCTGAGAATGGCCTTCAGAAGACCGAGCAGTCATCACTTTCACCTGGCGAGATGTGATTGTTTGGACAGCCACAGAGTCACGCGGAGTTGTGTCATCGCTAACAAATACTGCAAAAGATTGGTAGTTCCCACATACTCCATGGTGCTGGAATATTTACTATAACATTTACCCATGGAGCAAAGGGGAGTTGGTAGAGATTCTTAGATTGGATCATATCTGTAGTTTCGACAAATTGGAACCACTTCGACAAATCACCACTTCAAAACAAACAAGGAGTTTTGTGCATTGCATTGGGAGGTTGAGGTTCAAGGTATGCCTTGCGGGGGTGCCCCCGATTGGGAGGACAAACTTCCGGATGAAATCTCGGATACAATTTTTTGTCGTTCAAAAGCTGCAAAATCAAGCTGTCAGAAATCTAATGTACAGATCTGTAAAGAATCAAAAAAAAACAGGTTAGATTCTGTTGGTTTCCTCAACTTGCCTATTCCAAACATTTCTCACAGAAAAATCCAACTCCTACAGGTCCTACAGCTCAACGTGGTCCTGCGGTCCCTGTAAGATTGAGGATGGCCCTACAGCGAGAGTATGAAATGAACAAATGGTGCCACCACACTTCTGCCTCATCACCCATTTGTGTCTTGCTTAATTAATCCATATACCTCAACCATAAATTTTGCTTTGACTGCCCTTTTCCTCTGTGTCATGTCTTCCGTGCGCACGTCTCATGGATATGTGTATTCTCTCCATGTACGCTACCATGTATAAATAAACAAATATGTATATAATATAATAAATAATATTGCAGTTATAATTTATAATCACTATTTTTTGTCTCATGGAGATGGATATGTGTGTTCTCCGCATATACACATGTTGTTTCTATTCTGTCTTCCTTCGTGTCTTCGATGAATCGCCTCTGCGCATATTCGCAGAGTGGCTTCCTCTGAGGAAGCGTTGGCCACAAGCCTCGGCTTTTCCCCATGTGCCCCAGCAATAGAGAAGGTGTTTGTCTGTTTAGCAGGATTTTTTGCTACATCACATATTCCAAATTCAACTCGCTACGGTGAAACAAAAAGTCATTGAGTCATGTCCTTAAGTATGTCATCATTTAAATGGTGGATCTTCTCTTAAGAAAGGTTGGAATATTACCAAGAGCCACTGTAAATGAGCCATTCTATATCAAAAACCAAGAAAACATCAGTGGTTAACATCAATATCAACTTATATTCAACTCTGTAGAAACTCACAACACATTTCACAAACATGTCTGAATTGCCAACCACCAGGATTTCCAAACAAATCTTCCAACCATTTCAACCACCAAGTTTCAAGAGGACGGCACCTTCACCCGTGACCTGACGATGAGAATTTCATGCCATGGCATACATGGGAAAACAAACGCATGGACTTGCGATGGCATATAAAAGGACTTAAATATCATAATGGAAAATATAACGATATATATATATAGGAACTACTAGGAACCCGGCGCATAGACGGCCGTGGCTCAAAATGAAGAATGAGTATCATCCGGCTTGATTTTCTGCACGTTTGTAAGGGGATTTCTCAAGTTTCAGGTGTATACACTTTTTGTGGCTGAATTCCATTGGAAAGTTAGCAAAATGGCGTTTTCGCCTCAGCGAAACGATCATTTTAATGTTTTTTTGAAATGACGTAACTACTTTGTCTATGCCAGGATTTGCTTCTTTTTTTCCTCATCTGACAGCATCAATCCTGCGGCAGGAGGTCTTCCAAGTGTTCCAAAAATTCGCAGCAGCGTAGCAGCAGCGTAGCATCCACGTATGTAGGCAAGGTACATGAACGTTAATATCCCCCCCACCCCACCCATGCCCAGTGACGTAGCAGCAGCGTAGCATCCATGTATGTAGGCAAGGTACATGAACGTTAATATCCCCCCCACCCCACCCATGCCCAGTGACGTAGCAGCAGCGTAGCATCCACGTATGTAGGCAAGGTACATGAACGTTAATATCCCCCCCACCCCACCCATGCCCAGTGACGTAGCAGCAGCGTAGCATCCACGTATGTAGGCAAGGTACATGAACGTTAATATCCCCCCCCACCCCACCCATGCCCAGTGACGTAGCAGCAGCGTAGCATCCACGTATGTAGGCAAGGTACATGAACGTTAATATCCCCCCCACCCCACCCATGCCCAGTGACGTAGCAGCAGCGTAGCATCCACGTATGTAGGCAAGGTACATGAACGTTAATATCCCCCCCCACCCCACCCATGCCCAGTGACGTAGCAGCAGCGTAGCATCCACGTATGTAGGCAAGGTACATGAACGTTAATATCCCCCCCACCCCACCCATGCCCAGTGACGTAGCAGCAGCGTAGCATCCATGTATGTAGGCAAGGTACATGAACGTTAATATCCCCCCCACCCCACCCAACCCCGTTTTGCTAAAATATGTATTTCGGTCCACGGCCGTCTATGCGCCGGGTACCAACTACTATCTATATATATATACACATATGATTGGTATTAATCATATGGGAACTAATTGTGGGATTCCCCACTATACGATGTTCCCACCATGTGTTATAAGATGAATTCTGAGACAAAATGGAACCAATAATGGAAGAAATGGGAAGGTGGTGTTGTCGAACGATATGTTTGTTTGTTTGTTTATAAGTCAGTGCGGCTGGAGTTGATAGCCGCCTTAAATCCTACTACATCGATGCTCCAATGTATGGTATATTTACCTACAAAACTGGTTGATTTTGTTCGGGCAAATGTTGGAAACATATTCCAGCACCATGGAGCGGGATTGTGTTTTTGTTTTCTGCGATGTGCAAACCAAAACGATTACCGACGACATATCAACGTTCCAATGGGAGGCCCCGACATGAGCTCGATGAGCCCGGGCTTCCAGAATGCAGAAACTACTAGAACTGAAGCAGTAACATGAGAATACGTTTTTTTCAACACAGTGTCTTCAAAAACCCTCGAACCATCTATCAGTAACATTCAGTAACTATATAATTGCACAGTTAAACATAAGGCAGTGCCCATCCAGAACATTCTGCTGCACTGATGCACTATGGTCCAGCATGGCAAGAATGTGGCACACTATGATCCACTTTTGGAATCCACTGATACCCCAGTGCCGCACGACCCATATCCATAGTCAGCAATCCCCTTAAAGTCAGCTAGAAAAAAAAGGAAACCTGGAAGTCTGTGGCAAAAAACATCTATAAATATCTATAATCTTGAAATAATCTATAAATGTCAAAAAAACTATACCATCCTGGAAACGTTTTTTTGATTTTTTTTCTCGCTCGCTGACTGTCAAAGCTGCACCTGGAAAAGGCAAAGGCCCTCCCTGCCCAAGGGACGGTATAACCTTGGCCGAAGAAGATGATTCACCCCCATGAAGCTGTCTGAAAATGGGAAATACATGATATACATAATATAATATATAATAGATAAATAATATATATATATATAAATAATTATATATATATATTACTATATTATATTATATTATATTATATTGTATTATATTGTATTATATTATATTATATTGTATTGTATTATGTTTTATTATACACTGAAGTATTATATTATATTATAAACAATAATATATATATAATATTTATATATATATATATATATTGTAATACCCACATGCTTTATGTATGGTATATTTACCCACCTTTGGGTGATATTTAGGGCAAATTTGGTACATATTCCATAAATGCTTCGCATATGGGATATCATACATCAAAATGATCCGGCATGGCCATTTACAACAGGGAAATCCCATATGCTCCATGTGTAGAATATTTATCCACATGTTGGGTTGGCGTATCCCAGCACCATGGCGTCAACGAATGATGAAGCATCAAATTTAGGGAACCTAATTTCAGACAACCCATGGCGTTTCTGCATGCAGTCGCTGTACATGTGAATGCATAGAACATCTTGAAAAAATGCTTTTTTTGGAGCTACACACAGCATACATGATCATATTGGTTGGTTGCTACCCTGCAGAACGTCCCAAAAAACATCTGGCCCTGGCCCAAAAAAAACAAGTGCGGCCAATCTTGTTAGCTGACTTAACCAAACCAATTCGTGAAAACAAATAGTTTATGAGTTCAGGAGACTTATGTTAATGTCAGGACATGAACCTATCAAAATTCGTGGATTCTTCAATCTCAATTCCTTTGTCTTCTTGCTGGGTTGATAACAACAACCCCAGATCCATAGGACTAGGGCTAAGCGGACACGCCGCCCACAAAACAATCAATCACGTCCGTGCCGGCCAACTGACCAACATAGCACAAATATATACAAATATCCACAAATAAACATGCACCAGACTGGCACCATCAGCCCTATCCTGTTTGAAAGTAGATTTCCTCCTTTCGCTTTTCGAAACCGATGTTTGTTTCACTTCCCCACTTTCTGCTGCTTTAGGATTTGATTTTGTTGCTTAGGAACATGAACTTTGTTAACATGTGCAGGTTGAAACTCACATGTCATGTTGTTGGTTTCAACATCTTGAAACCAACAGCCCCTGTAAATCTGCGAACATGTCGCAGACGACATCACCGTTGATCAAAAACCGGGCCAAAAGACCGGCGGAAGCGCCGGCCAGGGGCACTGCGCAAGGTTAAGGGCCTCGGTGAATGCAACCCCCAACTCAGTATATGTATGTCACATGTCCACCAAACATCCAATCGTGATCATAGACCCTCTAGTCAATCAAGCATAGCAGTGGAATCCACCATTTAGTTCGATGATTTCCCTAACTATTTCCAGCTACAAACACCGTTTATAGAGGATTTTCCGCCACGTTTGATGACACCGGCTATTCCCTAAAGATGTCTAAATGGTGGGTTACACCGTTACACACTTGGAAGCTACAATATAATATATTCAATGGATTGGTTTCATAGAAAATTGAGACCGGAATTTCCATGATTTCCCCCTTTTTCAATCGGCTTTCCGGTATCAAGTTTCCCAACAAAACCAATCCATTGATTGAAGATCTTAGGTTTTTGACCCTCGCATGGTCTCACGCTGCATGGGATGATTGGATTATGGCCATCCCCAAATATGGCATGATTGAACTTTTGACCCTAAACAATGTATGTATATATATATATATAAATCTTTGACCATGGCACATGTCGGACTATGGATGAAAACATATTAAACATCCTTGGAATCCTTGTGCCTTTTGAAATCTTTTAAAGATCAAAGGCGATGGGACATGGATTCACATCTCCAACTAGAGCAGTATCAGGCTGTGACTCACCGATGATGGCCTTGATGACCTTTCCAAGACGTTCGTTTAACAGATTGGTTGTTGACCACACGGTGTTTATGTTTTCTGCAGATGGTGGTGCTTAAAAGATAAACTAAGCAAATAATGCATTTAAAAATATAAGATAAGTCTGAAGATGTCTGAAGAAATATCATCCTAAAAACATCACTGTTCATATGTCTTCGTGTTGAATGCAAGCAACACACTCCTGTTCAGGCCCACCGCTGATGATCGTGCTTTACTCAACATATGCCAGCAGCACGGGAATCTCACAGCCAATCAGGGCGTCTTTCTTTGGCCTTGATGAAGAGGCCTCCCTCTTGGCTGATGACCACTGCCCAGCCTCCGTTCTTGTTGACGATGGTCATGCGGGACTGATATCTTTGTACATTTTTTTTACATACCTTTTCTTTTGCATACCCACATCACGCAGAAACGTCTCATACTTCTCTCTCCATATATATATATATATGTGTATATATATATATGTATATATATGTATATATATATGTATATATATATATATATATGTTCCTGCAGTGAGGGAAAATGACACAATCATCATCCAAGATCCAACATGAATCTTGAAATTGGTGACACATCAGATACATTCCAAATGCCAGTGGCGATCTGTCATTAAACAAACCACACATCCTGTCCATTTTTTGGGGTGGCCAATCCGAAAGAAACAAACAATCTTGTCAAGGGACAAAGTTTACCCAACTGTACAGCCCTTCCCAAAAAGAATAGTTGCTGATTCGGCAGACTGAACTCACAAAGTTAGAGCTGTGCTCAGATTTGCCTCCGCATATTCATCTTCTCATTGACATGCTTCAGGACAAAGCCGCTGAAGTTCTTGATGTTGCGTCGGTTTTTGCTCGTCTGGGCTCCCTCACACACATTTGCTGCTTCTATCGCGGCAACTCCGCAAAGCCTTTCTTGAGCTTGGGTATCTCATCACCCGACCAGTTGACATCTACCCAGCTAACTGGGTCATCTTTTTTGCTTCCTCAGCTCAGGAGCATTAGAAGATGATGGATCGTAAGAATAGATAGTGTGTATGTAAATATATATATAAATATACATAGGTGATATTAGGTAATGACGCTCAATGACATGATCCCCAGCTTAAAAAACAAATCATAAACTCTAGATTTTTTTTTCCTGTTCATTGATGGACTTTTCCTCTTGTTTTTCCTGATTTACCCAGAGAAGGGGGCCATTTTTCCGAAAACTGAGCGTCAGCGCGCGGCATGCAATCCAGACCTGAGCTGGGCAGGTCATGAAAACCGGCTCCCAATCGGGATCTAATGGAACTAATGGAGATGTAAGTGGGAGTTCCGCATCAAAACCTGGAATTGAAACAAATATAGTGGTATAATGATGTATAACTTGAATAATATGGTATATAGTGTAATTTACTGAGAGAGAGATATATATATATATATAGCAAACACACCCCGAAAGAAGCAGAAACGTGTTTGTAGTAGTGGCATGTGTTTCCATCACGGGAGGCCCTGTAAGCAATTCGGAAAATTCTTTGTGTTCGCTTCAGAGGCCTCTGACTAAACAATTTCCACATAGATTCCTGAATAAAGGGATCTCTGTACAAGGGAGCAGATACATATGATCACCTAAAGCACCCTGATTTTTTCTAATTCTCCCATGTTCCAATTCTTTTGAAATCAAAGGTTGACAAATTGTCGTTGGTTGTATTCATGCTCTCTACTGGAAACCTCAAAATGGATGGCTGAAGAGTGACAATACCATCTCATTTTGCGGATTCTTGGTGGTTAACGCCGCCAGTACATGCCATCCTCTGTAGGTTCCCCATGTCCGGGTAATTAATAATTAAGTCCCCATGTTTGTTAGCTAAAGTTGCGAAAATGATAGTAAACCAACACAAACACTACATTTTGGGGTACCTTACAATATTCAAAATGGCCCAGATGGTCAACTAAATGTATGTCTGTATGTCTGTATGTCTGTCTGTCTGTCTGTTTGTCTGTTTGTCTGTTTGTCTGTATGTCTGTATGTCTGTATGTCTGTATGTCTGTATGTTTGTATGTCTGTATGCCTGTATGTCTGTATGTCTGAATGTATGTATGAATGCATGTATGTTATGTTATGTTATGTTATGATATGATATGTTATGTTATTGTATGTATGTATGTATGTACGTATGTATGTATGTATGTATGTGTGTATGTGTGTATGTGTGTATGTGTGTATGTGTGTATGTGTGTATGTATGTATGTATGTATGTATGTATGTATGTATGTATGCATGTATGCATGTATGCATGTATGCATGTATGCATGTATGCATGTATGCATGTATGCATGTATGCATGTCTGCATGTGTGTATGTATGTATGTATGTATGTATGTATGTATGTATGCATGCATGTATGTATGTATGTATGTATGTGTGTGTATGTGTGTATGTGCGTGTATGCATGTATGCATGTATGCATGTATGCATGTATGCCTGTATGCGTGAATGCATGTATGCATGAATGCATGTATGCTTGTATGCATGTATGTATGCATGCATGCATGTACGCATGTATATATGCATGTATGCATGTATGCAATGTATGTACATATGTTTGAAGGTATGTAGATATCAATAATTGATTTATGACCCCAGAATGTTGGAGTGTTGCAAGGTGATACCCCAAGGTGGAGACTTGCACCTGGAGATCCCCGAGCCGTGTGGTAGACCAAGCGGTAGGACATCGATCAGGAGAAAAACTGATTTACATACAATGGGTTTATGGCTTGCACATATATATATATATGTGTATATATATATATATGTATATATGTATATATGTATATGTGTATATAAATATATGTACATAACTAAAATCATATTATAACTAATGCCAACTCCGCATTAAATAAACCATGGTTTATTAATTTGGGGGGTACTCCTCCAATAGTGATAATCTAATACTTAAATGGTACCCTCCCAATTAAACAGCCTAGGGGGTTATTACTCCAGGGCTCCAGGGTTGACATTATAGTCAATTGAGTTTATAAGCTATATATATATATATTATAAGTTATAAACTATAAACTATATATATATAATATATACATATATATATCTCAATCCCATGGGGTCGTTTGAAGGACTGGAATGGGCATCGCAGCACCTTGGCGCCCCCGGCAACGCCGCAGCCACCAGCGGATGCCTCTCGGACTCGACGACGCGAAGTCCTTGTACGAAGGGCCGAAATTCGTTGGCTAAGTTCGTTTACAAATCTCATAACCACAATGTGGGGCCCCCTAGATAACTAAGTTGGTTTATAACTCTAATAACTATGGTTTATTGTACTTATAACTATAGTTAATGGGGTTTATAACCAACTTATAACTGGGGGGCCCCACATTGCAGGATTTATATGGATTTATGGAGATATCCACTTAGTTATGAGATACCCTCTGGTAAACCTTTACATAACTATGGAACCTCACCATGCTATTACTGGGTAAATACACTATTTCTATGGCCATGGCTTCAATAGATATTTTGACATAACCAGAGGCTATATCTCTAGTTTATCCATCAGGATTTATGGGATATCCATATCCACCTAGTCATGGGGTGTGAATCCACTGATCTGTTGCCGAATCCCCATGAAACCACCAGTTTTCAGCACCGGCGGTTTCCCCACGGGGCCCCGGTCCCAGAGGCTGTGATGCGAAGAGCCGCATCTGGAAAGGCGCGACGCTACGCGCCTTTCGTGGTGTGGGTGAAGGACAATCAGATTTTTCAGCAGAAGGTGATGCCCCCCAGGTGTAAGATGGTTTATAAGACCCATGTGCATGAACTGTAGTTGTAAGTATCATAAACATTCATAAACCATAGTTTTTGGAGTTATGTTCACCAACTTAGCTTCGGGGGCCCCACATTGTTAAAGGGGATGCCCCAGTTTGTTAGATTTTTTTTGCGTGAATCACATGAAATTACTAGATTAACTTTGGTGATGGCAAGTGTCAGATTGGTGACGATGAGCCAAGCCAGAACTACGGGGCAGCACCTCCAGTGTCAGAATGGATTTTAGGTGGCGAGGAAGTCGGATGAAATATGGCAAACCAGAATCTCAGACTCAGCCTAGCAATAACACACACACACACACTTAGTCAGTGGTTAACAATCTGGTTAGAAAGTTTCCTAAACGGATTATCCCATTTATAAATGAGTTATACTTCTGGCTTCAAAGCCAAGGAAGAAAAACACACAGTCGCTCCTCACCATTGTGAGCCATCGGTCCAGCGCCGAAGGAGAAGGGGACGAGCCTCACAGAAACGAGATATCTGCGTTGCTTTGTAAACCCATCGAACTCTAAGAGTATCCCATATGATCCATAGTGCTTGAATATTTACCAACATTTGCCCTAAAAATCACCCAGTTGTGTAGGTAAATATTCCATACATGGAGCATCTGGATATTAATCCATCAAACCTAGTGATATGTAAATGTGTATATTTATATAGAGTGATTGTAGTATGTTATAACCCATGGAACTTAAACTATAATCCAATCTAATCATATGTAACCATAATGTACCATAATCACCATAAAATCTATGATCAATTTTAATATACTATAACATAATATACAAATAATAACATACTATAACATACTAGACTACAACTTTAATCCCTATAAGACCTAGTTAGCCTAACTACAAACCAACCTAACCACCACCATAGGCAGCAACACCACCCCAAACGCAGAGCCCATCTATGGGGCAGCACCTTGTACTTGTAATAGTCATTTTGATTTGCTTGTAGAGAGAAAGATTGCGCTATGGCTCAAACAATCGACTTACTAAACCTGATCTGATCTTCAACTGGCTTGTGATTCTCTCCCAACGAGAGGAATCCAATGAGAGGAATCTCATGCTTCTTCATGGAGTGACCGGACTGTTGGTTGTACAGCCAAAATACCCCCTGTAAACCGGAGAGCTTTGTTTTTGTTGACCAACAGTTTTCTTTATAGCTATGTGTCTGTACGTTTTGTATTCAAAAGATATCAACAATCCCATCCGTTCATCATGCACAACTTGTTCTAACAGCTATATGAGCCAAAAAAACACAAAACTAGGTTTGTTCAGAGGTATCCCTATGGGGCATAGCAACATCTTTCAAAGCAGTTGGTAATATCCATTGCCCAATAGCAAAACCAACCCTCATATTGTACCAACACATATTCTTTGCTTCAATCCTGTCAACCCTCTATGAAGAACCCCGGTTGAGGGATCCCCGGTGGATTACTTAAGGAGTTTGGCCCTCGAAAGTGCATGTTGCTACTCAAATGATGCCCAGCCACAGTTGAACAGCCAAGAGTTGCATAGGCTCGCCTCCGGTAAACTATCATAGATGCGGAGAACTATTTGTAGATCATTTTTCGAAGGAAACCATTGGTTTTCCACATCGTTTTGTATGTCTAGCACAGGCTAGATATGGTTAAATCATATTAAATCATGTTAAATCCCCTTCATCCCATTCAATTCTATTAAATCCCATTAAATCCTGTTGGGTATGGTGTGATTTTCTCATTTAAAATTCCCATAAACCCACTGGGCTTCCGCACAAGTAGCGTTTCTTCGCCTCCAGCTTGGCCTGTGGGACTTCACAGTGGTTGGTTTAAAATGGTTTAAATACACATTCCATTTGTGATATTCCATAGGATCCATGTATGGTATATATGCTAACATTTGGGGTATATTGATGGTAAATGTTACCATATATAGGATACATGGATCCTATGGGTATTGACTAAAACCTGGCTGGCGCCATTTTATAAGGATAGCCCTTATTTGCAGACAAACCCACTTGGTTCGGGCTTATAAAGTGATATATCCGAGAGGCTGGCTTTTCAGAATGACAGATCTGGGTTTTGTAAAATCTAAGATCCATGTCCATCTAACATCATCTCTTGCAAAACAAATAAAGTCACCCCCAAAAGCACCACCCAAGTTGCGGAGGCATATAAGGATCTTTGCGAAGAGGGAGAATAACTCAACAACCCGAGCACAACTCGAACAGGATTCAGCCACTAATCACTGAACCCAAAAAGTCCCTCGAAGTGCCATTAGTTCTTAGCATCTCAAGGCCGGATTGTTGGCCAATATTTGCCCCTGTGTTCCCCTTCCAATGCAGAGACATGAGGGGACTTTGTCACGTTCAAATTTCATATTTTTGGGTTCATAGTTAACTGGTTGGTGGTATATCTACCCCGGTGAAAAATATGACTTCGTCAGTTGGGATGATGACATTCCCAACCAGATGGAAAGTCATAAAATTCATGGTCCAAACTCCAAACCACCAACCAGCAGTGATATTGCCAATATTGCATCATCAACATTGAATATACCAGAATAGATTGGTCCACGATTCTTCTGGGATATACCCTCTGGTAATTTGTTACATAGCTATTGAAAATGGCCCAGTCGAAATAGTGGATTCTCCCATTAAAAATGGTGGATCTTCCCATAGTTTTGTAACACATTACCAGAGGGTAATAGTTAAGGGTAATCACCATTTTTTATGGGAAATGGTTCTATAGTAATTACCCTCTGGTTAAGGGTAATAGTTAATGGTATTTCCCATAGTTAGTGATTTCCCATGGTTCTACACACTGAAAGGGGCTGCACCCTTTCACCCTCCATGGAAAGATGCGTAGCTCGCAAGTTGACGTCCCAATGACGACATACCATCTGAGCAAAATACATATGGATTTAACATATTATGGTACTTATTAAATACAAATGAAGTTTAGTGGTATTTTACTACCTTATATTTATTCTTCAAATAATCATACATATATATATTACAATAATGTGTATATAATGTGTATACATATATGAAACTAAATGAATATATGTTATCTATATCAAAAAAAATGGTGGTATGTTGCCCTCTAACCATCATTAATGGTTGTGGGTCGTGAGGTTCATTACCGTATTGCTCTGGCACCCTGGAAGATGAGGGATTTACAACAGCAGGGTTTCCGTTTTCAAGGGGATTTGCCACCGCAAAACGGGAATTCACATATTTTAACATGATTTAAACTTATTTCACACATAGAAGCTGGTTTCATTGGAATCTAACATAATCTAAGCACTAAACATCGAGCAATATAACATCCCAATGCTCCATGGTGGAATAGTTGCACATATGTACCCCCAAAGTGACGCAGTCCTATCGCTGGCCTGGTGAGATAATCTAAGCAACTTACCTATCATAATTCAACGCTGTTCAGCGATAATTTCTCAGCTTTGTTGTTTTAAATTACCATGTTTCTAGTAGAGTTTCTCGGTCAAATTCCCATTAAGTCCCATTAGATTCCATTAAATCCCTAGCCTATTTCCAATACATGAAATCGTGTCAAATCCTATCAAATCACCATACCTGGACCCTCCAAATCCAATCAAACAATGGTCAACGTATTAAATTTATGGGCTAAAACTGTGAAACCACCGTTTTTAAGGCTACAATCGGAGGGGGATCACCCGGTCTTTAATACTTGCGTTCCCGCCTCCACGCAGCGTCGAGCCATGATGTCGGCGCAGAAGAAGTTGCCGCCCACCACCTGGACATAACCCCTACAACTAAGGTTAAATACGTGTATAAATAATATGTGATTATTAATAATAATAAGATTAATGATAAAACATATTATATATATATATATGTATGTATAGGATACAGTATAGTATATAGTATATAGTATATAGTATATAGTATATAGTATATAGTATATAGTATATAGTATCTAGTATCTAGTATCTAGTATCTAGTATATAGTATATAACATATAGCATATAGCATATAGCATATAGTATTTAGTATATAGTATATAGTAAATAGTATATAGTATGTTATACATACATACATATAGTATATGATATGATATGTGTATAACTGTAATATATATATATACATATAGTATATGATATGTGTATTATTTTTAGGGGTGTTCTTGAAATTGTGAATCCCGAAGTCACCATGGGTTAACCTACAGTAGCTATATCTAAATATATTTTGTATACGTAGTTTTAAATATACGAACTGGTATTTTAGACTACCTCCGGGAAGGTTTTCCTTGGACCGCCCGGTCATCTAAACATACGGACTCCAATTTGTTTAAACATACATTGAAATGTAATTTAAGTTTAAATATGCGGATGGAACTGGTGTTGGTGATCCTTGACTTGGATTTGGGGCTACCCTTGCAATGGTTAAAATCCCCATAGGGAGAAAGGGCCCTCCAAGTGTCTGTCAGCTGCCGCGCTCTGGGTCAAATGCTTGGCACTTGCTGGATCTTCATTGCATAGCTGGGATTTATATGGATTCATTCGGATTCATGGATTCTGTTGATGTGAAGAACCACCCAAAATTATCCAAACATATGGTATTTCAATGTATTTCCGAGGTTTTGATCATTTAGATCCCCACATCTGATTCAATGGGCCCAACGGGAAAATCGATAGGAAACCAGAATCATGGCGTTTTAGCACCAGGTCTCAAGGTTTCCTGCAGATGTTTCCTCCCTGAGACCAAATATCTGACAAAACTGGAGACATTGGTTGAAATCACCAACCTTGGAGAAAACTGGCACTGTTCTTTTCTTTTAGAGGTTCTTGGAGGTTACTTCAATCTCTCCGGCTTTGTCGCGCACATATCTATAATGACCTGTTTGGGTACATGAGACACCAACGGGTACGACGACATGGCAGAACTCAGCAATAGTAGTGCACACCTGGGGGTTCTCCCTCCGCCTCCGCGGCCCCACACGGGCCTGTTCCACCGGTACAAACACCTTCTGATTTCCGGTTTCACCCGCTATTCTGAATCAATTCGGCCTTGGGGTGGAATCGTTTCCCAATAGAAATAAGACATCTACACGGGTTTGTCTGAAAATGGCCCCCAAATTTCATGTTTATCGTCATTTAACCCATTCATTAAGCCATTTCCGAGACTTGCCTCTCATCAAATCATCCACCTCCCTGGGGAATTCGCGCCTCTTCGAAGTTTCCTTCTGGACCTGGAACTGAAATCTATGAGCGGAAATGAACATAGAAAGTCGATAGATAGACACCCCAAGTCCCCGGCAAAAAAACTGGTTGGTGCTTTGAACCCCTCTGAAAAATATTAGTCAATTGGGATTATTATTCCCAGTATATGGAAAAATAAAAATCATGTTCCAAACCACCAACGAGAAAAGGTACTTGACCAAATCTCACGGGAAAGAAAGACTCGAAATTTTGATGAAGCGAGGAACTTAAATCTGTGCCACTTTGATTCAAAAAAATGAAACTGCAAAAATTATGGGAGGATCCAGGGAAAACATTGGAAAACTATAAAACTGCAAGCCCTTTTCAAGAAGCTGTGGTTCCATGCCCCTAGAATTTCGACCACAACGTGAAGAACTCGCATTGAGCCTGAAGCAGCACACTTATTTTGCTTTCTGCGTCACAGATGACACGTCGCGAGTTGATTCAGCTGGCTTCTGCGCGCACTTGTTCCGTTGTGGAGAGTGCACCACAAGCCACCAGAATAGAAATGGTTTTCCACCTAGCCGTGCTGCCCCCATGGGCACAAGGCGCGATAAGGCACGCCCCACAGGTCCCGCAGAATTTTCCTTACACACCTCAAACGGCAGCTAGAACGCCCGCCGATGTTGGCGATGCCACTGGGTACAAGGGAAAGTGCGGTTGAACCCGCGATTCAGCGTGACACAATTTGGAAAAGAGTGGCACACATGAATTGTTGGCGCCCATGCTTTGGCGCCTTGCTTTACAAGCGCGGGACTAGGCGAACAGAGGGAAGCTGCGGTTACCCTACAAGCTTGGACCGCATCTACCACAAAAGCCCATGCAATGAATTCCATGGCTGTAGAATTCCTTCCCACCTGGTGGACGGTTTTGGCAAATTCATTGGCAAAGATGGCCTGATGGCTCTTCCATCAGGCCTCGCCTCAGGATGATCCAAGAAAAAAAACACGTGCCACGGTGTCCCTGGAATCAATGAGCAGTGTCCTACGGGAAAATACAAACTTCTATAAAATTGATACTTTATTTATCGGAATCAGGATTCCCAGAATGAACTAGGTTGCAATCCCCAATACACCTAGACCCCCCTAGTGCCTAGGAAAATGTCGTAACTGATGTTAGACTCAACCATCAAGATAAGTGGACTGTCAACTTGGGAAAGACACCACCTAGTATGGAATATTTACCAACATTTGCCCTAAAAATCACCCAAATGCCCAAATGTAGGTAAATATACCATACATGAAGCATATGGGTATGGAATGGTATGCATTTGTGTCAGTCGGGTCGAGGGTAAAGAAAGTGAGCAAGAACACGTTAAAATTTGGAGGCTCTTATCTATCATAGACTCCCAACAAATGATGCCCTGAATGAGCGATGTGCAATAGAAACGGATATAGAAATGCCAGTCACATGCAGGTGAGTTTTCAAGAAATCAAATGACTACAGTAGGTGCTAGCCAAAGTCAACAAGTCAACACCACCACATTTATTATACAGTTGAATAGGTGCTAGCACCAAGCTGGAGCCAAGCCTCGCCCAAAGGTCGCAACCTGGGGGACTTTCCTCTAAGGGTGGTTTACTTATCCACTTTGGAGGATCCAAAGGATCATGTCACCCGTTATTAACGCAACCCGTTTGTACGTCCCCTGTCTTCGTGGCTTATCTTTTTGAAGGGGTAAACTAGAAGGCCATTCACCGCACACATTTTCTCGACCCTGAAAATGGTGAAAATTTCGGATTCATGCGGCCTGTATCAAAGCATTGCAAGCCGTTACAAGCCTCTTAAATTTTGCATAGGGGTTACCCAAAACCCATGATTCTTTCAATACCAAAATATCTAAAATGGAAGCGCTTGGCTTAGCTTGGATGATTTTGGGGTCCGGTATTTTATGAAGCCCTCAACTCTACAAATGGATTTGTTCAGGCATTGCGCCCATAAAACAAAAAAACAACAATAAGACATCAAGCTGAAACATGGGTTATAAGATGTCATAAAGCTAAAGTGTGCATCTGTCATCTGAAGGGGAAAAAAACGAAAACAACACATCTAAAATTCAATTGAAAATCAATTGAAATCAATTGAAAATAAACTGAAAGTAAATTGAAAATCAATTGAAAGTAAATTGAAAGTAAATTGAAAATCACTTGAAAGTAAATTGAGATCAATTGAAAATCCATTAAAATCAAATTGATAATCAATTGAAAGTAAATTGAAATCAGTTGAAAATCAATTGAACGTAAATTGAAAATCAATTGAAAGTAAATGAAATCAGTTGAAATCACTTGAAAGTAAATTGAAAATCAATTAAAACAACAATTGAAATCAATTAAAACAACAATTGACATCAATTTAAATCAATTTAAATCAATTGAACATTAATTGAAGTCAATTGGTCACATTTTATTCAGGACCTGGCACTCAAAAAAATCCACATTGAAGTGGATCCAAAAATTGTTTAGACGGGGCCCTACACCAATCAGCATCCAACATTACTTCACTTGCGTTTTAACATTATTCCGGTATCTTAGATGAGGATCTATGTATAGTGGAAACATGATATAAGAATAATCTCAGATTTACCTCACTTTCCTCTATCATATCTATATATAGATCTATTTGTATCAGATCTTTAGTGAGGCAAAAATGAGAATCCCCGGCATCTCCGGCCAAGTCTCCGGCCTCAAGACTCGGCCGCAGCCTCCTCATCTTCATGGATCACGATGGCGTCTTCCGCAGCAAAGTCGCGCCCCGCGAAGCAATAGTCGAACATGCAGGTGTCTAAGGTCTCAGGATCACCTCAGCTGGGATACCCTCTGGTTAACATAGCCATGGTATAGATGGCCCATAGAAATAGATGGTTCACCTATTAAAAATGATGATTTTCCATGGCTATGTTTAATAGCCAGAGGGTATTTTTCAGGAAATGGAGCTACCGTTAGTACCATAATTACCATAGACCAGAAATGCTGTGGGGATATTCCATTGATCACCACAGGATGTCACGATGCTTAGGTTACTTGGCAACCACAGGATGGAAGAGGACGAAAAAAAATCAAAACACATCTTGAATGCTCTGAATTGGAAGATGAAAATTCTTAGAAAAAACATGAAAAAACTATGTAAATCACAGAGATGTGGGCCCTGACTCATAGTGATTTACATCAGAGAAACATGGCGCAGGGACGACCCATGACCGGTGCCGCTTGGTGGGCCATGACCGGTGAATCTGTGGGCCCCTTTGCGGTAAAATGCGGCGAAAAAATGTTTTCCCAACTGGGAAGGATGTATGTTTATATAATGTTAAGAACATCAAATATATGATACATATGTACATATATAATCATATTTATATATATATATAACCCACTGATTCTCAATATTTGTTGAGTTGAAATAAACTCATTTTACGCAACATTCCGCCAACTTGTGCCCATCTTAAGCAGCGGGTTTCATTGCAACCCCTGTGTTCATCTATAAAGAGACGCCACTTGCCAATCCTACCTTGCATGTACATGGCAATAAATAGTAGTTATATGCTAAAAAAACATGCCAACCAGTTGCGATATGTCTCGAAGTTTTACAGAAGTTTTACAGAGGACCATGAATTCAAGCACTTTTGACCTACATTTCTCAAATGCAAATGAATGCATTATCCAAGTACATACCTTTTTCTAGATGGTACATCCGAATTCTCTCACTCTTCACAGAAGTTGGTTGTGTAATTCCCTTTATATAATTATGACCCGCCCAAAATTCCTATAGTTATGATGCTTATAAACCAATAGAAAACAATATTGGGCTTAGCCAGCGCACTGCACATTGCACACGGATGGTAAAATCCATTTATATTACAAGAAATGATGCTAAATGATACCAACTATTGTATGCGAGTAATGTATGTTTTTCAATCAAATAAACTGATTCTGCAATTAAACTATTGAAATCTATTCCCTGTATTTTCTTGGTTTTACAAACAAGTCCAAAATTTAAACATTCCCATCATTGCAACCCCAGTTTATGTTTGGTTTCATGTCCCTCGTCCCAGTGGCTAGCATCACCCTCTGCACTCATCATCGCTTCGCACGTGGCCTTTGCCTTTGCTTGGACCTGGCAGTGCCATACCGTGACAACTTTTGCGTGTGAAGATGGGAATGGAACCATATGGAACCCCAAATGCAGGATGACCTTTCCCAGAATTGCTATCGTTTTTTCCTGTATTGTTCAAAAAACATGACCGTCAATCGAGTCCAGGCGGAATTTCCATGCGAAAACAACTAAACTCAAACTCGGGTTTTCCAGAGCAGCATATAATGGGAATTTTGATTGGGTTAGTGTGCAAAAAAATACTGTAGTACTTACTTAATATAATTATCCGATTGATCGCAAACAAACATACAAACAATCGTTCACCTGTTTGTTTATGTTTCGGGTAACGTGGCAGTCTGCACATCCACCATCTGCGAAGCAGTTTACCTCTTTAAAAAACAGGATTTTCCATCCAGCCTTGGTAGACTAATGGAGACATGGAGACACCCAGTCGACATTCCATCGGATCGATGATCAAGCAGATAATATCATCTCAATAGTTTGGTTTAAGGGACATTTTACTTCGGAAAACACCAAAATTGATCATGATCTTAATGGGAAAATCCATGGTTTTATTTTCGGTTATTTTTTTTCCCTTAAATCAATTCACTGATCCATTAAATCGATTAACATCCATTAAAATCCATTAACATCCACCATATTTGATGTCTACATGCGTGTCCTGACGAACATTGCGAACAAGCGGCCCGGTGCTGATCCCCTGTAAGAATGTATTGCAGTATATATATATATATATATATATCTGTGTCACCAAACATTGGCAAACCCCCAAATACTTACTTGTGCTTAGTAACGAATGAGGGAATGATAATGATCCGCTGGCTAACTATCAATAATAATCCCATTCCCCCATTCCCATCCATTCCCATCCATTCCCTACTATAAGCACCAGTAAGAATAATGATATATGATATATATATATGTTCCATGGTGCTGGTATATTTACCTACAAACTGGGTGATTTTGTTCGGGCAAATTTTGGTAAGTATTCCAGCACCATGGAGCATATGGGATATGATATATATATATATAATTACATGTATTTAGTATACATATATGTATTGAGTAGCTATCTGCATACATATGTAAAATTATGTAAATCAAACATATCATGAACTACCCTCTGGCAATTCAAGGAAGGGAAATTCACCATTTTTCATAGGCAATTCAAAAAACCAAAACTAACCGCTTTGCAGAGAAAAATGTCAAAAACAAAACGATATCATCAATTTCGGTCGTGACTTGCCACAAACTAAAAAATCATAATTGTCCGCAAATTGATGATACTTGCCATATACTCAACAAAGAACCGCAGGGTGTGTCATCAACAAAGCCACAGCCGCCTTGTTGTCACAGTCTGCCAAGGTCTTTTCTGCCGTCACGCTGGGTTGCGCAGGTGGACCTCAGATTCACCATGCGATGGAGCAGTGGCTGCGGCTGCGTGGCCGGGTTGATGTTTATAGAGGCAACTTGATATATATATATATATATATATATAATCTCCCTACTGCTTATGAGGGGGGGGCGTGAGCTAATTGTAACTTACATTTTTGGGCACATGCTACCTCAAAAATGTAACTTACATTTTCTGATTTACCTCGATAAATGTAACTTACATTTTTGAGGCGCTATCCAGGATTTTTTTCATTTGAAACCTGAAAATTGTAAGTTACATTTGTGAAGCAACATCAGAAATTGTAACTTACATTTTTGAGGTGTGTGGCTGTGTGGCACTGACCTTGATGCCCAACAATTCCCAGCCCATCGCCAGCATAATCCAGCATACACACAAAAAATATATAATCTGTCCAATTTACAATATTTCTTGGGTCGTAACTTATTTTTGCGGCAAGATCCAAAAATTATGATGGAATCTTATGATGTGTCATTTGGCATTCTTCCTCATCAAAAGTTTGGGTAGAGGGTCCCACAGTGACCAAAGATAGTGAAACACTAGGCTTTTCACACCTGGGGACCCCAACTTACAATTAGTATAGTTCCTGTGCACCATTGGTTGCTCATTTCCAGCATTGGGTTCATTTGATGGGATTGAATGTTCCTGCAGGGTCCCCCAACATTGCTGCAAGATCCCAAAACCCCACAGGAAAGACACCTCAGAAATGCCAAATTACATTTTGTGGGTGTATGCTGGGAACAATAATTATGATGGAATCTTATGATGTGTCATTTGGCATTTTTGCTCATCAAAAGTTTGGGCAGAGGGTCCCACAGTGACCAAAGATAGTGAAACGCTAGGCTTTTCACACCTGAGGACCCCCAACTTACAATTAGTACGGTTCCTGTGCACCATTTGTTTGTGATGGCTGGCGGTCCACATATATATGATCTGTATATTTCTTGGGTGGGGGAGGGAGGGGGGGGAGGTGGAGGGGGATTCATAAATGTAACTTAGCACCTCCTTGGTTCTTACTTACATTTTGGTAACTCCCCTTGGAAGGGATCAACAATTGTAACTATTCACCTGCCAGGTTCCAACTTACATTTTTATCTATCCCCGACCCCCTGTTCCCCCCTGGATTTGGTGCCTCAAGGGGGGGTAAGTTACAATATTTTCCCGCTTTGGGGGGTACCTCCAAAATTGTAACTTACATTTCTGACCCCCTCCCCCTGAAAACCATGGCTAAGAGGGTAGGGATTATATAATGAGTCATGGGGAAAAAAACAACGAAAATGATGAGATATATATATATATATATATATATATAGGTGATGATGGTTGACTGATCTTTTGGGGATTATCACTGCCGTGGTTATGGCTCCTCGATCACACCCAGGATGTCCACCACCATGGTGCAAGCCTCCAAGGCGTAGTTCAGCAGCGCAGTTTTTGACTCCATCGCCAAATGTCGAATCTCTTGGGAAAAAGCAGCTGCAGTAAGAGCTGGCTTGGGCTAATGCACACTGATATGAACAGATACTACACAAATGGAAGAGGTGCTTGCAGATTCCAGCACTCCCCCTTTAAAGCTTCCACTGAAAATAAATGGCCAAGCTCAAGCTGCTGAATTGTAGCCTAAAGACAGGCTGTGCAACAGGCAAACGTGCTAGTTCTATCAGCACGCCCACGCGTTGGATCTGAATGAGCGATCGCTCCCCAGTCGATAAACATCGCGTCTCCCTTCTTCGGAATCTTTCTTTTTTGATTCGCTTCACGACGACAATCGCTGCAACAGACCGATGCACGTGTCACACCAGTTTCAGGAGCAGTCAAGTATCGACAGTGAAGACTGTCATGATATACTGAACTATACTTCGTTGTATAGACCTGGAAGGGCATGTCAATCAATTCCTCAATTGGAGGTTCTCGATGGGGACAAGGATAGGATCACCAGGAAGAGCTCGTGTCAATTCTGCCCTCACCCGCCGCTCCTCTTTCTCGATCTCATCCCATTCTTCCATTGTGTCACGTGGAGGTTCTTCTCTCGCGTGCAGTGTCATAGGAACTTGATTCGAACTGGCTGCTGATTGATCACGTCGTTGATTTGGCGCGGAGCTTGATATCACCAGATGGTGACTTCGCAACGCTGGGATTTCGATCTCCTGGCTGTGAAGATGAAGGTGCTTGATGAAGTCGCTCTGCATGCTTTAAACTGACGGGCCGCTCCACAAATGAACGGGCAGGTTCTTCAGCGATTCCTCCTTTGGAGACATCTTCGCTTTCTCCTTCTCCAGTTGCTTCGGTGTGACTTCCTTGTTGAGCCAAAACACGTTGGTGAATAAATTCGGCTCCTCGTACTCCAGCATTCCAAAGCTTCTGGATCGTCAGGGTCAGAAGGACCACGCAGATGGTGTGTAGATGATGATGACTCCAAATGGAACTGATTCCGCTCCTCCTCCTTCTTCATTCTCAGCCTTGGTGACCGAAATGGATGCGCAAGAGCTTGATCACCTGGGCAGCCTGCTTCAACCTTGATTCCTGTTTATCGGCCGGCTGGCCCGTCCTCCTTTTCTCTTCTACTTCATCTTTCCCTTTCTTTTCTTCTTCTTCACTTTCTCCATTCAACTTCCCCATGCCCATGAGTCGCTTCAACAGCTCCAATCGGGCTGCAGTGAGAGCCTTCGTGCCGATGTCTGCTAACATGACTTCACCCAGCACGTACTGAATCATCCAGTCACCGGCAATGACTGATTGACGAGCAAAAGCTGCTCTTAGACGCAGGTGTCTGTCGCGCGAACTGCCACCAACGTGGCAAAGGATAGCCACGCCGGACAAACTTTCCGTCTTGATAGACTTGACCACGTTGCCATAGAGCTCGTTGATGATGACGGCAGTGGACTCACCGGCCACCATTCCTTCCACTAATTTCGGTCAGCTCTGACTCCGCGGTTGACACAATGTCACGAAGCTTTGACGCCCTGATCTCCAAAAGACTGGAGCCGATCCAAGCATCACCACGAAGCTTCCATGAGATTCCTGAGAGCCCGGCGTAAATGATGCATCGGTGTACGCCGTGAGGATGGGATCTTCATGTGCTTCGACTTGAAATTTGATCCCTTCTTCTTCAGTTGATAGAAGGTAGCCCTTGACTTGGGCTGCAGCTTTCAAGACGGCCTCTGGCGCCTTGGTGACTGAAGTGTCCATTCTGCTCAAGTCAGGCCGTGCTCGCGCAGTGAGCCATAGAGCTTCTCCCACTCCGTTCTGGGCAAGACGAACTGATTCCATAGTGGGGCCTTCCGACGATGGCTCCATGAGAGCTTGATCTCAAGATAGAGGAATTCTTTTCGGCCTCACCTTCTCTTGATCTTTCTGGATGGTGTCTTTCGCGTGGCTCTGTTGGGAGATCATCCAGACATCTTGCTCTGAATGTTCATCCTTCTTCTTTGAAATCTCCATGCCCGAGAATTTAATTGGATCTTGGGAAATTCTTTCTGGGGCTGACACGGACCACGTGTCCTTGATCTTGTTTCACATGGCGTCCATCAAAGCTGGGGCTGGGGTTGATGTGATGAAGAGGTCATCAACGTAGGTCATGAGGAGCCATATAGATTTCGCAGTCCTCCACGTCATTGGCGTTGAGAAGCTTCCGTAGATTTGGCTCAGATTGGAGGGGTTGTAAGTGGAAGTTCATCAGCTTCCCATTGTGCTCCCCCTGGATGTGGAAAGTAGACATGGTCTCATCTCCTGTGATGCTCCATAGACGTGGTGACCTTCGAAGTCCATAGACTGCCTTCTCTGGGAGGTAATAGACATCCCTCCTCAAATACACCTTTTCAACCAGCAGTGATGGCGGTTTGACCACGATGAGTGGCTCGTCCTCGCTTTGGACTTGGCATTCAGGAAAGCCGTGCCGACATCCACTGCCCGCGCTTCCCATTAATGTTGGGACGCACACCACACCAGAATTCGTAGTGCGGCTGCGTCTGCACCTGCTGAAGTTGTCTTCATCGTCACAACGAGTTTCCCAGTTCCCACAGATGACCCATGTCATTTTCTTCTTTCCACCTGCTGGCCCTGGCTTCTTCATGAAGACAAGCTTTGATGGGATGAACTCAATCTCCCCTCCTGTCTTCTCTGCTTCCTCCTTTAACTTCTGAAGCTCCTCGGGGAAGATCTCTCTGAATGCCTCCTTCTCTGTCAGCATCGAGTCGACTTCACCACCAGCCGCAGTGAGCCAATCCTCCCAGTTCTCGGAGACTTCCTTTTGCGACAAAATGTGTGTCTGTAGAATCTCTTCCTCCTCATTGGGGACTTCGGCCATCTTCTTCAACTTGTGGGTGATCTTCATTTCTTCTGCGGCAAACTTAGGATCATCCCCAATCATTAGGCGCATCTCCTGCTCAATGACTCGCAAGAGATTCACCCTCCTTTTGCGGTCTTCACTCTTCTCTGCTTCTTTCTCATCCTCCTGTTCAACCTTTCTGATCGCTGATTTTTCTCCCATCCTCCTTCTAATCACCAAGGCATCCACTGTTTCTTTCTCCAAAGCCATCCAGCTTTCTTCAGAAATTGGTAGCTGAGCAGGCTTCATTCGTATTTTGGTGACCCTCGGACTCGGAGGTTCGTCCTTTGGCAGAATCCAATGTCCATGTTCTTCATGGGCAGGGCATATAGGTATTGGACCTTCTCTGTGGACACGTCGAAAGTGCCTTCACGCCATTTCCTCTTGCGCACCAGGATTTTTTCCCCACACGGGATGCCCTGTTGAGCTCATTGACGAAGCGGGTTGCCCATGGCCACCATGATGCATTGGCTTCAGCTTGTAATAGAACACGTCGAATTTGGATCTTGATGGAATTGACAGCCACTTCAGCTCGGCCATTTGCACGTGGGTCATCTCCCGTGTACGGGTAATTGGATTCCACATCAGCTCTCAACCTGAGCAGCATGTCCATGGTGACTCTGACCGCCTCCTTTGCCTTCTTTGCCTCGTTGGGGGTCTCAGCCTCAAGGGAGCCTCCACTGTTTCCATGACCATTCTTTGGTGGTCTAACAGCCTCTTTGGGGGTCTCAGCCTCCTTTGTCGCCATCAGGGGTAGAAAATTTTTGTTCTTCACCATTCAAATTTTCTAGCAGCTCAATCCTTTCCCTCAACCTCCGATTTTCTTCCATGACGCTCTCCAAACCCTTCCTAAATTCAACATGTTCATTGGAACTTGGAGGAACCATGTAGGGATATGCATGCGACGGTTGATCCCCAACATTCAAAGTCCCTTGGATTCGTCTTTCTTCTTGATCTAAAAAGAGAGGTCGTGCCAGAGGTGGTTGAACGTGCATTGGAGGAAACATCATTCCAGGATACAACCATGGCGCCTGGCTATGTACAGTAGTTCTTGAAACGGTCGCAACTGCTGATCATAAAAGAGCGGCTGCACTGGTGAAGTTCCAGTCTGTGACGCTGGAGTTGCCTGTGCTCGAACAACTTGTTGTGCTCATGCTGCATCGCTTTCCGCTTGGTGAGGACCATTAGACATCACGGAATCATTCTGTGTGTCCTTGGCTTCTACGATTTCCATCGCTGCAGGAGCAAGTGCCCTCTGAGATTCCGGTGATGCCCAGAAACTGCTGGTTGCAGAGATACTGAGACGTCGGTGGACCTGCAGGAACAGCTGACAAAGCCTCAGGCGCTGTTCTGGATTCTGGTACCTGTGATGCCTTAGCACTTTCCTGCTTAGGCACTGGAGGATGCAAAGGCTTCGGGGTTCCCACTGGTTTTGGGGGAATCGAAACTTTCAGCAGACTCTGGACCTATTTCTTCTGACTGTGCAATTTCCCTATCTAACCTTTTTTGGGCTTCTTCCATTTCTTTCTCACCTTGCGCTAACTCTTCAGCTGTGGCTCTTCGACGGCCAAACATAGTTGGAAGTGCAGGGGCTTGGGCTCATAACCTGCCGTGGTTAATGCCCCTTGCACCCAGGATGTCCACCACCAAGCCTCCAAAGCGTAGTTCAGCAGCGCAATTTTGACTCCATCGCCAAATGTCGAATCTCTTGGGAAAAAGCAGCTGCAGTAAGAGCTGGCTTGGGTTAATGCACACTGATATGAACAGATACCACGCAAATGGAAGAGGTGCTTGCAGATTCCAGCAATCACAATCCATGGACTGGGGAAATCAATTAAATTGGCTCTTGGCCAAGCAATATAATGGCTCCAGAATGGGAACATCCAGATATAGATCGGTCTCTCTTCACCCAAAAAAGGCAACCAGAATGACAATCGAAAGGACCAAACGATGTTAATTATCAACCCATTACCAATTGCGATGCGCATAGAAAGGTTAAACCATACTCTATCGCTATTTTGGAATTTGATTTTACCAAAATTACTTTACTTCGTGTGATCCCCACCATGACATTTATACATTTTCTTACTGGCAAATCTTCTGGCATTCTATCTGACATATCTTCTGACATTCTATTTGGCATTCTATCTGGCATATCTTCTGGCATATGATCTGACATATCTTCTGGCATATTTTCTGGCATTCTATCTGGCAAATCTTCTGGCATTCTATCTGGCATATCTTCTGGCACTCTATCTGACATATCTTCTGGCATTCTATCTGGCATATCTTCTGGCATATATTCTGACATATCTTCTGGCATTCTATCTGACATATCTTCTGGCATATATTCTGACATATCTTCTGGCATATCTTCTGGCATATCTTCTGGCATATCTATCTGGCATATCTTCTGGCATATTTTCTGGCATTCTATCTGGCAAATCTTCTGGCATTCTATCTGGCATTCTATCTGGCATATCTTCTGGCATATTATCTGGCATTCTATCTGGCATATCTTCTGGCATATATTCTGACATATCTTCTGGCATTCTATCTGGCATTCTATTCTGGCATATCTCTCTTCTGGCATATCTTCTGACATTCTTTCTGACATTCTTTCTAACTTTCTTCTGCACATTCTTTGTCCCATATCTTCCTACATGAGGTCCGGCAGGGAACACTTGGCGTGGATACTCGCGGTTGAGGTCCGGCAGGGAACACGGCGTGGATCGTGGTTGAGGTCCGGCAGGGAACACTGGTCGTGGTTGAGGTCCGGCAGGGAACACTGGGCGTGGGTGGTCGTGGTTGAGGTCCGGCAGAGAACACTGTGGATCGCGGGTCGCAGTTGAGCAAGGACGACGACGAGGACGACGAGGACGACGAGGACGACAAGGACGACAAGGATGACAAGGAGGACGAGGAGGACGAGGAGGAGAGGAGGAGGAGGACGAGGCAGGAGTGTGGAGGAGGCAGGAGGAGGCAACTGACATAAAATCTAACAACCCTCACCTGGCAGGTGGGGAAAAATGCATCTTTTGGAGGTTGCGATAGATATGGACAACAACCATGAGGAAACCAAAAAAATCAATGTATATAATCAAAAAAGCCATTGACCATTGTGATACTATTCTATTCTCTTGGGGGTGCTGTGTATGTGTATTATTATTTTATACATGCGTTGTATGAATGGGCAACGGTCCAAATAATGCTATTTTGCTTTGCTTTAGGTGTTGATATGAAATTAAATTACACCAAGGCATAAACGCCATACCCACTGCATATATATATATATATGTATATATATATATATGTATATATATATATATGTATATATATATGGGTTTGTCTGAAAATAGGTTAACCCTGTATCCATTGATTGATCCTCATGTCCCCAGTAAAATGGAGATTTTGGGGGTATATCATATATTCAGTCCCAAAAACATAGTGACATATTGTTGGTCAGCTGGATCCCGTTATATCCCCATAGATGATTTATCCCATTCGATGTTTTGGCCCATTTCTACGTAGAGGATCATCCCACTCAATAAGTCGTTAAAAACCATACTTCCCTAGTGCTCCAAATACGTTCTCCAAATAGCTGGTTGGTGGTTTCAACCCCTCTGAAAAATATTAGTCAGTTGGGATGATTATTCCCAATATATGGAAAAAACAAGATGTTACAAACAACCAGCCAAACAGTGTTTAGAGCCCAAAAAACAACTCCAAATACAATCGAAGGTGTTTGGAGCTGTAAGGCTACCAATTCATACATCCCACGAACCGCGATTAACCAGGCTTACTTCATATTGCTTCTTATTCCCTGTACTGTAATATCCGTATGTAACCAGTAACCTGTGCATACCCTGTACATCGGTATACAATGGTATACATATAAATATATATACATATATATATATATAATACATATTATATATATATATATATACACGCAATTATATACACATACAGGGTAGGTATCCTTTTACAACAACCTATTCCACCCTCCACAACCGGACCCGAGCAGCCCTTGTCTGGAAAGATATTTTCGGTCTGTGGCACATCACTGCCAAGACCTCGCTCAAGGATCTGCTCCTGTAGAGATCGATCGGGCGTAAAAAATATGGGATTTCAGGTGGATTTCTGATAGGTAAGCTGCTGGGATTTGGAACTACCAAAATGTGGGGAAATAATTTAAGAATTTGTTAGTGAAATTTATTGTACATTTGTAGCATCTACACATGGATCAACCATGAAAAACGTGGCTTTAACCAGGTTTAACATTCAAATGTCGTGATATATGCTGGGTCAATGGGAAACAAACACAGGAACATCACGATGTGCGGCCCCCAATATAGGTAAGTTGGTATACAACTAAAAAAACTAAGGTTTATTGGGAATGCGGGATACAGCTACTGTGGGATGATTATGGATGATTTGTTTTTAATTAAACCTACCACTTTGAAAGCAGCTTTGTATTATAACAATTATGACGGTGGCATCTGTCATGTCTGTGTAATGATGCTGTGAAATTGTTGTTTTCATAGTCTATAATTACACATATAGAAGATGCCAGCATGTTGTTTTTACCACTTTAAAAACAACATATGGCAATGTGAGAAACAAAACTATATATATATACACATATATAGGCACTGGAAACATGGTTGACTTGCCTTTGATACGGTGTGACAAGTGCATAATTTATGAGGTTTGGTGTGTATAAATAAGGTACAGTTCAGTAATGTCCAGTCAAAAACCGCAGCAAAAAACGCAGCTCGAAGCGAGGTGTCGAAGTTGGGCTCCAGGAACCCAACCTACGGGGAATGCTGATGCGAACTTGAAAATGGCAATTGAAATAGTTGATTTACCAATTAAAAATGGTGACTTTCCATAGTATTTTGTATGTTTACCAGAGGGTAACTGTCCAACAAGCTCTCCTTGGTATCATCTGAAGGGTCGAAGTTGAAGTTTCCACAATGTCCGTCCTGGCCAAGTTGACTAACGCCGCTTGAAAAGCCACTGGACATCGATGTTTGTGGAAAGCCCAGTGCCATAAGCCCTAGAATCGGGATGATGTTTTCAATGACATGGCTGGTGAATGGGATGATTTATGGCAGCTTTACCAGATGATTCCAAATAAATGGATCAAATTGATGCATCCACCGGGACCTTTTAGGAAACCAGCAAGGCTGGGTGTTTCAACGGTAGAGATTCCACATCTGGGACAAAGAGCTGACTGAAAGAAACTGTGTCCTGACCATTCAGTTGCTGGGGCATCTTGATGATCGCATCCTGGCTGTGGCTTCCAACCCCAAGAAACAGAACAGGAACAAATCATTCGAGTCGCCATCATCATCATCATCAGCATCATCATCATCATCATCACCACCATCATCATCACCATCATCATCATCAACATCATCATCACCATCACCATCACCACCATCATCATCATCATCATCACCAGCATCATCATCATCATCATCATCAACATCACCATTATCATCATCATCATCAGCATCATCATCATCACCACCACCATCATCATCAGCATCAGAGTTAATTTTGGGATCATCATGCCATGTCTGCATGTTTTCTTGGCTTTAGCTACATGACTAAGAATATGGGTTTGCCTGAAAATAGGTACCAATCACCATTTTCCTCTAGAGAGTAATACATAATAATACACTATTTTCAGACACACCCATATCTGAAACCACTAACCAGCGTCAATATGCTCTGGCCAGCGGTTCACTATCAACTCCACATTTCCTCGGTCGCCAGCTACATCTGCATGGGGAGTTCCATATATGGGGCTGCCGGGCTACCCCAATAGCTGGATGGTATGGAAAATCCAAAACAACATGGATGATTGATGATTTAGGGGTACCATCCATATCTTCTGGTGGCCCATATATTATTAATGAGCATGTCTTCATGTCTAATCTCTACCCACAAAATGTCGATTGGTTTAGGTAGGATCTTCTCCTAAAGAATGGATCATTTTTTAGGTGCCCCAGGACCCAGATCTTGCAGAGACCAATTTAGGTCGATGGCGGTCGCAAGAGGTTATACAAAGTGGGGCCCCCAACCGCTATGTTGGGTTTGAATCTCCACTATAGATACCGGTAACTATAGATATTCCCCTAACCCAAGTTATTGTATTGAACTAAACCAACATAGTTATCGACCGGGGGCCCACATTGCACATCATTCTCCAATTTCGTATCGTGAGATGAGCTTGACTCCAGCAACATGAACAAGACCGTGTCAGAAGCCTAGCGTTTGGGTTTCACGGGCTGTGCGGGCTGTGAGCTATTGACAATACACCATGAGAAGCCTTCTTCACCAGTGGCTAAACCAGTGGATGCCTCTGAATCACATCCTATTTTGCTCGAGGTCTTGCGGCTCACACATATGTTTTTTGTCTGATACCAGTATCTTTACCTATACCTGAACGGGCAGATGCTAGATTCTGTGATGTGGCGCATGATTCTGATCGAAAATCTGAGTACATCTTCCAGCATCTTCCAGCTTCGGAGCCTGAAGAAGGGTCATATCGACTTCCACAACGGGTTTTCCCTGAAAAAAAAAGTGCCAAGCCACGGACCATAAATCCGCGCAGCAGTTTCACAGGATAACCTGACAGGACGCCTAGGTGCTGAGGGCGATGATCTAAGGGCCGAAGCCAGGTGTTGGGATTTCTTGACGGAAAGGGATTTTGCCCGGTGTTTTGCGATGGTTTACTATGCTTTTGTGGAAACTATGATCCAATACTGTTTATCCAAAGATCTATCGTAAAGAGTTACTATCGAAAGATGATCTTAGGCTTACGATGATCCAATACGAACTCTTTACGATCCAGATCTATCTTTCGTAAACATTGGTGTACGAAGTGATCCAGATCAGAGGCATACCCAACCGTTGGCGGGAATCCAGGATCATGTCGCACGGGATATCTAAATATGAGTGAGTCAGTCAGTTGGGAAAACTCATGAAATGCCCAAGTGAAAAATACATTTCATGTTCCAAAGCACCAGAATCTATTTAATTATATATATTTTTTTTATATTATTATATGAATTCTAAATAGTTCTAAATGGCGACTCAGTGACTGACTGAGTGACTGATATCCTATTTGTCGATTTCATCCTAGACGGCTTATGAACAGCAAGAAGTATGAAATTGAGACATCTGAGACAGACATGGTCTTCTCTTCATTACAGGGAAAATCACTTCAGTTCGTACGCCACTTCAGTTCATACGCCGTTATGGTTGTTTATGAGTTCCAAGAATAATTCAATTTCACCCCTGAATTAGTGAACCCTAGGCTGTTTAATTGGGGGGTGTCATTTAAGTTAACATGTAAATATCAGATTTTCACTATTTGGAGAGTACACCCTCAATTGATAAACCATGGTTTATTAATCCAGGGTTGACTTTACTACATCTCCAATTACCCAATCTATATATTAATTAGTCTATGGAAAACTATAACTATGGGAAACTAACATAACTATGGAAAATCACCATTTTCAATGGGTAAATCCACTATAAACGGCCATTTTCAATAGCTATGTTAAATTACCAGAGGGTAATTCCTTCACATGTTGTCATCATCTTGCGCCATGACCCATCGCCCACCGGTACCACCGAGCCGCTGTCGATGTGTTTCTCGCCCTCCGTGAAGCGCAGCCGCGCGTAGGGCCGCGCAAACTCCGAAGGAATCGACGACAAAATCTGCTGCTTGTTCCAGGTCACGGCGCCTGGAGAAGCCAACTGCCGTTGTTTTTTTTTGGGGATGGGTAGTGTAATATGATAAGCGTACAATATAGTTATAATATGTTATAGTCTAGAGTCTAGATCGTGTATGTTTTTGTTATTTGTGTATTAATCTGATAATAGTCCAGAGATGTCTCGTGTATGTTGTATTGTTGAATAAAACGGTAATGTGAACCACCTCATGTATATCTTCATGTTGCAAGTCACAAGACCTGAAACAACGAGCATCAAGAACCCCATCTAAATGGTGACGTCTGCTGAAATCAAGCCTGAGTTCACTGAAACCTTTCTCTTCCCACATCCAGATATTATCCACATATATTATCAACATCATCACTCCGTCACTTCAAGACTTCGCAATACTTCACATATTAAAAACCATTATATCCCACACTATTGGTTTATATTCGGTGAACAATAATTACTATTACATCAAGCATTATTCCAACCACAATTGCAATAGTTGTATATAAAATATATTATATACGGTTCAATGACAATAGAATATCTCTGAATCTCTATATTCAACCATTATAACCATTGAATAGAATCTCTGCCGTAGAACAAAACAGCTCACTTTGCGACCCAGGTGCCACTCATGGGCTGAATGACGATGGTGTCATTGTTGATGAAGGGCCCACTGATGGCCAGTTCCAGCAAGGCCGATTGCCCATCCACCGTAAACTGCGTGGTGCCGTAGCGGCCCTGGATCTTGATATCCTGATTTTTCACCTCGAAAAAACCCAACGAAAGCCTGGAGGATTGTGGATTGTGACCATTGTTCTGCCTTGTTCTGAGTATAACCAAAGCATGAAACCTTTCTGGAGGATTGTCCCCAAAGTGGAGCGTAACAAGTTGGCGGTACATCCCTGGACACCGAAAATGGCATGCGGATGCATGGGGAGCGTATGACATGGGATGGAATGGTTGGGAAAGACACCAGTCAAAGTGACTTTAATTCGAACGAATCTTAGAATGAGGATACCTACCCTCTGGTAAACGTTTACATAACTATGGAAAGATCCACCATGCTATTGATGGGTAAATCAACTATTTCGACTCGGCCATTTTCAATCGCTATGTAACGAATTACCGGAGAATAACTTCGAAAAACCCAAATGCAATCCAAATGCTCCATGTATGGAATATGTACCTACATTTACCCCAAAAATTGCACAAATGTAGGTAAATATACCATACATAGAGCATATGGGAAGCAATGCCTTTTCTGTTTTCCAGTCAACCTTCTGAATCCTTTTCGTATCACCCAGGGAAGGCCCTTGGCTTCAGCTGCCCAAGCACCAAGTGGCAGCTGAGCTCTGGCAATTCTCGCACCAAGCGTCGAGAATGTACCCTCTGGTAAACAAACATAGCTATTGAAAATTGAAAATGGCCATAGAAATAGTGGATTTTCCCTTTAAAAGTGGTGGATCTTTCCATAGTTATGTAAACGTTTACCAGAATGTCGTGCATGGTAGGGTACTGAACTGCCCACCTGGCGTAGACTTGTCTTGTCACCATGCTTTACGCGGTGCTGGTGGTGTCGACCGCTAACAAGGTCCTCTTTCTTCGGGGATTCTTCGAGGCAAATGCAGGAACTCGGAGGGTGTCATCAAACATTGCTAGCTGGAAAAATGTGGAAATATGCCTTGTTAGGAAGTGTTCGGAATCTGTATATACACATATATAAACAGCCAAACTCCCGCGATGGAAGATACAAGTGGTTCAATCATATATGGAATATATATATATATATACCTAGGCCTGCCTCTGGTACCAAATTTCCGCCGCTTGATCAAACATCAAAAATTTTTGGCGTCTCACAAATTTACGCCTTTTCATCTCAAAAGTGCCGTTTGGCTTGGTGATGTTGGGTGAAAGCCCCAGACTTGATTATGGGTGAAGATCTTTCCCAAAAGCTAAGACAGTAGAGAAGCATGATCAGCACAATGGGTTCAAGATGATTCAGTTTCTTTTGGTCTACAGGATTTGGGTCATGAAAAAACCCACAGCCTCGTGTTTGACTTCCACGTACTCACACTCACGCCATGATTTTCACTGCAGCATCAACTTCGGTTTCACATGTCGTGCCTGGGCCTCAAGTGGGTTGCTTGGGAAACGCCCGTTTGTAGAGGAACCGACACTTAACCAAAAACAACTGCAGGCATCGTCTTTCCATCGACCTGCTATCAACTAGCCGGCTAAGGCGAGAAACCCGTCCAATAACGTCTTCATTTATCTCACAGCTGTGGATGGCTGGGTTTAAGAATTTGATTGCTGTCTTGTTTTTCAGTGCCTTGAACAAATCCAAGGCTTCATGTTTCCACGCATGAATTTTGTAAACCATGGCAAAGGCAGTGATATCGTTTTCCAAAGACCACCTGGCTAGCCAGGCATAACCATTCAGCAAAGTACACATGTGCTCATACAAATGGATTGCACACGCTCTGTCCAGCAGTAGCGGGTGGGAGACCATGACATCATAGGAATCCTTTGCTGCCTTCAGGGCAGACCTCATGACTTTCATGACAGGAATATGGGCTGGTTCTTTTGGATCGAGCAGCAACTGCCCAACAAAATCATCCAACCATCTCGTAATAAGCATTACGTCACTGCCTTTGGTGTTGAACCAAGGGCTTGTACTCAGGTTTGGCCATGACATCAGCGATTTTGAGAAAGTTCTCAGTGCGGGTGATTTGTGGAAGGTAGCGCACCACAATTGGAAATGCCCATGCGCTCTCTGAATCAAAATAGGAATGCTGTTTCCATCGGGTGACAGCAGATCATCGAAGTATTTCCAAAGAATACATGCAGCCAGTATTGAAGCAGTTAAGTGGCGAAAAAGCCCCATCTTCAGTGTGTGAAAAGGGTCCCTCCGATACATTTGTTCTGGTCGATTTCCATCGAATGGAATCTGGGACAGCACCGGTTCTGCTCTCCAAGGTCGGATGGTGAAGATGGTCCTCTCCCACGAGGGTCTCTCCGAGATATCCTCAGCAGGCATGCCGGCGCGGCCTGCCAGGCATTCGTGGCAATATTCAGCATCAGTTGTTCTTCCCATTCTGGTATACCATCTGGAGAAATTTGCCACGTAATGGTGGAACTTGATGTCGGCTTTCAAACCCAAGCAAACAGGTGTAACAATACGGTGCTGTTCGATTTCAATGCCTTCAAAAAAGAGGCGTCTCAAGTCCTTTGCTATCAAATCCAACAGAAACGGGACCAGTGTTGGGAAAGCCTTGTAGGTCGCACAAGGCAAGCAAAACATAACGAATCGTGTCAAAAAAGAATGTTCCTTGTAGTTGTGCAAGGCGAAGCATGCATTGCTCACTGGGACTGCCCCATGGTCCTCCCCACAAAACTTCTTCAGTGATGGTTCTTGTGGGCAGCAGTCGCAACTGTGTTTCCGTTTTCTGGTCTGGGCCTGTGCCGCAGACCTGATTCCAAAGGGGAAATCCATCATGAACATTGCTGTGTTTCCACGTCGGCGGCCCCTTCCTTCATCACCATACAGGTAAAAGGGGAGGCAATATTGCAAAGAATTTTCGTGCTGCTCAAAAACTCGGTGTGTTGGATGCTGGGTCCGATAAGCCTCCCAAAATCCATGAAGCAAGCTTGCACCTCCTGCTTGAAAAGATGTAAACCCACCCAGAACAACCTCTGGTGTGTTCCTCAACATGTAGGCCAACACATCGCTAGGTTTAATGTACGGAATGGGTAAATCCAGACCAACATCGGTGTGAAAAATCACTTCTGTAATCGGGATGTCCCATTTCAACCCCAGGCGGTTGATCAGTCTGTACATTGATCTACTAGCAGTGGAGCTAACCTTCTTGTGCAGGTCTGGTTTGGCAGCAATTGCCTTCGCTTTGGTGATGCGGACGACAGATGCACAAGAGGCCCCGTCGCCGGGTTGAGCAGCATGGGGTGGTTTCCAAAAAAAGTTCATTGAATAATTTCTTGGTTTCATTGCTGAGTTACGAGGGAAAAATTGCTCTTCTGAAAGATTACCCAATATTTGTCCATTGTAATTTGAACACGTATGTGCTGATACGCAGACAGTTTTGCAAAGAACGTCCAAGGCCCAGACCCCATCTGCAATAGATTCAGCAGCAGCTTCTTCTTGAAGTCGGGCTGCATCGATGAAAAAACCTGGCATGTCGGGTGAAACTAGCAGAAGTCAACAGAAGATGCCACTCGTTGAAAATTCTCCAGTTTGAAGCTGGCATGGCCTCAACTTCAAATACCTTCAAGTCACACCCCAATTCTGACACACAAGATTTTCCCCAGGCGTTTGAAGGTTTGCTCCCAATGCCAAAACTGTCAGCTTGCTTTGAAAAAAGCAGTCCTTCACCCACATATAAAGCCCCACGTCTGGGGTTTGGAAACAAGGCTGTCTTGCTGTGACGTCGGGGACTGAACCAGAAAAATGTCATGTTGGCCCCTAGACTTGCAAATGAGGTCACAGGTTGTCACACCACAGCGCGCATGTAGAAAATACTACAGCCTCGCAACAACTATCCTTTGGACACGTGCTGCCCTCACCTACTTCTTTACTTTGCGTGCCTTGGGAGCGCGCTTTGCACAAGCTGCTGTGGCCTTCGCCTTAGCCTTTGCTCGGGGGCTACCGGGTGCTTCACCCCTCTCACGCGGTCGCTTGGCTGCAGGCAACTTCGGCATTGCTTGCCTTGCACAAGGCCATGTGTGGGAGAATGATGGAGAAGGGACATCAGAAAAAGAAGCGGTGGGCTGCAACATGTTTCTTCGATTGTCGAAGAACATCACAACTCTCCAGCCTCATTCGTCCTTCCAATTCGACTCCAGCAATGGCCCTGGGTGAGCAGAGGCCAAAGAGATCAAGCAGACTAACAATGTTTTTTTGAGGGCCCCACTTTTTCACAGAAATGTCGTACACAGCTTGAAGTTCGGCTTCCTTCCTGGGAGAGCTGGGTTTGTAACTTGCTGTTCTTGACAATGGTGCATGGTTGCGTGTTGATTTTCTCAAGTTGCCAACCATACTGCCAACAAGTATCTCTTCAGAAAATCCATCCAAAAGACCAGTATCAAAGATGTCTGATATCTGGCTACGGAAGGATAGCAGCTCAAGACGCTCATTGTCCAACTTCTTGATCAACCTTGGCTTGGCCACAGCTGTTTGTTTTCCTTGTTCCCACCTGTCAGGTGAAGGTTGTTAGATTTTATGCCAGCTGTCCCGTCCCACCGCCTCCTCCGCCTCCGCTTCCTCCGCCAGACCTCAACTGCAAGCGCTAGACCCGCCGGACCTCAACTGCAAGCGCCAGATCGCAATACTCCCCGCCGGACCCGAACAGCAACCTCTGGAGCAAATTCCCTCCGGACCCCAACTGCAAGCGCTAGATCGCAGTGTTCCCCGCCGGACCCGGACTGCGGATCAGAGTGTTCCCCGCCGGACCTCAACTGCAAGCGCTAGATCCCAGTGTTCCCCGCCAGACCCGCACAGCAAGCTCAGGATCAGAGTGTTCCCCGCCGGACCTCAACTGCAAGCGCTAGATCACAGTGTTCGCCGCCGGACCCGAACAGCAAGCTCAGGATCAGAGTGTTCCCCGCCGGACCTCAACTGCAAGCGCTAGATCGCAGTGTTCCCCGCCGGACCCGAACAGCAAGCACAGCCACAAAAAAAATCAGGATATACCAGATAGAATGCCAGAAAGAATGTCAGAAGATATGCCAGATACATATGCCAAAAAAGAATATCAGATAGAATGTCAGCATATATATATATATGTAATATAATATATATAAGTATATATATTGAGATATATGTAATATGTATATATATATATACTTCCAGGTGGTATGTTAGAAACCATGAGTCAGAATATACAATATGTCAGGGTGGGGAACACTAAGAAAGTAATTGTTATTATTCTCCCAACCATGACTCACCACTTTTTGATTTGACAGCTCATATTGCTTCAAGAAGTTGCAGACCCTAGCAGTATCTACCGAAGTGGAGAAATATACTTGCCAATATTTTTCACATATGATAAAGCACGCTCATGTCATCGATGACTATCTTGGTATTCAGGGCTGAGGGGCCGCTTTTGGATGTCAGTGAAGGCCAAACCTGACTCCTGGTACTTCTTGTGCAGATCCGCCATTTTCCCAGCACGCTTTTCCAGGCAACTCCTGAGCACCAGACTACGAGGGCTGGGCATGACGCAGGAACAGCAGACGGTGGAAAGTCAGCTTTAATTTTGATGTTATTGCCGCTTTTTGGCAATGTTTCCGACCCCCCCCAAAAATAACACTTTACTAATTTAGTGACTCTATCTATTCATGTTCTGCCTTTGTTGGTTTGGTAGCTTTTGAAAGGATGGAATAACTGGAACGAGTTTCATCATCTTGTGTGCAATGGAGCTGGGGACTGCATCCTTCAACAACTCCGGAACTCCCAAAGTCTTATGGATCATCTTTGTCGGGTCTGTTGGGTCCGGAACCTTTGTGAGGTCAACCGGCGCACCTGCAGCTAGGGCGGCCAGGGATGATAGTCATCCAAATGATCAGCTAACCAGGTACTGTAAAGAACTTTGTTCTTAAAGAATGAACTCAGCCCATGACCTTCGAGGGACTCGGGGTGATCAGTGAGTCCATTGCGAGAATCCGTTCCCAAGTCAAAGTCCTCCACGCCGGCCGTCTCTGTCCAACGCAGGCGGCGGTTGATCTCAGTTCTGCTGCCCTTCCTCGAGACCCACGGACAAAAGCAAAATGGCAGGAAATAAAGGCTGAGTCAACTGGGCAATGTCGTTTTGATTTTCTGCAGTCAATAGATGTCACATTGTCACAAAAACCAGGTATATATAACACTTTCCAGAGAGAGCCATGGTTCTTCAAGCTTGCCTTGATGTGGCGTTCTGCCCAGTAAAGGACAATATCCTCGTAGCGATCTTGCCTGGCAGGGAGTTGGATATGGAAGATACTGGAGATGTTTTGCAGGCACAAGCTGTGTACTTCAAAAAATTGAATAACACGCCTCATCAATACCGCTGGGTTGGTCTTGCAGTAAGCGATAACTGCAGCAACCCTCTTCCTAAGCAACGGACTGGGTGAGCTTTTGAAAGGAATGTCCAGTTCGTTCATTTGTGTTTGGGATTCGTTACAAATCAACAAGACGAAATGGGGCAAAGAATCTGACTCCAGCCCCATTCATCTGTCATAGTCGCCTCGCTCACGTACTCAGCTTCCACCTTGAGGTTGGAGTCGGTGTACTCCTGTTTCAGTATGTCGACCTCAACTTTGAAGGTCTCCTCAGGGGGCCGAGCATAGGAGAGTATCCCTGTATCAATTTTTAACAATTGAACACACAGCCACATACCATGTCGCACCCCCAAAGCTTGACCATTTCAGAATTTCAGGCATGTTGGGTTTCCCATCTAGCGATTAATGGGTGATTGTTCCCCAGAGCCATTCAGAGTTATATCTTACACGAACAAGAACATATTGTCGCGGTGTTTTTTTATTGGGAGAGCTATTGAGGTTACGAACTGAAACTACCTAAAGGTGTTTTATTTTTAGCCATATGTATCCATATCCTTTGAAGGAATCTGCAACATGTTTCAACTTTTTTCGAAAACAGTCCACATCAAAGCCACAAGCTTGGAACATCCGGAACACATCATCCCTGGACTTCCCACCATCTTTGTACATCTTAATCACATCAGCTGAAATCTTGAACGCGCCATTTGCCCGGGGCGTGACAGCACGTCGAAGTCGCTGATCGATGGCTTCTTTCGACAGGTGCAAAGAACCTGGCGATGGCCGTGGCAAATTCAAGTCGTCGTGGTAAGCCAAGGACTGCGGAGTCACTGGAACAGCCCTTCTTGGTGTAGCTGCTGGTGTAGCTACTGGGGTCGGGGTGGCTACCTGAGTATCTTGCAGTCCCAGCTGGTTGTCTGGGTGGTAGGAAGGCGTGTCCGGCACAGTAACAGGAGACTTTGGGTGTGTATTGCCAGGACAATCCAGATGGCTCACAGGCGGCATGGATGGTGGTGGGGGCAAAGTGCCATGAGCTGGCACTCCCACTCTCTGGTTCAAGGCCTAAGTAGGAAAAGGGCCCAACAAAATCTGGCAAATACGTTACGTTGTTTTCTTTGGTATACTCACTAGGCCATCACCCCAAATAAGTTTCAACTCCATGATGATCAAACAATTGAGTAAACAGAACAGTATTCAAGGGTAAGCTGCCCATTCTTGTGGGAAATATTTGTCTCTGTAGTTGTGGGGGGGCCCAAAGATCAAATAATCCCAAACATCGCGATGATATTATCTCGTGTCATACTGGCATCTGGTATCCCATTCTGTATGTGGGCTCAGCTTTACTACAACTTTGCGGGGCCCGCCAAACCCAACCCAACATAGGAAGCATGTTATAGTCAAACAAATGGTCCCATTGGACACTTCCCCAGATCTACTTGCATTTTAAGGCTGGTGAAGAAATCATAACATCCCAGTTGTATATGGCAATTCTTGCTTGGTACTTGGTTGTGCTGAACCACAACAAGCTCGACAATAATGGTGGAAAAAATGTGGGATGTCTCCCCCCAAAGAACGACACCTCTATTATTGCAAGAATTTTTGTTTGGCTATCTATGAGAAGAAATGGACAGATTTTCATTAAGATATTTCTGAATCCCAATTGTAAAATGGATATGTTTTTGTTTGCTAGTTACTTAGGCAACACCATACCCCTTTCGAATTCTGGTGGTTGATGATTTTGACAAGTCAGAAGCTGATGCCCTTTTATTGTGGTATCCCCCAAGCATCCCTTGTGTTTTGTCAAACTGATTTGTTTTCTTGGGAACCCCTCAAGCCGGCAAGCTGCTTCCAGCTCGGCTTCAAGTTCTGCGTCAGATCTCGAAGCAAGGAAAGAGGCAGGCTGTCGGTTCACAGCATCCACCCCAGCAAGAAGGGTGGATGAGCTAAATTGTTTACTCAGCGACATCACCGGTAAAGGGCAGGGGCCCAGAAAGTTGGACACAAAAAGGGAAGGCTGCAGTTCACCCAGGGATTCAAGTTGATGCCCTTGACGGGAATGGTGCATCATAAAAGCTATCTACGTTTTTCTGTTTGCATCTCACAGAAAACAAATCTTTTCTTTGCTCGCGCACGCCAAGATGCGCACGTAGGCTGATGCAATACACTGGAACTTAATTTTCCTGAAAACCACGCAAATAACACCAAAATAAACTACGCCTTTTGGTTGGGAATTTACGCCTTTTGGTTGGGAAATTACGCCTTGACACGGTTTCAAAATTCACAACTGGTTTTCAGCTGCGGTGAACACACGTTGAGTTCACATCTAAGTGAAACATTCCCTCCATTCAGGCGGAATAGTCAGCTTAACGCTGCCCCTCGCATATCGAACCACTTGACTTAAATCAGCCTCGGGCCAGGACTCCGACTCAAAGTTCTTGAAGGCAGAGATCACATCAGGCGCCAAGTTCGCCTGTCAAATGAGGTGCTGGAGTAGGCCCCAACATGAAAGGAAGAATTTTTTAATAGTCGCACATCTGAAAAACACAATCCATGTAAATTCCACCAAGGCACGTTGTCAAAAAAAGATTGTTTGTCAGAACATTTCCACCAACGAATCAGGTTGTAGACAGAGAGGGCAAATCCCGCGGGGTAGGTCCTTTGCAGAAAGAGAGAACTGGCAAGGAACGACCTGGAGTGAAGTGGTTATTGGTCAACCACATGGACCCCGATAGACCCCCAAAGCTTTTGAAAGGGGTTCAAGCTAAGAGTGCAGACCCCTATTTTCAAAAACCCATGTCTTGACCAATACCCGTTTCGCAGTACATGAGCCAAAGTAACTACCGAATTACCATACCTAGGCACTGTGACCCCTTTAAGGACGACGTCCCCTGCCATCTTCGCTTGCCAGATCCATCTATGTACTTGCGAACTAAAGTCACATCCGACTTGTGACCTTTCAGTGAAAGGTTTCCACGGTCCATGTAGCCTACCTGCTTGATACTGCTCAGCAACACCGTGCGCTTTGGTGAGGGACCTTTGTGATGCCTCATCCAAAAGAATTGGCGAAAAACCTGTGGCAGGTGAAGGGAGGAAAGTTAGTTGAGGGGCAGGTGAGCTGGTAGGAGGTTCATTGCAAATCTTTTACCAAAGAACTACTAAAGCCATGTAACAGGTATTCCATGTGCTCGCAGGGTTTTGATGAACCACTGGACTCTTGGATAATCAAGAATTGACGATCCTGCTGGTTGCTCCAGAAGGTACATTCCGTCAACCACCAGCACGAGCACCACCAAAAGAAGTGTCCTTCAAGGGGAATAATCCAAATTAGTAACGTAGGATGGCTTCCAAAACCTGGCCATTTCACAGGAACCATGTAGACTATAGAACCATGTAAGTAAACCAAATTGACAATCGCTTTGAGGTGATGGTGTCAAATTTTGGGAGCCAATCAGGTGAGAAATTGAAAATGTCCGAACAGATGGTGAACACTAGTGCCCAAAAAATCCGGCAAGTAGCTTGAGTCCTTGACATCATTTTGTTTCCACATTGAATAGAAATGTGGAAAACATTGCCCCACCCATTGAGTAAGTCTCGACAAGCCGTCCCTTGATTCGCAGCGCAAAAGCTAGAACACACAGGCGCAAACATGCCAGCAAGGTCTGCCCATGCACCGGATAAGATCATTTTGATCGCCAACCTAAGTCCCGGGGCAAACTGTGATTGATTCAAAGATTGTTGTAGGAACATGTCTCGTTCCAAAGATGACTTTTGGCCAAGAGATGAAGTTGATCTTTCAAAGGCAAGAAACAAATATCCTGCCGGTGAATTCATGTCCATGAAAGACCGTTTTGGGCGTCCATTGTGCTTTGAAACAGCACCCTTGGGGCTGTCATATGCTATGTCAAAAGCACCAGTTTTCAGACCTTGTCGGCTACAGAATCTCGAGATCCTGGCTTTGCCTGAGTAGAACTCAAGCCTCGAAATTGTCCATCTCTGGGAGGTCCATCCAAGAAGACAGCAAGACTAAGCTAACAAAGTCCTGACGCTGAAGGACAAGCATGGCAGGCGACTCAAAGAGAGTAAACACTGCCAACAAATCAATACTGCATTATCTCCTTTGGAACCTGCAAAAGCAAGAGCCGCTGTACAATCAGCATCAGGGGGAGCGGGCTCATGGCTGGAAGCACTAGGGAAATATCTGAGCAAACGTAGCTAACGAAACCGACCATTGCAAGTTTCAAGTCAGCTCCAGTGAGCGTTGAAATGTCACATGAAGCAAACAGAAAAGGAAGATTGCGCTCTTCATTTTCCCGGCCGCAAATTAATTTCCAACACGCCCCGAAACCCGACCGATAGCATTTGATTCCTCAAATGGTGTGGGCTTGTACATCAAGATCAAAATTCGAAGCTCAGCAAAACGGACAAATCCGTGAAAGAATCGATAAACAGGTCTGGCAGGCTAGTCTGCTCACGTACTGCAGGGACAGGATATCCCAGGATTGCTGCAGCATTGGGAATCTGAGGCCGCCTAGAACGAGCTGGAGCCGTGTCACTTTATGATGCTACGCTGACAAGGGACTGTTCCGCTGACAATCAAATGTTCCGTAGCAGGCCTTGGCATAGAGCATGAAAGCGAACCTGACCAGTGGGTAAAAGAAAGGGAAGCTGTACCATCTCTAAAAAACGAGGCGAGGAGAGACTGATTTGCAAGCCCTTGCGCTGCGCATTTTCACCGATTTGTCACAGCTGTTCGACATGTGGTGTGGCCACTGGACATGAAGGTTCGAAATAGGGCTTCGCTATCGCCCTCACGTCAACTCTTGGCTCACTAGAGACCCAAAGAAGTAAAAGTGACACCTCAGGCCCACGATGGGCAATGCAACTGTGTACCCCCACAGCGGCTGATGCTGTCCATCCTAAAGTCCCAAGGTTTTTATCATTCCCCATAGTCTTTTCGCCCTCACTCAACGTTGAAGGTAGACGCCAAGCTCTTTGCCACTTGAAAGAAAGCAGGGTAGTCGCCGCACTGGTTCAACTCTTCGGAGTCCACGCATGCCTCCCAGAACTTGACCTAAAGGGAAGCAAGGGGGGCAGCTACTTTCAAGATTAGAAGAGGCCCAATGATTTTCCAAAATTGTTCCAAATCGGTTTTGGAATCTGGGACTGGGACCCTGAGTTTCATAATTTGGTTTTAACCCAAGCCTGCAACTTCGAGTGCTGGGTGACCTGTGGCTTGACAATTTCATTGAAAGCATCTCGGATGGCTTCCCAGCGGTCCTTGGATGGCTGTGTGACCGGGCAGGGACGTCTTCCGAAAGAGACCGGCTTGGCATCATCCTTTCCTTCGTTCTGCGCCTCTTCTCCCTTTGTGTCCTTTGTCTTGGCAGCTTTGCCTCTGGCCTTCTTCTTCTGAGGTTCGCCCTTCTCTTCAACCTTCGCTTTCATGGCTCTCTTGGATCCCTGGTTCTCTGTCTCTCTATCAGACTTTGTGGCAGCTTTGCCTCTTGGCTTCTTTTTCTCACGCTCCTCCTTCACTTCATCATGCGGTTTCTTCCCTGGCTCTGCTCCTGTCTCTGGCTTCTGGTTCTCTTTGTCTTCAGTGCCGGCCTTTGTGGCAGCTTTGCCTTTGCGCTTTCTCGGTTTCTCAGGCTCCTTGTTCTCATCCTTTGTCTGCTCTGTCTTCACTCCTCTCTTTGGCTTCTGGTCCTCTTTGCTTTCATAACCTGCCTTACTGGCCTCTTCAGCTTCCACCTTCTGTGCTTTCCTGGCCCGTCTCTTTGGCTTCTGTGTCTCCTTCTCTTGGTCTGTATTCTTGGCGCCTTCGTCTCCCAAATCTTCCTCCTCCTTGGTATCCTTCACCTTCTTTTCTTTCTTGTCTTTTCTTGATCGTCGCTTTGGCTGCTTGTCGGTCTCTTCAGGCTCCCTGTCCTCCAAAGTGCCAAACTGCTCTCGGCGCCGCACTAGCTGAGGCGTCCCATTCAATAAGTCCGGAACCTTCAGATCATCTTTCTTCTCCACCTCTAACATATGATCCTCTTCCTTCACCTCTCCGGCCTTCACCTCGGGTACCTTCTTCTCGCCTTCCTCCTTTTCCCTCGTGCCTTCGACCTCAGGAGTCTTCTGATTCTTGTCGTCTGCCTCCTTCATTGGCTCCTTTTCTACAGCCTGTTCCTCCTCATCTTTGACCTTCTCTGCGTCCGATCTCTCCTGTTTCTCTTCCTTCTCCTCCTTATTACCTTGAACCTCCTTTACTTCGGATACCTTGTGCATGTTTTCTTTCTTGTCCTTCGCATCTTCGACCTCTCCGGCCTCTGCCTCCTTTCTCTTCACGTCTCTGGCCTTCACCTGGGACACCTTCTCCTGTTCCTCTTTCTCCTTCTTGCCTTTGACACCCTTTGCCTCGGGAGTTGTTTTCTCATATCTCTCCTCTTCCTTGTCCTTTTCTTTTTCATCAGTGACCTTCTCCGTCTCAGACCCCTTCTGCGTCTCTACCTCCTTCTTCTTACCTGTGACCTTCTCTGCCTCGGATCCCTTCTGCGTCTCTAGCCCCTCGTTCTTCTCACCTGTGACCTTCTCTGCCTCGGATCCCTTCTGCTGGCCTTCCTTCTTCTGGTTCTCTACGCCTTCCACCTTCTTCAGTTCTGCCTCCAAATTCCGCTTCACAGGTAGCCACCCAGAAGCTGGCTGAACTTCATTTTTTTCTTTGGCTTCAGATGCCTGACGTTTGACGCAGCGGCAACTCCCACCTCCTAGGAAAAAAAACTTTTTGTTCCGGTGGTCCCCATGATTTTTTTTTAGCCAAAGTAAACCGAACGGTTGGGTTAATCTGGCCTTGGCTGACCCACCCAAGATGAGCGTGTCATCACGCAGAACAAGATCTGCAAATCGCTTTGGTGTCTCTGTTGACAGGGGGGATGGCTCACTAGGGATGCATTGCATGGCAGCCTCTGTGTCAAAGGGCAAAGTCTCCATAGTGTCGGTGGCCGTGGCAGCTCCTGTAAAGCTGGAGGGCCGGTATGTGAAACTTAGGTGCCGCTTTTAAAGATGTCTGTTTTGGAATATGCATAATACTAAGTTCAATTTGATTGAGAATGCGTAGCCACTCCCGTTCCACATTGTCTTTCTTAGGTGTTCTCTGAGGGTGCCAGCAGATATGCCACCAAGAAGTAACCTATGGAATAGTGCCGGCATGGCAAACCAGTTCGAAGTATGTTCTGGGAATACGCTTGCGCCTGAACAAGCGGCTTTGAGAGGTGCACTCCCTGACACTGAAGTTTGTTCAGCACGGCGTCGAGCAACTTCTCTCCTAGAAAGGGTTGATCATGGTTGAGGAGACCATGTTTTTGACCACACCAAGTAGAGAATAAGCAGAGAATAATAACGGTCTAACACCCCATCACATTTAATTGGCTGGCTTTTCAATGTTAAGGAAAAATGAAAGCACCCGGTTGTCACTATCTCGCTGGCCAGGCCTGATCAGCTCACGGCGGATCTCGATGGCACGCTGCTCGTCTTGGCTGGGAAATGAGCTGGAACTGGTTCCACTGAAGCTGGGCGCTGGTCCGTGGTTTGCCCCACTTGGTTCTACACTGGGTTCTACATCCTTGGGCTCAACAGCTTCAGATGCTACCGGCCCGTTCTCAATTGCAAGTAATGGCGCGTCCTCAATAGCAAGTTGTTGGTTTTCCCCTGACACATTTCCTGGAACAGCATGGGGGGCAGGAAGGGCAGGAAGGTTCTCATGACTACCCCCCTCACTGCCACCCTCGAATACCACCATTTGGTTCATCCCATTCCAATGGAAGTCAAAGACGTTCCACAGCGGTAGCAGCTCCAGATCCTAGGGAAAGTGGGGAAGTCTAATTGGATGATGGTGGGTCATGACCCTGGGGATTTTTTGGTCATCATCAATATGAATCCGCAAAGGAAAACATAAAAGAATCATTCATAAAAGATATAAATGAAAGTCAGGAAACCCGGGGCCCACTGGAATTGGCCCACCTCCGGAGAGCCAACGACATCAGCTTCTTGATCCCCCAACAATCCAAATTGATTGTCGAGACAGGGACTTTGATCATCATCTTGACCCAAAAAGCTTTCACCTTTGGGCAAGGTTTTGGGGAACCCAACACACGGCCACCAAAACCGCGTGGGAATTTTAATTTGCTTTTGGTTTAAAGCATTCGTGTTTTCCCCAATCTAGGTTTTCCGTGTGTAAAACTATCATATTTCCACACCTGTCAGGTGAGGGTTGTTAGATTTTAAGTCAGCTGTCCCGCCACCTCCTCCGCCTCCGCCTCCCCCGCAGGACCTCAACTGCAAGCGCTAGATCGCAGTGTCACCCCTGAACAGCAAGCTCAGGATCAGAGTGTTCCCCGCCGGACCTCAACTGCAAGTGCTAGATCGCAGTGTTCCCCGCCGGACTCGACCCCCCCCGCCGGACCTCAACTGCAAGCGCTAGATCGCAGTGTTCCCCGCTGGACCCGAACGATCAGAGTGTTCCCCGCCGGACACCAACTGCAAGTGCTAGATCGCAGTGTTCCTCGCCGGACCCGAACAGCAACCTTTGCAGCAAAGTGTTCCCCACCGGACCCTACAAGCTGCAAGCACTAGATTGCAGTGTTCCCCGCCGGACCCGAACAGCATGCCCAGGATCAGAGGGTTCCCCGCCGGACCTCAACTGCAAGCGCTAGATCGCAGTGTTCCCCGCCGGACCCGAATCAGATCCAGCGCTGGAATGCCAGAATAGATGTCAGATAGAGTGGCAGGTAGAATGCCAGAATAGATGCTGGATAGAATGCCACAATAGATGCCAGATAGAACGCCAGAAAGAATGGCAGATAGAATGTCAGAATAGACGTCAGATAGAATGCTAGGTAAAATGTCAGAACATATGTCAAAACATATATCAGAAATATATTATGCAATGAAATGCCAAGGTGGGGACCACTCGAAGTAAAGTAATAAATGGTGCTATGATTTTAAGACCGAACCATTTAAAAGGAACAACAGCCAACCCATAGACCGGCCTCTTCCCTGAGAATATCCACTGGTACTGTCTTGGGTGTTTCTTGGTGCTTGGCCCACCAATCACAAGCTAGAGTCAAAAGCCGCAAGTTGCAACCAATGGCGCGGCATGAGGGTATGCCAATGGTTTCCCGTGTAGGCCACTCAGTCAACTGCTTGTTCTGGCGAGCATTTTGCCTAATGTCCGGGTCCATCTCCAGAAGCCCCCCAAGGCTCCCCACAACGCCCATTTCAGCCATCGGTCGGCCAAAGGTCTTGCTGATGGGGCAAGCAGACAATCTGCACTGGAAAAAGGGCTGGCGGATGCAGGGTTTGTGCGCTGGAATGAGGTGAGGTGAGCTGCCGTAAGCAACAAAATTGAAACATACTGAAACGTAACCAAAGTTCTGAAGAACTCAAGATCAATGGCCCCAGCCTTGCTAGCCTGGAGGATTACGGAGGGCGAACCATGAAGTACCTTTGCGATGGTGATGCATAATAGTAAGGAATCAGCTGGGACTTCCTTTGGATCTCTTGAGTGGCGCGCTGGGACAGCTTCTGGAGCAAAGGGATGATAGGCACATCAGCCAGGTGAGCCAGGAAGCTACATCCCCAGCTCCACTCTCCCAAACCATCAGAAAGTCACAAAACTGAAATTACGCCTTCTCACTGAAATTACGCCTTTTCAGGCTGGACCCCATGAAAAGCAAGAAATTGAGGAAACATAAAAAATTTGTTCCCTCTCGGTTGTCATAGGTATATATATCGAATATATAACAGACATATCTGGTAGTAAATTGGGGCTTGAAGCGATTCGCCTAGACGATACTTCATAACTTCAAGATCCGTCCTGGGCTGTGGAAACATTTCATGGGATCCTAAAATGCCATGCCATGCCTATTTCATGTCTGTTGTCTGTAAGCAGTCTTGTTTTTTTTTGGTAGAGGATAACACATGACACATGATAGAAAATAGAACTATATAGACAATTATTCGACACCCTGAGGAAAAACAATGGTGGTATAGAACCCCCTATGTTACGGCAATCAAGACACTACTCAAAAGAACCATCCACGAATGGCTTACTAAAATAGTCCAAATTCTTATCTTTTATGTCCCGTAGTTTTTGTTGATTACTGGTCATTTACATTCCGATATTATCTCCCCCAACTTGTCATGTCTGCCTACAAGATTCCTTTGGATATTATCTTCACAAGATGGATTCGAATGTGACATAACGTGACCTCGATTTACTGAAAGCTACTGGACCTACTGGATTTACTGAAAAGAGCCATCATACAGAACACATTTTCACATTAGATGCCCCACTTGGTGGTGGTTCATCCTATTTGGCCAGAAGATCCGTAGCCCTATTTAGAAGTGGAAAATCAGCCTGCTGTCCCCCATTTGTTTCACCCAATGTTTAATCTATTTACTAAGTGTATATATAGGATGAACAACCAAACAAATTAACCAATTGCAAAATACATTATATATATATATATTCTAGGAATAACTGCCTGAAAAATGAATATATAAGCATTAGAATCCAGTAGATTCCAAGAAAACATATGCTTAAACAAGGAAAACAATATCAACCATGGGCAAAATCTTGACATCTAGAAACTATAAGGGGTAAAGTGTGATAAAAAAAATGATGCATATTAAATTAACCCGTGGCAAAATCCACACAGGTCTTGCCTGAACATAAGGTACCCACTAAATCCATCTAAATCCATTGTCTAATCATGATTTTCTCCTGAAAACAATACCATTGAGAATCAACAATGGCTTCTGGTGGAATGATCACTCGCTCCCTTCAGGGCTCCCTCCACCGGATATTTTTTTGGAGGGTATCCTTTTCTAGACACACGCACTTGGTGGGTCTTCAGTAAGAGTGCTTGGGGGTGCAGTTACAGTTATAACCTGGATATATATATATATATATATATATATAAACCATAGTTCTAGGGGTTATATCCCGATCTATGGGGGCTGTAGCCATTATACCCATGTACAACCTCAATTCCACCCCAAGAGCACGGCCATGGCACCAACCAGTAGTCGCCACTGGTCAAAATGGACACCGGCACGGCGTTCTCAGCACCAAATAGGCCGCTGTCGAAGGTGTTGATGTGTGGGTCGCCCCAAATGGTGCAAGCACCTTTGACGAAATCACCGGCTGAAGTCGTTCCGAAGGACATGGGACATTTTTGAAGGGAAAAACCCAAAAAGGGGGGAACTATGAAATCAGATCAGATGTGTGTACCATGGGATTTTAAGCAAAATAGAGATTGAAACTATATGAATTCGGGATGTGTATTCCTGAGCCATCGGTAGTAGATGACCTGAGGACTTTGGTACCTTTAACGTCTTTGAATCAAGGGATCAACCGTTCTGCGAATCCTAGGTGATACACTTGAATATGGCCAGGTCACAAATGGTTATATGATGTTATATGATGTTATATGATGTTATATGATGTTATATGATGTTATATGATGTTATATGATGTTATTAACATTATTTATATGATGCTATATGATGTTATATGATGATATATGATGTAATATGTGTCATGGTCAAAAGACGGTATATGTGGTATGATCATCCATGCCACAATCCACCTTTTACTTTTGATGAGGCACATATATAGATTCAGTAATGGTCAGGAAGGAGTATAGGTATAAAAGTACGGCCAACTAAAACGCCGTGGCGTGACTCACCACAAAAGAACGATGCAGTTAATCAATCTGCTCTTGACTGCGGGAAACGATTGAACTCATTGGATTTCCTTTGATGTTCTATGGCAAAACATACACATATATGTGGTTGTTGATCAAAATTCCTTTATCCCGGAACGGCCATTCTTCGCGAAAAAAAATACTTTCGCGAAACTTTCGCGAACTCCATGTTTATCTTTCGCGGGGCCCATGTTGGCCAACAACACCTCTTATGAGGATTCGTTCACCACCTGCCAAATTATTCCAGAGAATCACGGATCACTTCTTGGTAGCCTTTTAAACATGCAGCTAGCATCACGGAATCCCTTCTCAGGACAGATTTTTTTTTGCAAAGTTTACTGGCCCACCCCCTTCAACATGCACTTTGACTTTCGCCCGCTCTTTCGCATAACTTTCGCGGAACTTTCGCGAAAATATCCCTATTCACAGACCCCGGCCATCAGCAGGGGGTGCACTGAAGGAAAAGCGAAGACCAGGGGCCTTGGTGTTTGGCTCTCGCAAAGCCTCCCTTTTGGAAACTTGGCTACTGCTACTCGCATTCTCTGGTGCCCTTCTCCTGCCGGACCCCGGGCGGCAGTGGGTGGCAGCCCTTTACATATAATGATTATAATACCAAACTTTCGCGAAACTTTCGCGAAATAAAATTTTACTTTCGCGAACTCGGAAAAAAACTTTCGCGAGGGTTTCCAACATAACACGCACGGCTTTCGCAATTAAAACTCCTTACCAGGACCTTTAGATCGATCACCATGTATTAATATGTATTAATATGTATACACATAACATATATATATTATATATAATATATTATATATTATATATATTATACACATACATATATATAATAATATGTATATATATGATATATATATATATTATAATATCATATATATATATTATAATATTTTTGTATGTGTGTTATATTGTATATATGTATCACTTACCACTTCACCCTTTCAATACTGGTGGATGTCCTGTTGCCAACGCTTGGTGCAGGGGATAACCAAAAAAAACAAATATTGAGTTTATCAAATGTGGAGGCAACTAAAGTTACAAAAACCATATAGTTACCCTCTGGTAAACTAACATAACTATGGAAAATTACCATTTTTAATGGGTAAATCAACTATAAATGACAATTTTCAATAGCTATGTTAGTTTACCAGAGGGTAAATTGGCTTCGCAACCAACTTCTACCTGCCCCGCTTTGCACGCGACTAAATAGATGAACAGCTAAGACATGTGTGGGTATCCATCTAGCTGTCGGCACAACATAGTCGTGACCGTCAAGAAGTGGTAAGAATGGGGAAGAATGATTTGGGTATGGGCCGGTATGGGTCAAAACCCTGGTACCCTGGTGAAGACTAAAATAGTGGGTTTAAAAAAAGGATTCTCATCCTGCCAAATACGGTACCAATGGCTGTGGCCCATTTCAAATTCTGGGCAATAACATCCTGCATAGAGAGACTGCAACATACCCTCGCAGTGCAGCTACCTTTGAGATAGGTAAGAGGGTTATTGTAAATCTAACGGATGTTGCATTTAGAATACAAGACTGCTTTGCTGATCGCTGGTTTCCCCCGAACATGTTGGGCAATTGGGGTTGGTTATAAGTTTCTACCTATCTGACAGGCAACAATAAGGAATCGATCCTCTGAGCGGGACCATGTCTGGATGGGTTTGACCCATCCATGGCCAATCTTTGATACCCTTCTTCTGTTGATACCCGGTTTGGTCAAAATATCCCCATTACAACAAAACAATAACTTAAGTACAGTACTATCCATCCAAGGTTACAAAAACGATTGCCCTTCCGCAAACCAACTGCTCCCCATGCAAGTAAGAAACCCTTCACCGGCACGATGCTCGTCTCCAAACCTGGGTAATCCCAGCAACCCAGCAATCATAGTTTTGTCAAATTGCAAGAGAGCAATGCAGAGAAAAGTCAAGTAACAACATGCAACAACCACATCCTCAATGAAAAATGTATGTTATTCTGTTTTTTCACAGCAGTCATTTATGTGTGAATCAAATTCCCTTTGCATGGCTAAAGATAATAGGTTGGCAAACCTAATAACATCCCATCAAAGTTACCAGAAATAGTCTTCAGAAAGTATCCCTTACAGTGGTACTCTATATTTACAAGTTGGTCACTCCTCCTCCAACTAGTTCGATATATCTACAATAAACATCCATAAACCAATAGTAAAGCGAGTGAAATAATCCCTTCCCCAATATAGACATACTCTAAACGAAGCCCTGGTTGAGTATTGGATCTATTCATGGGGTTCAACAATTATGGGTATGTCATATCGGAGAGATTCCAAAAACTGGGAAATGACAGTGGAGCCTAAACGTGATGTTGGTTGGTTTACAACCTCGCCTAATAGTTAGATATACCCCCTTAATCAACCCTAGTTGTAAGTTGGTTTATAACCCCATCTAAGTGTAGACAACCCCAATTAATTATATATGTTTATTATTCATTGTAGTGACTAGTTTGTAGTTGTTATATATATATATTCATGCCTAACCATTTAACTACATATCATTATTTAGTTCATACTATATAGTCATAGCATTTACCAATACTAACTATACTATTCTCCATATATATATATATCATTAAAACTAATTATATAATATACATATTTATATATATAATATAATATATATATATAATATAATATAATATAATATAATAAAACAAAATATAATATAATATATATATATATATATTATATGTGTCCCAGTAATCAGCCCTAGTTATCTAGATTCCCATTTATCGATCAGATAACCCCATCTAACTCATAGATAACCTCATGTATAGAATATATAGTTAGTATCTGTAGACAATATGACTGTATAATATGAATTAATAATGATATATAGTATAAAATTGTTTTTAAAAAATATCTATCTACTATATTGTTATATATAGATATAATATAGTTATAATACTATATAGTTATGGTTTTAAAAGATATCTATAACTACTATCTACTAATTGTTAAAACTTAAGTGATATATGGTTATATTCGCCGTGCCACGGAATTCAGAGCCGCAGCAGCGGCGCTCGGCGAAGAAGAAGCTCAACGTGACGGCGCTGCCCTGCCGTTTTTTTTTTGAGGCCCGAAATAGCAGCGATTTCTATGGTGACTTCTATTGTTAATTCTACATGGTTATTTCTATATGGCGATTTCTATGGTTATTTCATGTTATTTCTATGGTTTTGTCTATTATAAACGGTGTTTTCATTCCAGAAATGGGGTCATAACTGACTTATAACTTGTCAAAATCTCTATGGGGTTTACATATTTACTGTAGTAATTAACAGTCATTATGTACGGATACAAATATGGATATAAACCCCTGTAGGATTGGATATAACTCCTATCACTGACATGGGAGTTTCCAAAAATGGAAATGGTTTCTATACGATGCCATGGTCTAATTCCATCACTTAGGAAACGGCCAAATGGGAATCTAAACAGTGGGGGGAAAAACACATATCGGTAGATGGTACATATCCCATTTTGGGTTTATCCCAAACCATCTACCAACTTGGGATATATGGATATGTACCATCTACCAACCTGGAAATCTAAACAAAATGGATTTCAGAAGTAAACAAAACGGAGTACTAGCTATATGGGTTTAAGCAAACAAGGTGATTTGACCATTATAAATTATAGCAGGCTAACATGAGTTAGATCGGCCATGGAGTTCATGGGTAGTACCAAACAGTACTGCATATGGGATATCATGGGTTCTATTGCAACCCGTCGCGACGTGGTTCTCTGAATTCTAATCGGGTTACTGACAAGTAGTGATACATTAACCATCATTGGGCAATTTTCCAAGTTGATAGCTCCAAGCTCCGAATACAAATATCATCAAATATCAACAAGTTGTGCTGATACCTCCAAGTTCTAAAAAATCCAAGTTGATACCTCTAGGGCAAAATTTCTACGGAAATCACAACACATTTCGAATTCACAGCACATCATCGAAGGGCAACCGGTTCCAGCTGCATCGGTGAGAGATGCAGCTTGTCTTTGCAGCAGTTGAAACATGTTGAAACCACCAGTTTGTGATCTCCAATGTACTCAGCACTGTTTCCACAGTCACTTAGTAGACTTCAGGTTGCTGTTTCTGTTCCACATGAGATATGCGCTCTAATACAAAGGCGGTGATCACGGTGCAGTAGGCTGAGGTCCCCGCAATGATTGGTGTAACCACAATGAATACAACAGGAGTGGTAAACTGTGGCTTGGAGTTCGTGCAAAACTAGGCCCCTAGCCACAATCAGTATCCATCTTTGTAACTTGCAACTGTTGTAACCAGAGTTACAACCAGAGTTACCCTATCCCCTGCTGCGCCCTGCTGCGCCCTGCTCAAGGCCCATCGGGAATGTGTCCAATGATGAGGATAAACATTCACAACGGTTGTAACACAGAACCAGAAATGGGACATGTAACGTCATGTAACCAACTTTTGTCTAATCACGTATTACTTTTGAAGGAAACCACACATATAGTATCATATAGTTCAAAAACTCGCGCAATAGTGTAAGGTTCAAAGATTGATCCATGGGGAATGATTTGGAAAAGAACATTTTGAGCGCATGGTCATTATGCAAAGATTGGCTGTAAACGCGTGATATTTATATATACAATTATATATACAGTATATTATATCATATTACCCTCTGGTTATTTAACATAGCCATGGAACATGTTCCATTTATAGATGGTTTACCTATGAAAATATGGTGGATCTTTCCATAGGTCTTGATATACAGGATGCCTGGATGAGTCTATGGGTCTAACATGGTCTAGCCGTCACTACCATACACCGAGCAACAAATTCATTGAGATGGATTGATGATTTCAAGTATAGCGGTGGAGCCTGTTGGGATGGACATTTTTGAATTCAGCGTCAGTGCAACAAGACCAGGCCTGTCTTTTGGACCACATTCAAGGTGGAGTCCCATACTTTGCTTTATACGTTTTATATACCCTCTGGTAAACTAACGTAACTATGGAAAATCACCATTTTTTAAGGGTAAACCATCTATAAATGGGCCATTTTCCATGGCTATGTTAGTTAAATAACCAGAGGTAGTTTATAGATGGTTTATACTAATTCATAACTAGCCTAACCACGGATTATCTTCATTTCAGCACACAAAAATAACTATAGTTGGATGGGTTTGTCTGAAAATAGGGTACCTCTCCTCTTACAAGTACCATTTGGAGGTATACAGGTATACACCATGTTCAAACCAACCTGAATGGGTTTATACAACAACAACAACAACAACAACAACAACAACAACCAACAACCAACAACCAACAACCAACAACCAACAACCAACAACAACAACAACAACAACCACAACCACAACCACAACCACAACCACAACCACAACCACCACCACAACAACAACAACAACAACCATCGCCTTTTTTGTCAACGGCACCATCACAAGTGTACCCAGCTTGGCACAACAAAACGCCTGAGAGACGTTGAGACTATCAACTTGAAAGGTCTTTTCCTGGGCGAGCCCCAGATGGTTGGCGAAGTTGCTATGGATGCTAACTTGGTTAGCTAATGTTGTCTAACCAATAGTGATATCTTGGCAATAGTAGAAACTGTTTTTCCCAACTCCAGTTTTATCTCCAAGACTAAAAGTCAAGTAGCTTAATTTAATTTTAATATTACCAAAAAACTCATGTTCTGCCTTGTCCAGACGGCATGGCCAATAGTGGACCCAACATGGCAATAGTGGAAACTTTTTTCCCAACTCAAAGTTTTTCTCCAATACTAAAAGTAAATTAGCCTAATTTAATTTTAGTATTGCCAAAAAACTCATGTTCTGACCTTGTCCAGAGGGCATGGTATAGTATCCAGAATAGGGTTCCAGGAATTTACTATTGGAATGCTGACCCCCCCTTTAAAAAAGGAAACAAATCAAAAATTAAGCGGGGGTGGTTTATTATTAGGCAGCCAACATTATATCGTTTCTTGGGGATATCATATGATATAACCGTAGAACTACAACTAAATAGTTCATGGGCTATTTTCACCGGGTTTACAAAGCTATAAACCAACATAAAACTTTCTGGGCCTGGGCCTGACGAACTGGCTTGGTATGGCTTGGTACCCGGTGAAATTTAAGCAACAAACAGAACGCCCAGAACGCTTGCGCTAGCGGATCGGTCCTGGCTGTGGATGCTTTTGGACGCCCTGGTTGTGGTGGAGCCCAGAATGTGCTGGCCCGATCCCAGCCAAGAATCCAACGTGGAAATAAACAGGACCTGGTCAAACCGGATTTATCGAACACATTTTTCGTGACCCTGACCCAGATTCCGTGGTTATTGACCCAGAAAAAAGGCCACGTTTTTCAAAACATCCGCGGCCAAAAATCCATCGGATTGTGCACTCCTCCCAGATCGATCACCAACTGGTCGTTCCTCGGTGCGATGAGTTGGCGATGGGAGGTGTTTCCCCAGAAAACCTATGGATTCTACATCTTGAACTGAAGGATATTGCCATGTCACTAGCTAAGTGGTTAGGAACTGGGGGATATTACAATACATCTCAGTTATAAGTTAGAAGGGGTTCTCATCGACTCAAAGTAAGAGCGAAACATCGAAGTTGCCTTTTACATCCCTGTGATTATCTCAGTATTCTCAAAATCCTGGGCTTGAAAATCGATGGAGTGGCTCACGGGTCAAATTCCAGAAAATGTGTTTTGTTTCCAACAAACGTGGGGGTTCCTGAAATAAGCATCCTTGAACCGCTTCATGCTTTTCTTTTAGTTTCTTTTAGTCTGATGCTTCACCCCACTTGAATCAGTAGATCATTGCAGGGTTCCCCATGTTTCTGCTCTTAACATGGCTTTTCTGGGGTGTTCACCTCTAATAATCAGCGTTCACCACCTTTCAATCATCACGACCAGGCAGGTGGCAGGTGGTTCATCAAAGAAATCTCATCCAAGCATGGCTAATGTAAGTACACAAATTCTTGGAAAAGAAAGGCACATTGTGGTAATCCCCCAAAAAAGATAGGTAATTCAGCACTATTCGAGTTCGAGCAGGATTTTGCTTTTCTATCTTTTTCGGGGTTGCTATAACTTATCCTTCACCATGTTTCAGCAGCAAGTCTCATGAAGACCCACACATCATCATCACCTCTGAACGTAAACTCGTCCCCGCCTCAAAGCGCGATGGCATGGCCGAGTGACAAAGGGAGGCCCCTATATTTTTTTGGATCCAAACCCATATGCTTTTTGGGGGTCAAAACATGGTACCCTCAGACGTTAACGTTGCACAAGTTCGCAAATCCTCTACCACTGGAGGTTTTAAGGGTGGAACTTCATGGAACTAATTTCAACATACCCTCTGGTTATTTAACATAGCCATGGGAAATGGCCCATTTATAGATTTCAACTAAATTCCATTGCCATGTTTGATTCCCGGAGGGTTTTTTTGGGGTGTCATCCATCCCATGATGACATTTTTGATGGAATTTCCTATATGATGGGTATACAAATCCCATTCGGAATGGATAGATGACATGCCTATGTGAAAATTGATGACATGCTTCGACCATGGCTATGACAATGGCAAAAAAGAAAACCGATAGCGGGATGGCGGGACAAGTGGCTAGATAAAAAAGGATTAGTTTAGATGAGGGTAGATAAAATGACTAGATTAGAAGCCCAAAAGATTTAGTAACTGGTTTTAGATAAAACTAAAGGAATTAGATAAAATGGATTAGACCACTGGCACAAAACTGTTTTAGATAAAGAAATTTTCTTCAAGGCCAATTTCCAGCTGTCTTTTGGATCCAAACGATAAATCCAACCAAGTCCAAGGAGTGGTACCTGAAAACTGGGTAATTATAGGAATTGTCATGTTTTTTCCCCATGTTTTACGGCAACTTTGGGGTCTAGCACATCTTTAAGAAACCTGGTGTATTGTTGGCCTAGAAAATTTGATGTCAGTGGGGATGTAGCCGCCAAACTCGAGATGTCTACTTTTTTGTTTACCAACCAGTGCAATCTGCCTAATGTTTGCCTGACTGAAGCACTCTGAACATGTTGGTGTTAACTGGATGGTTTCGACCTTACTCCCACTGATTGAACCACTGAGCAATGCCAAAAATGATCTGTCATCTCCTTTCCAATGGCTGGTGGATAGGGATTGCCCGTTCGTACATACATGGACCTAATAAACCAGTTTGGATCAGCCCATTGTTTGTATCATACCTGCAGACCTATGGTTCACCCAACAATATCCCAACAATATGGTCAAATCTTCAAAAAATGTTGGCTAATATATAGATCGGATCCCAAAGTCTGTTGGTTCAAAGTTCTTAAATTCATGTTCTTGATTCAATGTGGACAATTCTCCATTTTTTAAGATTCGCCATGAAAATCACAATAGACAATAAAACTTATATATCTTATATATATAGTCTGAAAAAAATCCAACCTTTTGATTATCATACTGGTTTGCTCAAAACAAACGTGTGTGTTTCTGGTGGAGTCTCCGTATGACTTATGTCGCTGGTTAGAACATCACCTTTTTTGGTACCGTGATTCAGTGATTCATCTATAAACTGCAACAAACAAATGTACAAAAATGGACAATTGGAATTAAACATTCTGGTTGATTCATCTATAAATGTCCCTTTTTCTTGATTTTCGACAGTTATGTTCAATTCATTTCAATTCCCAGAGGGTATCTCAGGGTAAATCCCGTTTTTCGTTGCGCGAAAAATGGTGGGATAAACTCCTCCAGGCGGCTCTTGTAGACGAAGGTGGTATGCAGCTCCAGTGTGAAGTAGAAGTTGTGTGCTAGGCCGTCTAAAGCGATGGCCGTGTCCTGCCAAATCATTGAGCCAGGTAAACAAGGTGAAAAATAGAAAACTGGTTGGTGGTTTCAACCCCTCTGAAGAATATTACTCAGTTGGGGTCATTATTCCCAATATATGGAAAAAACAATGTTCCAAACCACCACCCAGAAAACATATACAACATGATCAACAGGTCAATAGGTAACATCAACAGTGTAAAGTTAGTGATATTAAATCAGCCTATGTAGCATCAATGTCAGGTATTGAGAAAATTACGCTTTATCAACAATTAAGGTAGTGTCCAATGGTTTGGTTCCAGTTTAATGGTAGAAATGGCAACATGTTTTAATCCTATAGTTATTTTTTTAATATTGATATTGATAAGTATCATGTGTTTTTATGTTACTAGGTCCATGACTAAACCACGGGTTCCTTTAAAGGGAATTTCATACTGGCGGGATAGCATTGCCAACAGCTGGAACTTTAAAATGTCAATTGTGTTATTAACATTAGGTTGATTTATTTTTCGAATGGATCTCCATTACATATACTATATGTATATGCAAATCATATTATATACCTATATTATAAATCATTATAACATATTATAACTAATAACCTCAAAAAAGGAACAGTCCAATCCTACCTCAAAAAAGGAACAGTCCAATCCTACCTCAAAAAAGAAACAGTCCAATCCTACTTAAACAGTGATCAATTGAAACTGTTCTATCTGATTATCCTCCCGCAATCAAACATGGTTTGCTGGACAATTCCACAATTTTGTTTGCAAGCCAGCCACTTCTGATGACACCGGAGGGTACTATCATGTGGTTGGGAAATCAATTCGCAGCTCCAACTTGCTCCCCTTTTCTTTGTTGGGAGTATGAATACGGCCAAACACCTCCTGTTGCCTGCGCCTCCCGCCGCAATGTCTCGGGAAGCCAAAACAAAACACAACGTGGTATTTATGGGACTTCTGAGCAACTTCGGATTCGCTACTTGTACGTTATATCTTACAGCACACAGCACAGCGGCCTGTGCGCGCCTCTTGTACATCATCATCATCATCATCATCATCACAAGGATCATCATCATAAATCGCTAGACCCTAAAACCCTAAAACCCTAAAACCCTAGACCCTTACTCAAGAAAACTTTAAATCATCTTAAACCCCTAAACATCCCAAAACCCCAAATCCTAAAAACCCTGAACCCTAAACCCCAAGATGTGATCGCTCTCTCCTAGCCACTGGATAGGCCATGACCCGATATGAATGTTGACATCCCCATTATATGAGATGATATATTATATCTCTATAAAATCAATAAAGCCATATAAAACCCATAGTTTTCACCATGACTTCATCCTTGAATATACCAACCTTTCGAAGGAATCCTTCCAATTTCTCTGGGGCAACTCCAAAGCCACTCCTGCCAGCCCTTGTCATCCACAGGGAAGAAGGTGGCGTTGTCGTGGACATAGGTGCCCTCTTCCTGGGGACCCTATTCCCCCATACTCTGGATGGGCCAGCGAAATCCTGCACCAGTTGATAGGTGGTAAACATTCCATTATTTTGTTTGGGTTTCAACCATCCAAGGTGGTGCACAATTTCGCAACCATCCACAGTATGACTCCCAACATAGCAAACATGTTGGATACCCGCCAAACTACTCATCAAGCAAGTAGCCACCAAACGGTTTTGGGGCTCACAGATCTTCACAAAGGAGATCAGCCAAGGTTCCGTCTTCTGGAGATCCATCTTAAAATCCACCTGGCGTAGTTTTCCCCGTATATGTTTTTGGCCTTCCACTCTGGCCCGCCTTGACCTCACCGGACTATTGAAATGATCCGGTTTCCGCAGTGATAGCAGTCGATCATTTGAAAAAAAAACATGGATGGAACAGGACTAGATGTGATTTCTTAGAGGGCAATTTTAATATGCTTAATGTCTCTGGACTAAGTATGCAAAGACCACCGGTCACGGCAACGAACCTGACTGCCCATTGAACTTGGATAAGACTATTACTCGATCAACAACTTGTTGACTTCGATCCAGGAGAATACATTCCCGAAGAGTATTTTATAGTATTTTGATGTATTTTGAATTGTGACATGATGTGGCGTGTGTTTTCCCCACAGTGGTTCCAGGTTATTAGAAACAATTTTAGGGAATAAACGTCCCGACATCAGGTCACCCCGGGTAAAGATGTCTCCTGTGCTGCTGGTGTTCCAAGGCGCTCGTCGATTGACGCCAGGCACATCGTTGAACCATTGATCGAAGTTGGACTTATTGGACCTGACAAACTGGAGTTACAAAAATATTCTGGTTGGTGGTTAATATACTGTTGATATATGGTTAATATATGGTTATTATATGGTTATTGTATGGTTAATGATGGTTAATAATAATCTGGTTGGTGGTGTATCTACCCCTCTGAAAAAAAAACAAATATCAGTTGGGGTTACTATTCCCAATATATTGAGTAACACTATTTCTGGCACAAATTGATGATGATGTCCTGGGGAAAAATAAAAGGTGATTTGATGGTGATTCACCCTCTGGTAATGACTAACATAGCTATTGAACATGGCCCATAGAAATAGTTGATTTAACTATTAAACATTGTGTTTTTTCATAGATGTTTGTATGTTTACCAGAGGGTAACACTATTTTTTGGGCTGGACTATGGTGGATTGGTGCCATTATGGTGATCCACTGTTTTCTACGACCGTGGCGGAACCATTCTTGGTGATCACAAAGGAATATTGATATTGATCTGGGGTTGACATGATATGGTTCACTTCCGCATTGCAGCATATATTATGTTGAACAGCTTCAACTCTCATGTTTTTTCTGGTTGAGATGACAGAGAACGATTCCTTGGATGTCTCTCTGTGGTTCGTGGATATTCCATGTTCCATTTTCAAACTTTGTATTAGCTAGCAAGCTGGCAACATGAATTGAAACAAACAACCCTACGAATCCAGAATCCAACAACTGTTGTACTCTTGGTTTCCAAACAATTAGGTTTAGACAAGTTTATTGTATTGATTTCACATATTGATGTCTATGTCCATACATGAACAACACATACTATTGTTTTGTAAACACATATGTATATATATATATATTTACCGTATATTGCTATGCAGTTGTGTAAATGAAGATCACATATACATGTATCATGTATATTTATAAGTTAAATAATTTGTGTATAATGAATGCCACAACCAGAATAACACTCCCCATCCAGCTCATTCTCTATCGATGCCCAGGAACAGCTGTGGACCGCCCTTGTAGACCTCAGGAAAAGATAGAAAGATCGATAGATATGGATGTATAAATCACATATACATGTTAAACAAATGATATATTATATATTACATGTGTGATCATATATGCATCAAAATATGGTATACATATGATATGGAAAACAAAACAAATGGTGAATGTGTATATATATATATGTGTGTACATATATCTGTACATGAAAAACATGTAAGTGATCCTGAACTTGGACATTTGATACAATTCATGCTCCTGTGGATATTTTGGGAAGCATTGCCTCAACTTCGTCGACTGGGATCGCCATTCCAGATAGAGTGGAAGACTAGAATTGAAACAATCTGCGCGATGCTTTCCCTATAAAAAAACATATATATATATATACACCAGTATATATATATATACATCAATGTATATATATATATATATCAGTATATATATATATCAGTATATATATATATATCAGTATATATATATATATCAGTATATATGTATATCAGTATATATCAGAATATATATATATACATAGCAGTGTATATATATATATATATCAGTACATATATACACATATCAGTATATATATATATATATATCAATATATTTTTTTACACTGTATATATATATATAGATTGCTGTAAACCCGAAAATAAACCATCTCTAGGTATCCCCTAAATAATCAGTTTACACATGATTGGCCTCACCACCACCAACCATCTGGACGTCCTCGCAGTGAGGTGCTTACAATCAAATCTACGTACTGCGGGGCTTCCGTACGTTGTTGGGCAAGTGATTCTTCAATAGTTGCCATACAACATGTGGGGATACACACCTATTTGTTAACATTTTTTTTTAACATGTGCAGTAGTGTATGTAAGCCTTAAGTTCATATCACTTTTTGCTTTGTTCTACAAATTGAATCTCTTGTTTAACCATCACCCAACAAACATAGACCCGATTAGAAACACCCATGCCAGGGTCTGTCTGAGTTGGCGGACAAAGGATAACTTAGCAATACTGAGACACTGAGTTATAGAAAGGCTATAACATCCACAAGGTTGTTGGGATGTTAACATCCACACGTAACTACAATAAAAATGGTGATGACTTGGGGATGGTGGTATTAGTGTCCCAACTAACTAAGCTGGTGAAGTCAGTGGTGATGAGTGTGAGTAGATACATGGATTATGATGATGGATCATACAAACTACTGGAATATACATAGATTATAATTTTGGTGTATACATATATATATATATGTATATATATATATATATATGGTGTGTACATATATATATATATATGTATACATTACATATATATAATGGTGCATACATAAACACACATATTTATATATATATACACATATTGGTGTATTAATATATAACGATGGTTTATAAACCAGCAAACATCTACCTGGCCCGGGCCGCTGCCGCTCAGGCGCTGGTTTCTTGTCGGCTCCCAGAGTTGACTCGACCAAGCCTTCCGTGTGTCCATCCATGGACCTCGCGGAGCTGCAGCCGGCCGCGGATCGGAGGAAGGTCCATAGCTAACTGTGGTTTTTGGATGTTTATGAATCTCATATTTCATATATGTAAATATATATATATATGTATATACATATATAAATTAGTTATATGATGTTATATGTAGTTCTACACATAATACATATATAATATTACGGCACGACCCTGAGGTTTGCCCGGACTCGCAACGAGCGTCCGGGCAAGCGAAGATGACGATGACGATGGCGACGATGATGATTTTTATTATTATCATGATTTTGATATCTTCTTGAAACCCTAATGACTGTTCCATGGGACCGGGGGATTTTGATATCTTCTTGAAACCCTGGAAGAAACCCTAATGATTGTATGCTTAATTGTTCCATGGGGCCGGGCGATTTTGATATCTTCTTGAAACCCAATAAGAAACCCTAATGGCTGTATGTTCAAGTGGTCCTTGGGGCCGGGGGATTTTGATATCTTCTTGAAACCCTTTAAAAACTTTAATGACTGTATGATAAATTGTTCCATGGGGCCGGGGGATTTTGATATCTTCTTGAAACCCTAAAAGAAACCCTAATGACTGTATGGTTAATTCCATATGATATGTAGACGCGACATGGTCTAGTTATATGATATGTAGAAGCAACATGTTCTGGCTAACACCCTAGCAACAGAATTGAGCATAAAATCCTTCCTGTTGTTTGACGTCGTACAGAATTGCCTGGTATTTGCGTTATTCTGGGCTTGGGCAAACCTCGGGGTCTGTGTGTAATATTTTGCATCCAACTATTCAGACATTTGCTATATTTACTGGCTTATGGCAGTATATACGTGTGTAATATTGAAATAGCTGGATGTGGTAGATATATCGAACTAGTTGATGGGGTAGATCTATCTATCTACCTATCTATCTATCTATGTATGTATCTAATCTAATCTATTCTAATCTAATCTAATTATCTTTCTACTGGTATCTATCTAAATTTAATTATCTATCTAATTATCTGTCTATCTCTCTATCTATCTATCTATCTATCTATCTATCTGTCTGTCTATCTCTCTATCTATCTATCTATCTATCTATCTATGCATGCATGCATGCATGCATGCATGCATGCATCTATGTATGTATGTATGTATGTATCTAAATATCTATATATGTATATATCTATATATCTATATATTCATCTATCTAGCTATGTATCTATCTATCCATCTATCTATATATCTATCCATCTATCTATTTATCTATTTATCTATCCATCCATCCATCCATCTATCCATCTATATACAATTATATACATACATCATATAGCGTCATATACCAGAATAGCTGGTATGTAAACCCGTGTAAATAATGCAGTTCATCACCAGCCTGGATTTTCCCTACAAGGTGAGAGGGCGGTTTGTGATGATTTACGGATGTTTACGGTAGATCCCCAGTTGAATAGAGCATGAATGATATTGAATGGTATCACAGAATCTAGCTTTTCTATGGTTTACAGTGGATCTATAGTTGAATATGTTTGAATATAATTGAATGATGTTGAACCGGGCTACAAACTAACTTTGCCAACTATGGGGCACCACCTTGTAGGACAATAATTGCATGAAGGGGCGGTGTTTGTGGGATAAAGCAGATAAATCTGGGCAAATTATATTTATTCACTAACCTGAAATAAGGCCTCCCATCTTCCTTAGCGGGCCCAACCCCACCTGAAATAAGGCCATTTTGGGATGATTCCCCACAATCTAACAATGATTCCAGGGTTCCGTCGCAGCGGGTTCGCTATAATTTGCCCAGATCAATAGACATAGCCACAGACCCAGTTCAACTCATCTCAGTTCACCCATTTGTAGATGGGATAACCATGGATAAGCCACTGAATGGAGACTTGCTAACCAGGGTTGGAAAAACCAGTTACCAAGTGGGATGATCCTCCAAGAAAGAACATCTGGCCATTTGGATATTCGAAGAAGGGGCCAATTATTCAAAGAAGTGGAAAACAACCAACCAGTTCCCATCAAACGATTGCCTTTTCTTGCGGGAAAAAAACGCACTTATTCAGGGCTTGGCAGAGCCTTGCCCCACTCAAGTTGGATGAACTTAAGAATCTCTGTTGCGTTTGTCAATGCTGGCCATAGCCCTGACTAAATTTAGATACAGCGGCCCAATGTTTTCCAAGTCGCAGAATATTAACATACCGTGGCAAACCACAACATATATTGCTCTCCCTTTCGGGTCACGCAGGTCAGACCAACAACCTGGTTTCAACATGTTTCAAAATCGCATGGAGGTTTTCGGAAATGGGGGATCCACCATGGCTTTCAATACTAAGTCTTTCTAAGTCATAATTTCATAGTCATCCATAACTTGGATGATTTACTCCCGTGACTTTCTGATTGGTGGTTTCAACCCTCTGAAAAATATGAGTTCGTCAAATGGGATGATTCTTCCCAATATATGGAAAAATAAAACATGTTCCAAACCACCAATCAGATCACCATGATATTCCCATAGTTGTTGGTTTATAGCCTATTAACCACCATTTGGAAGAATCATCACATTATTGGGAAACCTCACCATTTTGGCCTTCCCATCTTCGCGAGCGCCGAGAGACTCAAAATCCGGATGATCCGCCTTAAAGTCTCGCAGCACTGCGTCAAAAAAGATGGTGTCCTCAGCCGGCGCGTCGTGGCGACGAAAGGCTTCCTGTGTGTTTGGAGAAACAAATGCCAAAAAAGGTTCCCAAAAACTATTTGAATCCATCCATCTGAGGGGTTTGCAATGATTGCCAGAAAAAATCCTGCAAAATGGGCCAGCGAAATCCGAATCATCAGTTGATAGATGGTTTATCCCATGGTCGTGCAGGATTTCGCTGGCCCATCCACAGTATCTTTCCGAATCCATCCATCTGGGGTTGCAATGGCTATAATTACACATCATACCTCAGCGATGATCGGGATCAGAACTGCACATGTGAAGCCCGGACGAAAAAAAGAACGTGGGGAACCGCTGTATGTGTTATTCTAATGGTCAGGTCATTTGCAACTGTGCAGACCACAGAATTTCACTAACATTCCAGGATATCGAAGCAGTCTATGCATCAAAATCAGTGTTTCAAACCCATCCTGTTTAAACCAGAATATTCCACCAAATGCCCAATCAGTCCCAGCATCCGGAAGCTCCAAGTTGGAGTTGTTTCGCCGCAAGCCTACCTGTTTCAGGCCGATTTGCACTAAATCTGCCCATGTTCTGCGGCAGTATAGGATTCATCACTATGTGATGTGAAAATTTACCCCACATCACTATGTGAAGCTTAAACATGTTTTGAATTCTAAAAATGTTCAGATACTAGTGGGATAGAATGGGATACATTTTTTGAATTCAAAAGTAGTTCTAAGATTCTAAGTTCCATGGCCCCACAGGAACGAAGCTGCAAGTCGCCTTTTTGCCGGTGTTCGCGCCGCGATTCAAGGACGCTTTCCCATGCTGGAGCAGCACGTGCTCCTGTCAAGGGGTTTGAGTGAACCGTGACGGTTTAAGTGGCTTAACAAATTTGGTGACAGACAGTGGCTGAGTAACAGCGGTGACATTGTAAATTATCATTGTCATAGTAGTATTTTGTCTCTTCTGGTTTTAATTTGAGTAGAATCAAATGACGATATATATAAATAATACAACATGAACAAAACAATCTCGTGAATCCCATATCAAGGACTCTACAGAAACGGCATTGAAGGCCATTTAATGATAGTCTTGTCGATGATGATGATTATTATTTTTATTATGTTTATTATTTTTTTATTATGTTTTTTTATTATTATTATTATTATGATGATGATCAACATGCAACTTTGGTCTCAACATTGAGTGGTTAAATCCATGCTTGCTGAACTCAAGAACTCATCATCCAAGCACTAAGCACCCGCAACAACATCCCTTGGTGGTTCATCCGACTCTATAAGTAGGTTCCAATCCCATTTATGAGCTCCTGATACACCATGCACAAGGATATATATTATATATAACCTACTTAGCACAACTAAACCCTAGTGGACCTAGTTATAAATGGCCTGACCCTAAAAACCCCAATCATCTTCTGAACCAACAAACACCTACGCTTCAGCGCCTGAGGCTTGCAAGCCTTCGAATCCTTCGAATTCGCCTCGCAGCTCCTGGGGCACTGGGATTTTTGTCATGCTCTTTGGATAACAAAGATATATGGCATACATATGGTATATGATATATCAAATATGTTTGTTCAGATCACAACATATCACAGCATATCGTTTTGATTTTTTTTGTGAAAAATCCCATGATTGTTTTGCGTTTTGCCCATGTTCTGGCTACAATTAAGCATCATTAGGAAAGAGCAACGGGGACAAATCCACTACCCTGGCTTCAATCTCATGACATATATGATACTATAATTATGTAATGTATATATATATATATATATTATTTTTGAAAGTGTTACAGTATGTGGGGATATCCCCAAAATGCTTTCAAACAGGATAGATAAGTCCATGAGAGTGTTTGCATTTGTTGAAGGAATACTCCAGGCCACACATGCATGCAAAATACTGCGAATGCAACAAAACGAAAGCAGGCTGGTCATGTCTGCTCTTGAGAAGCCAATGTTGTTTGACAACCATCTAGCCCCTAGTGATTTAACATATTTATAGATGATTTATATTTATATAATGTACATTGATTTACCTATATTTTCCGATTGGAAATTTGCATTTTCCATAGCTATATTAAATTACCATGTCGGCCTTTCGAATGCCAAGTCGCCAAGTCTGACTCTCGTCTCTGTATCTTGGCATGATCTATGGCATGATTTATGGAATATGTATATAATTATATATTTATAATATATGGTATAATTCTTGATGGAATATATTTATATTTATGGAATATATATATATGATCCCCCTTGCAATTCGGGCTCCGACCCTGACCCCTGAATCTTTAAGGGAGCGCTGGTAGCCTCTTAAAGAATGCGAAACAGGGCAAATTTCAGCCTTAAAGAATCTAACCCCAATGAACCAAGATTGCAACACAGTAGCCAGGTATGTCCCTTTAAAGGATTGGAGACCCAAGTTGCACACCAAGGGGTGCCCCTTTAAAGAATTGGATACCCAAGTTGCAGTCAAATGGACGACGGCGCAGTCAAGCATCATCAATAAGATGCGCATGCAATCATATGAGAACATATAGGCTTATTTATTTATGTCTATATTAAGATTATTATAATTCATTCGGCATTTTTAGGTGAATTTTAAAAGCATATCTTTAACATTCTTCAACTCTGGAAGGTGTTTTAACAGATTTTAACACAAATTCTTGCATGTACAATTCTCCTTGGAATTATCCTGCTCACATGGACTCCAGCATTCTTGAGACAAAAAACGGAGGTCCACCTTGTACTACTGAAATGGCACATCTAAAGAATGCCTACCTAGGATGCAAGGGGTCTAAGACCATCTAAGAGCCCAGGCAACCAACTACAACAAATACAAAAAAATACAAAAAAACAAATACAAAAGTAAACCTCTAAAAAATAGGGCGTCCATTATAGCCATGTGGACATCAACAAACATAAAAAAAGACCAAACGTACCCAAATAATTCCTTTGCACACCGGAAATGAAATTTGCCCTTCTTTTGCCCATGCCAGATTAGCGGCTTCTGTTTTTGTCATGGCAGAAGCTTCTGCCAAAGCGTTGTCTTTGGCTGCCTCCTCTTGTTTCATTTTTCTGGTTTGATCAAAATTGATTGTAAATAACATATCCACCTTTGTATTCAGTTTTTGATCCGGGTGTCCGGTTCTTTGGTGGAGGGTGTCATCAAAGAATAATAAAGAATGAAATCCTGCCTCCGGACACAATGAGTTTTGATGGATCTTCTAAAGATAACTGGTGTTATGCCTGGGGATTTCCTGCGGACGTCTGGATATAAGACGTGGGCTGGGTTTGAGCTGGTGTTTTGATTCTTTAGAGGCTCAGGCCTGTCGACCCTACAACTTGGAATATTTTGGGGAGGGTACCACAAAAAAGAATCAGGTCCTGCCTCCCGGCACAGGCAAGGGTGTCCTTAAAGAATCAGGTCCTGCCAAAACACGGTTTTTTTCGAGCATTGTTTTGATTCTTTAGAGGCTCAGGGCGTGTCGACCCTGCAAAACCTGGCAGTTTTTCACAGTTTGGGGTATTTTTTGGGAGGGTGCCATTAAAAAATAAGGTCCTATCTCCGGACACAATGGGTTTCGATGGGTTTTCTAGAGACAATTGATGTTATGCCTGGGGATCTTGGGGATTTCCTGGGGACGTCTGGATATGAGACCTGGACTGGGTTCGAGCTGGCATTTTGATTTTTTAGAGGTTCAGGCCTGTCGACCCTACAACTTGGGATATTTTGAGGGGGGTGCCACTAAAGAATCAGACCCTGCCTTCCGACACAGGGAAGGGTGTCCTTAAAGAATCAGGTGCTGCTAAAACACTATTTTTTTAAATTGGTACTAAAGAATCACGTCCTGCCTCCCGACACAGGGAGGTGTCCTTAAAGAATCAGGTCCTGCCAAAACACTATTTTTTTCTGAGCTGGTGTTTTGATTCTTTGGAGGCTCAGGGCGTGTCGACCCTACAAAACCTGGCAATTTTTCACAATTTGAGGTATTTTTTGGGAGGGTGCCATTAAAAAATAAGGTCCTACCTCCGAACACAGTGGATTTCGATGGATTTTCTAGAGACAATTGGTGTTATGCCTGGGGATCTTGGGGATTTCCTGGGGACGTCTGGATATGAGAACTGGACTGGGTTCGACCTGGTGTCTGATTCTTTAGAGCTATACCCTGCAAAACGATAAACATATTTATTTGTTTAAATCAATATATGCATTTTGCTGCTTTTATCATATCTAGTTTCAGTTTAATTGCATTTATTGAGCCATGTTTTGGCCAGCACTTTAAACATTGACAAACTCAACTTAGGATTCCAAATTAAATCTCTAAAGAATCAAGGGGGAACTGATAACCCGGATTAACTTATGTTTTAGCCAGGGAAAATTCCAAGAGGGATAACACCATATAATTTTCAAACGCTCTGTTTTCAAACGCTCATAAATGTGCAATAGTATGGCGTCCCTGAAGAATATCCTTGTTGAAAATCAATTGAAATGTGTTGTCAATGTTGAAACTTGTTTGGCTCATCTGCGATACAAACGATGGCCGGCGCACAACAGCAGTTTTAGCAAATCGTAAAAATTCAAAGAGCTTGTCTATTGCCCCTCAAAATGCTCTCTCTAAAAAATCATGACCTAGGAAACCTTTGCAAAAAATGGGGACTCCGGGTTAGCCATGTGGAAAAATCATCTGTTTTTGCAATAAAAAAAAACCGTTTTTTGCGACAACCCGGGTTGTTGCATTTTTAAAGTGGAAATTCCAAGGGGGATCATTTACATGCAATTTCTCATCACGTTTTCATCTTCCATCTCACCTTCACGTCTTCTGCTTTTGAGCATCTGTTCAAGCGGCAGGCAAGCTGGTTTTCATTTGACACACAATCCCAAAAGTATTGGTGAACATACCAAAAAAATCCAAAAAACAAGTTCCTAGAATCTTCCTAGGAAGGCCTCTTAAAGTTTTAAAGAATAGGAGACCGTTAAACAACAGGATTTCCTTAAAAAATAGAAACTGTTTTTTTTTGCCGGCCAGGTATGTCCCTTAAAAAATACAGTTGTTTAAAGACATCATGTCCTGAACTCTTTAGGCTAAATTCCCAGGAGGATTATATATGGAATATTATGGAATATGTATATATATATATATGTACAACATAAACAAAAACATGATTCAATCCAAAATATTGAAGAACAGTGAATGAAAGTTCCCAAAACAGCAAACATTTACCCCATGCAACCCAGTCCAGCAAAGCGCAAAGCTGACCAACAACCTGCAGCACATGAAGATATGCAAGGAAATTACGCATCCGATTCTGCGCCAAAGTGTTGTTCCTACTAGTACATGTCAAAGATTGAGGATCAAAGGATCCTGCCAGTTTTGAAAACAATGAATTCTATGAACTTTCAAGGCACAGTTCTATTCTTTTACAGAGAAAAAAAACTCATGACACAGTTCTACATTATTTCAGTGTAGTTTATATTCTCAGTTTTCTGTTTTACCTCGGTAATCAAGCATGGTTTGCTGGGAAATCCACCATTTGTAGATGATGTTCCCAGCTGTAAAGCTTGATGTATATTCATGTATAACGGTGTTTCCATGCTTTTTCTCATATGTTATATGAATCCCATGATTTTCGCATTAAAACCTCTATGTCTGACGGATTTTCCCATACTTTCCCACCATTTTCCAGCTTGCCATGTTTGATGACGGAGGGTAAAACAGCCATACATCCACGCATCCACACCCACCAAGTAGCCGCAGCATGGCGTCGGCGGGGCTTTCACGTCGGTGGCCCAGGAACAGCAACAGCTGCGGTCCCAGATCGGCCCAGCAGTGTGGCTTTATGGCTATGATGTGTATCCGTCCTAATAGTTGTAACAGTCAAGGATTTCAGGAGTTCAATATATTTTGGGCAAACTATGATTTACTTGTCCATCTATTTGGGGAATTTTGGGGATGACTATAACATACTATAACTGTTGAATGGCAATGTGGGGCTGGTGGATAGCAAAGTTGGTTTAGGTCACTACAATAAGACACTAAGTGTTGGCTTGATTAGTTGATCTATCGAATTTGCCGGGGTTATAACTCAACAACGATATAGCTAGATATATAGCTAGATATATAGCTAGATATATAGCTGGATATATAGCTAGATATATAGCTAGATAAATAGCTATAGATATAGGGGGGGCCACTGTGTAACTGCTTCGTATGCGCTACACCCTATGGATAGCCGGATAGGTCATGAATTTGGTCACTTCCAGATCCGGGATCCGGCTCTGAGCTCTCAGACTGAGTCGTAGCACCAGCAAACTGATGTCACCTTGGCGTCCAAGATGAGTGTGGTTTAATGGTGGTTTAATAGTTGTTTAATGGTAAACTCTATTGACTATACTGGACTTGGTTTCTAAAAAAAATCACGTTGATGGTTGGCCTGGTTGGCCATTCACATTCATGGCTCATGCCCCAATTTCTGTGACAAAAACCTAGCTGTGATCAATGATTAAGCGCTGACCCATCACCAGCCGTGTTGATCCCAAAAGGCTGGGGCCCATCTGGGGCCTCAGTGGCTCCGCGCCTGGTTTGTAACTCTTCTTGCGGTCCTCACGACACCATGCACCTGTCCGATCCAACTCATGGGGCCCAAAAAAAAACAGAAATTCCCACGATTTTTTTTTGGGACCCCAAAAAACCTTAAGTTGGTTGATATAAAATGATATTAAATAGCTTAAATGTAATATAAGTTGATATAAAACCATTTTTTTGATATAAATAGTTTAACGAGGCTTCATGGTCATTCTAAATTGGACTGGTTGTTTGAAACCACCATGCACAACTCGGGGTTCCAGGGTCGGTTCCCCCAGATCCCATTGTTCATCACATTCTGAAAATATCAATTTATATATATATATATGATATTTTATTACATTGGCATAAAACAATGGTTATATATAATGTAATATAAAATAAAATAATATAATATACTACAATGTAATAAAAAATAATATATTATAATATAGTATAATATAATATTATATGACCTTATATTACATAATATCATATAAAATATTTTGTTTTATTATATTACATTTTATTATATCATATGACATTGTATTTTATTATTTTATATTGCATTTGAGATCATTTTATTATATTATAGTCTATTCTATTATATTAAATCATTACATGATATTACATGATATTATATTACATTTTATTATGTTATATTATATATATCATATTATATTTTGGTATATTCGTAAATATACGGCTATAATACATTAAGATCATGATTCAGTATAATCAAATCTCAGACACACCCATATCATATATTGCTCATGAAAAAAACAATGCAGCTCGTTTCCGAATTACGACATGTTTCCTATCTTACGTGTCTCCTGAACGGGATTTTGGGATTTTGGGATTTTGGAAAATGATCTTTATCAAAATAGATATCTAATATCTATAGATTTTTGGGGAAACATGATCTTTTGGGATTTTGGAAAAATGATCCAAATTCCATCTTGGTGGAGATAGCTGTAGATCTTGATCAAGGTCCAGCATTCCAGGCCTCTCTTGGTCGGTTGCAACGCCATGGCGTACAAAGTCGTGGGCCGGTCGCAGCGCAATTCGTAGATGTTCTGCGACGGTGAACAACGGTGAAAAATGGTGAAAAATGGATTGGATGCCCTTTCAGGGGACTAAGATAACTATGGAAAATGGCCCGTTTGTAGATGAATATTACCTATATATTTAAACAAAAAGCTGATTTTTATTTCTTGTCCACTTACTGAACTACACATCAGCAGTAAGATGAATTACATGATAAAAAGAAGGTGATGTTTCATTTTTTCCCAAGCGATATGCAGCTGAACTACACGTCAGCAGCAATCCCTCAGCTGCTGATCTCACTTTGGAAAGATCATCGACTGACTCCCGGAGCCCCAAACGCCGTGGCTTGTAGCCCCAAAATCGAAGATGGAACCTGAAAAAGTTGGGAGATGGAATAAAAATGAAAATCATATTCCTATTCGATACAGCCAACTATTTGGCTTCCGTGTTATTTTTTAGTTTAGTGGGAATAATTACTTATAATTATGATACTATGGGATAGTCAGATATTCAGATTGGTTTAGAATAACATCTAAATATCTTGGAATTTGCGGGGAGGGGGTTGAACCCCAACCATAATGTAGAGGAAATTCCAAGGGGGATATAGAACTTCCATATTATGGGGGTAGCCTCAAATCATCCATATATAGTTTGTTTTTTGTTTCCATGAAGTAAACCATCCATGAATTGGGGATCCCCCGTGACTATGGAACCCCCCTATAACTATATATATATATACAATATACATAATATCATATAGTAATACATATATATATATATAACTATATTATAGATAGTTAGATGGATAAACATAGCCTCTGGTAGACTAACATAGCTATCTTAAACTACCCGCCGGGTGCGGAATCGCGCGTGTAGGCGCATCACCATTGTCAAAAAATGACAACCCTTTCAGTGTTTCGTAGCCGTCTCAAAGTAAAAATCTTTAAAAAAAAAGGTCATTTTTCTTGCGTTTGGCAACCCTTCCACACGAAATCCGGACCTTTTTTTGCCTTGCCAGTTTCAGTGATCATTGTGCATGTAGACCTGTGCTGTTTTTTCAACAGGTCAGGACACAACGCGTTTTCCCATCTCCACAAAACCGGTAACGTGAACACACGATATATGTTAACATCCCCACCCCACCCCATGCTCAGCGTAGCATCAATGGCGTGTTCAACTTCAAACGAACGTTCACATCCCCACCCCACCCCATGCTCAGCGTAGCATCAATGGCGTGTTCAACTTCAAACGAACGTTAACATCCCCACCCCACCCCATGCTCAGCGTAGCATCAGTGGTGTGTTCAACTTCAAACGAACGTTCACATCCCCACCCCACCCCATGCTCAGCGTAGCATCAGTAACGTGCTCAACTTCAAACGAACGTTCACATCCCCACCCCACCCCATGCTCAGCGTAGCATCAGTGGCGTGTTCAACTTCAACCGAACGTTAACATCCCCACCCCACCCCATGCTCAGCGTAGCATCAGTAACGTGTTCAACTTCAAACGAACGTTCACATCCACACCCCACCCCATGCTCAGCGTAGCATCAATGGCGTCTTCAACTTCAAACGAACGTTAACATCCCCACCCCACCCCATGCTCAGCGTAGCATCAATGGCGTGTTCAACTTCAAACGAACGTTCACATCCCCACCCCACCCCATGCTCAGCGTAGCATCAGTGGCGTGTTCAACTTCAAACAAACGTTAACATCCCCACCCCACCCCAGCCCATCCTGCGTTGCCAGTTACATGAACATAAGAGTGCAGCATGGTGTGTAAGCTCAAAAACATAATGTGAAATTGGGAATGTTGAAAATGTGTGTCGCTACACGTACGGTTTTGCACCCGTTAGCTTAAACTAACATCTCTCATAAATAAATATCTCCCATGATCCGGGGGCGCCTTGCACAGGCGGCTGCCGGAGCTCTTGGCGCAGAAGGCGTTGCCGAAGCTGGCCGCGTGCCAGCCGCGGTGGGCCAGACCTTGGGGAGATTTGGACAAAACACAGGTATTTTGACCAGCAAAATAACGTGGAATTTATGCGGAAAAAATTGGATTTTATAAGGATACATGTGGATTTTACAAGGAAACCATGTGGATTTTAGAAGGAAACATGTGGATTTTATGAGCAAAAAAGGTGGACATGACATGACTTGCATATTTACTATAGGGCAAGTCGGTGACACGAATCTTGAATTTTGATTGGATTTATGATTGTCTTTGTATAAAATTCATAGTTATGAAAAAAATATATTCTTAATTTTGCTGGATTTATGAGTCAGCATTAGTCAGATTCGTAACCAACGATAAAGATTAAGATTAAATTCACCCAGAATAAACGGACAGTAACAAACGGTCAAGATTCATCATATACGTAGGTTTAAAATGATTCAACCATAAATCAGAACTCATAAACATATAAGTATAAACATATATAAACATGCGTTAAACCCAGGCTGCCATAAACAACTACCATGACTGGGGATGGTTGGAAACCCATTGAATCTCTGTTCAAGCAGCGGCCGCCAGAGATCATTTGGGTGTCAACTGATACTTGGTTTGATACGCTCTGAAAGGGAGTGAGGTGCAAAATGTACTGATCACAATGTGTATATATTTAAATACAATTATAAACAATTATATATACATGTTTACAGAGTTGTTTAAATAGTTGTATATAATTATAAATATATATATATATATAACGTGCAAGTATAAATTGAACGCACACCATGCATGTATAAATTCACAAACATATAGAGTGTTTATATATAATTATAAATATATATATAATATAATTATATTATAAATGCAATATCTTGCAGTGAAGCACTGTATAACACTTGTCCATATATCGCCCAACACAAAACTTCCCAGGTATCCCGGCAAACATCCACCACCTGGAGCGGTGGGGATCCCCATAGGAAGCAGTTGACAACAATTCTTGGGCTATAAATGTACACACATATATATATACATATATATATATATTTATTTATATGTAATTATATGTACATATGATCTACATTTATCATTTTTTTGCAGTGTATGAATGTAATTCATATTGAATATCATCGAATATGGTTGAATATAATTGTATGTGGTCAAACTCCAATTTTGAGGATGCCTAACCACCCAAACACAAGGGCAATGATTGTGGGTCAAAGTCTCGAAATCCCCCAAAATGCACGCATGCTGGGTCAGGTTCAGTATGGATCATGTACCTGAATCCCGGCCAGCCCAATTCGATTACCAGAAGCTGATATCTCCATCTGTTTGGATCAAATTGCAGAAACGCTTAGATTCGTCTTTTGTCTTGATATGTCTTGATAAAGCCCCAATGTTGCTTGGCGTTATCCCATTTTTTCTGATGGTGAAGGCAGTGAACCCCCCATCTGTTTATGGCGACAGCCGCCTGAAAGGCCATGAGAAAATGGGTGTAGTCCATCCAGAAGGTGCCATCATCGACCTTGCCATGGAGGATCCCCAAATCTTCGTCACCATGGCTCTCTGTACGAAGTCATGGTCACTTGGATGACTGGTTGTTGGTTTCAACCCCTCTGAAAAATATGACAATCAGTTGGGGTTACTATTCCCAATATATGGAAAAATAAAAAATGTTCCAAACCACCAAACAGTGGATGATTTGGGATACCCATTTTGACTCGGTACACTTATAGATGAATAGCATGTTAAAGCCCTTAAGAGATGTAAATGTGAAATAATAACTCCTGCAAGGTGAAACATATCATTGGGGTTACAAGCCAGTTTTACCTGTTAAGGGCCATAAGTGTACTCTGCAGTAAATGAACAGTTCGACCTTGAAAATAGCTCATGTTCAGTCGAAGGTAGTCTTCCAACCCCCTATTTAGGTCTATGTTCGTTGGGGGGATGAAAGAAATCCCCATCTCTGGCCATGGAGAAACAAACTATCTTATCTAACCAAAGTATCTGTTTGCGAGGCAGAAGTACGATATATTCTCTGCAGCCTTGGGCGCAGCTTGCCCGGCTTGCCCTCTCACACACGCTTTGGCTATTCGAACCATGTGCCTCATGAAGCTCTCTGACCCATAGGTCCAGAAGCACCGGGTGTGACAGCTTTGACAGAACCAGCTTATGTGGCAGGTAAGGTGGTGCTTTTGTACCATGCTGTACCTGTGCATAGCGCTTGAGGAGCGCATCCAGCGCACTCGCCACTGCGGGTCGCAACACAGAGCCAGGTGGCAGTGACCTGCACAGCAGTGTGTTGCTGAGGCCCACAAGGGTGTGTGTGAGGAAAGCCTCCGAGATTGCCTTCATCTCGACAGTGCTGAGGTCCAGGTCGATGATGCCATGCCGTGCAGCACCATCGCATACAGGCATGCACATGCGATGTGAGCCTCGCTGCCCATGATCTGCTTTGCCTTGAGCCTTGCAGCGTAGTGGCCTAACAACGCGATTGAAAACGAGGCTGTGCAGACTCGAGGCTACGGCGTATTGCTGGAGGCGCCGGCGTGGCTAGTCATCCAACGCCGCACAACGCGGAAGTTGCATAATTCGTTGAGAAAAAAATAGCATCGCTGGAGCGATCATGCCCTCATGCCCTAGTGAGTTTTATTGCTCAGCTTCACAGGGGTGTTCGGGGCAGCACAACCACTCGACCATCCACTGACACGGTGCAGCCTCGGCTGAGACGTTCATCGCTCCCTCGATCGATTGTGCATAGCGCTTGAGGAGTGCATCCAGCTGTTTTTCAGCCGCCATATTGGCGATCATTCCATAGTGAAGGAGGCAAGTGTGAACATTTGTGTTGAACTTCTCCTAAAGATCTGGCGGACTTTCTCTCTCGCAGGGTACAGAAGTGGTTAGGTGATACTCAAGCATCTAACAGTCTAACATGTGGAGTTTGCTGCGCTAGATACAAGCGGACATGCCCTTTCAAACTCTGCAAATGACACTTGACTACTTTAATGCACAAGTCATGTTTCGACAATTGACTCACCATTCTTGTACCCCCCACTCAGTTGCCCAAATGGTGGATATATCAGTACCAACGACAAAGGTCAGGTGGTGAAATGGATAAAAGATGTAGATGGGCATGTCACAATTAAACACAAAGATCTAGTCTAACCATCAATAATGGGTTTGACATGGTTTGACTAGTTTCAAAGGGAATTACTGTATACATCAAACCAATTTGTGCAAACAAACTCAGGATGCATCTAAAGGTTATCGAGTGTTTTTGTTTGGGGGCGAACTTTGGCATACCACACATGGTGGTTTTACATTACAGAACTGTGTATATATATATATACTTATTAATTACATAATGAATATAATTTAATAATATATAGGATTGTATGAAACACTGTATGAAACACTACATCACCACATATGGAGGTTTCCTAAAATGGAGGTACACTTAAATAATCCATTTGAATAGGCTTTTCCACTATAAACCATTTTGGGGTACGACCATTCATGGAAACCCTCACATAAATATATATATATATATGTATATAGTTAGATGATGTCAGATGATGTTAGATGGATAAACATACCTTCTGGTAAACTAACATAGCAAACTGGAAAATCATATATAATCTTTAATAGGTATAACTATATTATATATATATAGGTAAATCAACTATAAAGAGGCCATGTTCAATAGCTATGTTAAATGAACAAAGGTAAACCAATTTACCAAAATATACCACGCACCATCTTCCTGCAACTGTTGCACCACGCTAAGAAAGAGACGCCGGTACAGCCCAACTCACCTCATGGCTGGAATTGGAGAATGTGGGTGGCCCAACATTAAATCTACCGTTTCGGAATGGTTTATAGCTCACATGTATGTCATGTATGGTTATTTTGAGTATGAATTCGATTCCCGGGGTTGTCGCAATCCCCGCCGCACCTGGCGCAAGCCCAGGCTTAATCATGATCAGTACTGGTGATACTGCAGATAGAAGAAATCCTGCACCAGTTAATAGCTGGTTTATCCCATTACTTAAAGGCTTTCTACGATCCCAGGGTGCAGGATCTCTTCCATCCACAGTATCTCAGCTTGTGAAGGTTTCATTCTATTTGCAGTTCGAGTTCCCATTCTTTTCAGTTTCAATTAACAATCTTTGTTGGTTGCCATCCATCATATTTTGCCAGGGGCCCTGGGGTCAGTTCGTCCTAAAATCCCTTGTGTTCACACCACAAATGCTGGGAAATAGTGGTAGATGGGTCACCCGAAAAGATTTAAAACAACTTCGCTATGGATTCCCCAAATGGTATATTTCCCATTGGGAAAGTAAACAAAAAAACACCTTTAACAAAGCCATGAATGATCCTATACATTCCTGTTTCTGCATCTTCAATTGGAATAATCAGGATGATAACCCACATACGTTGGAACTGCACCCCAACTGGTTGGTGGTTTCAACCATCTTGAAAAATACGAAAGTCAGTTGGGATGATTACTTGATTACTCTCCATATATTACGGGAAAAAAACATGTTCCAAACCACTAACCAAGATATCTATTGGATAATTGGTTAGCATGATATCCCGCTAGTTAATAGTGTTAGTCAATAGTGTTGATATTCCCAAACCCATATGCTCCATGGTGCTGGTATATTTACCTACAAAACTGGGTGATTTTCAGGGTAAATGTTGTTAAATATTCCATACATGGAGCATTTGAGTGTCCAACCTCGGTCTGGTGAACAACACCGGCGCTCTGCGCCACCCGGCTGGAGAGACTCTCCGTCCACTCGGTCGACTTGTCGCCTAAGTGGGCCGTTGTTTTTTTTTCGCGGCCACGGGTGGCCTTTAAAGGGAATGAAACCTAGAAATCCTAGAAACATGGTCAATTTAACCACAACAAACAATGGATCAATGAGATCTATTCTGAAAAATAGTTGCTTTATTAAATAGCAACGTTGAATGTTTCACTGGGTTTTCTATGGTTTACGGTAGATATCGAACTTGGATGGGGAAGATCAAGCAATTTGGCCGACTATGGGCACCACTTTGTATGAGGTGGACCTATCAATGGTCCATAGAAGTGCCATGGTCAAGTTACATATAGGACTCAAGTGACTGAAGGGCTACGGCTATGGTCATCCCAGCATCATGTTCACTACATTCCTTGCAACAAGGTGCAATTTTTCACGCTAAGGGGGGGATGACCATCCCTCATGGGAAAAGCGGAAAAGCAGCCCATGTTTTGACCGTTTGACCGTGGCACAGATTAGGAACTGATAAAATGCTCATTTTGGTATTTTAGAATAATCATTGATCATTTTTTGGATGGAAAACAAATACCAACAATCATGTCTTGTAACGTCGTCACGCTTCACTCTCCGGGAAGCCACGCTCCACTCTCCGTTCCACTCACCTTCGCCCCACCAATGGATCCACTTTGGGACTTGGGTTTGTCTGAGAAGGTATGAGCAAACTAAAACATCCAAGACAAAATCCAATGGTAAGTTTAAAACCTCCTTTTCACCATGAACATGAGCAGAAAATTGGTGGTAAATCGGTAAAAACCCAAGGTTTGGGCAAACGCACTGGATGCTCCTTGTGTGTTTTTTTCAAGGGTGAGGAACTGGCTTGCCACATGCGGGGGCACCAAGAGGGATGAGGGGAACCATTGCAACTCTCCAAGCCTCCAAGGCAAAATACTAAAATTGCTCATTCCACACTTCCAAAAAAACGTCGTTTCTTGGCCAGAATTAAGATGTTTAAAACTCGCCTTCAAAATCCAAAAGAGCAGGGCAAAGATGTTCCCAAACCAGAAAGATCAATCCAATACTGTTAGTAAAGCAAGAATAGACCACCCAAAAAATGATGGTTTATACCAGCCATTTATATTTTGGGATTGCGCATATTGCTTGCTACTTACTATCACTTTACTAGCATTTGACCAGGATTTCAGTTTCTCAGGGTGTTGTGTTCTTCGAACAGGAGCTGGGGACCGTGGCGCCCTGCCTACGCCATGGGGATTCCGGATTCTGAGAAGGCGAACTTGACCCTCCTAGCGCTGGGCCGCTGGCCGCCCCAACGGAGATTTATATCATCCCAGTACCCATGACGGATCCGGCTGGTGCTGGTAGAAAAATGCTAACATGACTGGGGTATATTGATGGGATCCATGGCACACCATATATAGCAGCACCATGGATCCTATGGGGTATGGTTATGCCATGAAATCGCGTAAAATCATTCAATCACCATGATGATCAGTGCTGGTTGAAAATATCACTGAGCCGATGATCAGTGCTGCCTGGCTCCTTCACTGCGACGTTCAAAGTTGAGAACATCAGTGACGAGGGCCCACCAGTCCAAGGAAGTTTTGTTGGCTTCGGGTATTGGTACCATCCAAAGGTGGTGGCACAACAACCCGAAGGTAGGTGCCGTGGCGCATAGTGCGCGGACCAGGATGAAGCATTGGCCAACCATAGCCATTGACCTGTACCAAGCACCGGTCCAGTTGGGAAGTGCAGTAGTTCTGCACACCAGCATACCCAAGAACTGCAGACCTTGTGATGTGTAGCGGAACTCGAACCACTCGCCTCGTGGACGCAGGAAGAGGTAAAAGAGCTCCAGGACCGGGGTGAAAGTGGATCTCGACATCCACAATAACCAAGGCATCAGTAGATGCAGCCGGCAGGTCAGTGACAGACTGCAGAACAAATGACCAGTCGTCAATCTGGTCACCAGTCATTCGTGCTTGAACTGCATGGGCTTGAAGCAGACTTGCGGGTACAACTCCAAGCTGCCGTGCCAATTTGATCAACATAAGATTGAAACCGCCCCAAAGTCAAGAGAATCAACTGGAGTGGTTGACTGGCAGTGGCATCTGACAACATTGTGAAAAATCACCTTTAAGCGTGTTTAAAGCCATTGCCTTCTTGTCCAGTCTCTTCTCACTAGAGAGGACTGAAAGGGCTTCGTTGACTTCCAAGACTGCAATCTGCACAGGTGGTACATGGTAGCAGAACTATTACAATTTAGAATCATGAACAAAGAGGATCAGCTCTTGATACTGGCGGCCTTGATTTCGTTGTTGGTTGTAGTGGCCCTTCCAAAGGTATTGAACCAGAGGTGAAGGTTGTCATACTTCTCACAGACCTCCATTCAGCCATTAAAAAGCCAATATTTTGAGAACAAGACTGAAGAAAACTAAGATACTATACCCACAGGTGTTTCGCTTCGCTTTCCCGTATTTTCAAGAAGCAGTTGCCTTCTATATAATGATGTGGTTTCGCGCCTAGTCTTCAAGTGCCATGGTAGAATCAGCGTCGTCATTCCTGATAGTGAAGTAGTAGTCCTCCTTCTTGCTCTGACAGAGGCAGAGACACTTACAAATCATTACAAATCCCTAATATATATATATATTACAATTAGTTAAGAGTGGGATAACCAAATTTGAAAATCTATTATACTACCATTATATAAATTAGTTGAAGATGAGTTACTACCACATTGTTTTTGGTAAATAATCATCCCATTACAAGATGAACCCAAAATATAAGCTGGTTTATACACCCCATCAATACTACAGCTATACTATACGTCTAATTATATGTATACTGTATGTGTGTAATATATATATATATATATACATCCCCGTATATCAAATCGTTCGCCAAATTATTTGTGTCTGTCAACTTAGCTATCGTAAACCGGGGCCTCATCGTCTATAAACGAGGACTTCTTAGCTGGTGGTACATGGCTGAGGGCTGGTTCCACCCATGTTCTATCACTCTACCACTGGACTATTACAACCGTCGGCATCAACTTATCTAACATACATCCTATAAATATCTAATCTAAATAAATCATCATGTTTGTTGGTCAAACATATCCCATGTTTCTTTTGGTAAAGTGTCCATAAAAAATATCCCCATCAATTCACACCATAGAACCATTAATCCAAGTTGTCTCAATCCCCATCGTTGTCTCCTGGCGTGCGCCACCATAACCCAGCTCCTAACGGCTCGGAGACGATTCGCAACGATCTTAGCTAAGCATAGGAACTCGATCTGAGCCACATCAGTTAATCTTATTCTATGTAACTAGATAGCTTGGTACAATTAACTGATGTTACTAGATACTCATCTAGTTACTTCTCAGATATCTAAATCAATTGAACCAATCTATCAGTTGTCTGGGCTACATCAGTTATCCATATGGCCCATATAATTAATAGATGTAACTTACCAAGGAAACTTATCTGTGACCATACCACTTATTAACCATCTGTAACTAGATCTAAACCAAGGGAACTATCTTAGCTATCTCATAGTTTGGCAATCTGAGAGATCAATGAATAAATGACCATTTAACGTACCGATTTATTGGAGCCACCTACCATAAGTACGTGCTATGTAAGGGCTATGTAAGGACTATGTGAGGGGATATACCACCATTGATTAGATACCCTGCAGAAAATGAAAATGGTTGGCTGGGAAATGTAGATATTCCTATTCATAGCAAAAGATTAAAGTGATTAAAGGATGAAACTACCCATCCAAGGTTGACCTAGTAGCTGTCTCATAGTTATTCTTAGTTACCATCCAAAAAAACATCCTTTGGCTGATCAGTATATATATATATAGAGAGAGATACATAATGGTGTTTACCCAATGCCACAGACACCATCCCATTCACCAAACCTCTATCGGGGATGGTTTATAGTTGGCTTGACCACTCCATAACGAGCCTCTCTACGGATTTTATACGGAACGATGGAACGATGCATTGATCTTGGGTGCAAATAGGTAAGTTGGTTGCGCAACGAAACAAAGCATCCACCAGGTCAACAAATATCGAGAACGGTGAACAGAAGTCAACTGATATCAGGCAAAGTCATCTTTGAAGCGACCTTAAACACATAGCTAATTTACCAACACAACAAATACAGCAGCAGTATGTTGACACTTCTATCCATGTGTGGGTAAATCAAAGATCTACTGTAGCTATAGCTGCGACCACTGTGACCACTCATTCTGATTCTACACAACTGCGTCCCTTAGCAGCGAGAATTCATAGTTGAAGACACGATAAAACCAACTGGAAACCGTGCATATATGCTGAAGTGTCCTACGTATATTTATGTATCTGTCCCATTACACTGTTTCATCCATTTATCATACAATATATTGTTATAATAAGAATGTATGAAAACCCGAACCATCATATGTATATAAATGAAATATAATGTTACACAAATCATCTTGTTTACAACCCAATGTAAACCCATTCTTGACCCCAAACTCTTCTTGTTCCATTTATCCAAGGGACAGGCCCCTCCCCCTGAGAGCCAGACCCTGCCCATGAAGCGTGGATCGAAGATTTCCCTCACATCCAACACGCTGTAGGCATGGTTTCCACAGAGCCCAACCTGTCGGTCTCAAGGCTTCGAAATTGCGAAAAAGGTTCAGCAGAACAGGAACAAACGCCTTGACATACACACATGATATGTACATATCATCTATATCATATCAAAACATAACGTTTATATAAATAAATATATCATACATTATTGATATAGAAAATGTATATGTATAAAATTATACAAATAATATGTACTGTCTTGATTCTTGGGGCTTTGTGACTGCAGAATCAAGAAAAGGGCACAACAAATGTTTAAGTAAAAACCCATTGCAAACATATTCCAATGAACATGACAACTCTGAAACAAAGTACTTAGATTTCCCTGAAAATAGGATACCCAATTTTAGTAATCCTATTGAAATTGCTGTTTCGGGGGGAATACCGTATATCCCATTTTCCGACACAGCCGTTTGAATACCAAGTTCAGTTACCCCTACCTGGGGTTGTCTGAGAATGGGCTTTCAATTCCAATTCTCTGCATTTCCCTCATGATTTTTGCAATTTCGGGATGCACCGCTCTAGTATTGGATCCTTTCATTTTGGCTTCCGATATGGAGTATAAAATATATCATATTATGTATATATATATATACAGACATGTTAATAATTATTGTATCTATAAATGAGTATATAAGCGAGTGTATGTATATATATAAATATATATAATAAGTATATGTATATATCCCCATTTAATGAGATTTAATGATGGTTATTGAAACCCTGTTAAACACTATTAAACACATTTTGTTGACAGTAAATGAACGCGCAACCGACCAGTCTGGTATATACAAGGCGAGGCCCCCTGCTAGATGGATTTAAAGTGGTTATAACTATAACTAGATGGGTTTATGCCAGCTTATAACTGGGGGCCACCTTGTAGATATAACTACACCCACCTTGCAGATATAACTACGGATACAATCTATTATCTGATATGATAAAGACTTGGTTTGGGTGTCTCTGAACATGAGGTATGCCCCCATGTTATGCAATCTTAGTAGATAACATTGTGATAAATCATTGGAATTGTGGATCTGTTAGCCTATTTCAGACAAACCCATATGTGGTATAAAAGGAATATCAAGGAATTGTGTCTACTATAACTCCCAGATCAAGCTGCATTAGCTTCGCATCATCACTATACATATATGATCATATATATATATATATTATGTACATAATATTATATATCATCAAATAAACAAACAAATGATTCAGGAAGTAAACAGAAACACATGAATGCATCCTCGTTAGAATTAGGGGGGAGGGGTTGGACCCCCCTCTGCGTAGTTACAAACCACTAGGGCCCAACCCCCAGTGTCTACAAGAAGCATTCACCTGCAAAAACGTTGGGACTACAAAAAGCTAGTGCCAACTCTAGGCACCATGCCAAGAACCGAGCTAAATCAGCTCTACAAAAAGGTTGCTCAACCCACATGGTTAACTTAAAAGAACCATCAAGAATTCAGCTGGATTTTTCCCTATCCTTTTTGTAGAGGTTTCTGTGCTCTCAGGAGGTTGGGCCCCCCCGAACTCTCAGCATTTTGTAGAGAAAGAAAGCTTTCATGTGGAAGTCCTTTTTTAACCCTCGTGTCGGCTACTTGTAGTGGTGCCATCCGCTTAATTAATCCTAGTTATGTACAGCAGAACTTCTCTTCTACAGTGACTTCTGGCCTTTGGCTCTCTCATTGAAACAGTGCAAGCAAATTTTCAGCTCTTTCATGCTGTCTGCGTTCTCTTTCAACCTCCACTTTTTTTTCAGGTGGTATGCAGACCCTGCCCGACTCACAAAAACACTCTCAGGCAAACTCACCGATGGCGATGGTGAAGCAATCCTAATGCAGCATCTCGACAAGATCGCTGCCAGCAAAAGACCAACCACTATGCCTCCACCAAAAACGCACGCCAGCAGCAATTCTAACTCGCTCATGATTGGAAATCTTCGAATGTTAAGGCCGATCCCTGCTGTAATGGCTGCAAGGTCTAGCGTGATCAAATATGAAAACACCTGGCAACAGTGTCACTACAAAATGCATTCTGCATTCGAACCTCTACAAACACCCATCCAGACCCATCCAGACCCAATAAGTATCTGCACCTGCAATCAGTTTCATGAGTTGATGTGGACGTGCGCCTCACCCATGAGAATCTCTACTAAAGCACTGCGCGACCAAAATGTCTACAAGTTGACAATTACAAACATCATTTTTCCTTCACCACTCACTTGAAGCCTCTTGCCAGGTTTGGCGTCACGGGCATCCTCCCATCATAGCTGAGCTATGGAACTGTGAAAACACCTACAGACTCCGATGGAAGCCACCTGCAAACTGATTTGATTTCAGACTAAATGAATCCAAATGAATCAAAAAACAACAGGCCTACAAAAAAGATGGTCTATCCTTACTTCACTACAAAGTGGGAAAATGACAAATATTGTTCTTGGTCACAGAAACTGGGGAAGCATCTTTGCAACAGCTGGTCCATCGAGGTTCTATGCTGCAATCTAATTTGATGAATTTGATCCTAAAAAAGATCCTTGCAAAAAATTGTGGGGCCTTCTCTGCATGCAAGAAATCGTGAATCAAGCTTCTCAAAGCTTGCGACGCTTGCTGAAAACACCCCCCCGGCATTGTGTGCCATGTTCATGGCAAGGCAATCGAACTGTCATCAGAGTGAGAAACAAACTAAATTCAAAAAAAAACCCAACAAGCATGTGTGAACTGAATTGAACTGATATATTGAGAGAGATGGTAAGTGGATACTTAGTGCCCATTGAGGATTCAATTTGTTCAATACCTAATAGCTGACATCTGTAGATTCTGATGACTCACATGCTTATCGCATCCAAAATCAAAATCGAGCTGCTCAGGCCTTCGGCCCACCAAGTCAATTCTCAAATTGCCTGGCGCTGCAAGCAGAAAAGTTTGTTTAAACACTTGGAGCTTTCTTTTGTGCACACTGGATGTACTCTGCAATTTCCTTCACGAGTCTCAGAAAGGGCCCACGCTTTGGCTCATCTTTCTCGAGGTTCTGCTTCACGCTGCAAAGATGGCGCCACACGGCCTTTCCATAGGCCGAAGAACCCTTCACATACAGGTACCTGAGACACAAATGCGTGGCCAAGAGAGTCCTACAAATTGCAATGTCCAGCTCCCTTCACTACAAAATCTGTGTTGCCATTTTTATTTTATCATTTTGTTTTGCAGATTGTCTTTTTACAAACACTGATCTCATGAAAATTAACTACAAACAGCTCACCTGCAGCTTGACAACTCAGAAGAGGCACATCGATTCAAAAGCCTGCGGGGAATTCTCAATCACCATGGCACGGGTGATGTCCTTGGCTCCTTCAAAGTCCATTCTGCAAAACCCTTCTGCCGCATGGAAAGCAGGGGAAGCTGGAAAACTCTTCTGATCAGCTTCAATGATCGCTGTCATGAGGTCAGCCACAGCAGCTCTGCCCTTCCCGTTGCGACGGATCGAATCTGCAGTGTGGTCTCCAATGGGGATCACCGGCTTTGACTTCTTGTCTTTCTTCACCTTGGGATGCTTCACGTGCAGTTTCACAGTCTTCGTTTTGGTTGTTTTCCCTTTGTTCTTTGGACCTTCTTCTGCTTCAGATGCCTTCTGTGCTGCCAATCTGGCTCCTCGCGTCATTGGCGGACTTACTGTCCACTTCTTCAACGTGGGCACTTTTTCAAGCACTGCTGCTGAAGCTTCACTCAAAGTGATTTTCACCCGGTCAGAGCCATCAGAAGATTGCTCACCTTGGGCAAGAAAGGATCGAAGCTCACTACAAAAAGAGTGTTGCAGCTTCGAACTCTACAAAATGGTATCTGGGTGTTTTTTTGGGTGTCCCTGACAAATTGCAACAGATTTAATGGTCGATCAAATAGTTTAATTTATTGCATCATAATACTGTTGACACAGACCACCCCGTCTGCTTGAACATCTTGCAAGTTGCATGATTCGACATCGAGGATTGATACCAATGACTCCATGCGCACCACCCATGCAATGGAGGTGGACTCGCAAAACCACTCATTGCTCCGCTCCTTCAGTGCAAAATATGGGTTGAGGTCAAGAAGGTAAATCTTGCTAGACAAACATATTGCATATTGTTGCAGACGCATACAAATTTGAAAGATCATGATACATGTGTATATGTTTTTGCTATATATAGGGAACCCATCATGCCTGCTACAAATTGCAGGCCTCAGGGTGGGAACCTATAAAAAGAGATAAAGGATTAAAAAAAACATCAACAAACCAAACATTTGAAAAATGCCCCTGCTACCGCCCTGTCTGTCCTGATCCACTAGGTCCAGGGCTACTGCCCGGAAAGCCACACACGAGTTGACGTTCACTTCACCTGCATGCACCTTGGGGCTCTTGATGCCGCGCCAGCAAGTGAGGATGAACCCGAGCTCTATGCCAGCGTTGCCCTTGGCACCGGCCAAGTGGAACAAAACCACATTCCCTGGCCTCATTTTGAAAGTTGAACATGAACAAGAACAAGAAAGAAAACATAGGTAAAAAATGGTAAAAATAGAACATATTATTTTATATACTAGGTTGTTCTCAGTTATTGGATGTTACTGGATGTTATTAGGGGGTACTGTTGGGACCACAGCACATATTCAAAGCAAAGTCCATCTACAAAATGTCTCCCACCAGAAGCTCTTCTACAAAATGCAAAAACAACTACAAAAACCATCGGCATGTCCGAGGATCATGATCCGGTCAGGTGCCTCCGCAGGCAACTGCAAATCCCGTTGAGCTTGAATCACCAACTCTCGCCACTTCGTCAATCTGCTGGCTCTGCTTCGATACTGCGGTGTTTCTTGTTCAGCACGTGCACGAGCTATGATCATCTCGTTGTGCCTTGCAGGCTTGCAGGTTTCAATGGACCATTCTACAAAAAGGTGGCCCCAAGTCTATATCTACAATATCCAAAAACAATACCACCTGTCTTATGCAACATGTCTGCCATACATAACTTCGATTAAAAAAAATAGTAGACAAAACAAATCAAACACATTAGAAGACCAAGGTGCTGGTGCCAGTTCAACTTTTTGCTCGACTTTCTCGCATTACGAGCATTGATCAGCCATTTTGTGTCCACACCTCCACAAGCAGTGCGAAGACGCAAGACAAACCTCCAAAGGGCATTGAAACGGTCGCCTGGTGCCGTCATGGCCTCCAACAAGGTGCCAGGCAGCTTCTCTCGAAGGTCTGCTTTGTTCGAGCCACTGACATGTGGATCATCTTGTGAAGCATGGAAAAGCTTTTCCAAGTCCTCTTTGTCTGTCACCTTTTCAAAGGCCAGTTCAATGTCCTCATGTGGAACTTTTGGCTCCCCATCTTCATCTGGATCCACAAATGGGGTCTCGGTCAAAGTCTGCTCCAAGATCTTCTGACACTCATTGTCCTCCTCACCCCCTGCAGGCTCAGCAGGCTGACCTGCCATGCATTGCTCCATGAGCTCGTCCTCTGCCATCTCATCCTCGCCCGCTGTGATGGTATCCGAGCTCTCGCACCACTTCTTGTAGGTCTCTTCAATCCACGATTCTGTGTAGCCACTGCAAAATGCAGCGAGGGCAAGTGCCGCTCGGTATCCCCTCTCGCAGCTTACCTTGAACCTGAGGACGAACAAAGATCGGGATAAGCGCCCACAACTACAACACTGAAAATGCCAAACGAAACCATTTTTTCAACAACTAAAAAGATCTAAAAAGCGAATTGCTCTACTAAATGAGTTCATTCTTCCAAGCACTACAAAATGCATAAAAATGGTGTCAGTGTAATCAAAACTTCTAGCAACTCTGCATTGGTCAAAGGCTTCTCACCAGTCACCTTGGGGGCGCTCTCCTGACTCAAGAGCTTTCCATTTCGCAAGGAAACTCTGGCGGCTGCCTGCCAAAAGGCTCTCGCCGATAATTGGCTGTTGGCGCTCTGTCTTCGGCAGAAGCTGAAGTGTTCCTCAATTGGCAACTCTGAAAGGCGCACCTGGCCAAATTGCCAGGGGTTGAAATGCACATCTTTTGTCACGGCGACAAGAATGCCGCTCAGGCACGCAGCCTGTAAGTTCCCAGTCGTTTGGGATGCCATAAATGTGCTCCCAGTGGGGGCGCCAAGTTTCTTGCCGAGGATTTCCGCCAGCATGCGCATCAAGTCAAGACCAACAAAGCCGCTTACCCCAATTTCGCACCGGCTGGCCAGTGGAAGATCTCGATGTAGAAGAGGAACCAAATTCATCCCCACAAACAAATTGTGCAGAAAGGCACCCTTCAAGCTCCAAGGAATGCGCATGTCTTCCAGGGGCCCGTCCTGGGAATGATGCGGAGATGTCTGAAAGTGCCCACGTGTCTACAAAATGTTGGGCTTCCATGAAGTCACTACAAGATGGTAGAAGAATGTAGAAGAAATCCATATTTCTGTGGAAGAAAATAGGTTCAACAAAAACATTAGAATAAATTAGAGCTCTATACCAAAGGAGCCAAATATACGAAGCATGTGCAAGAAACATCTTCCACAACAAAATACCACGGATTCGAGAACATAGCATTGAGCTTATCGCTCATGGGGCATTCTCTTGCAAGCACTGCTGGTGGCATGTTATGTTCTCGGCAACCTGTCATGTCGCACCAAAACTTGCCATAGTACAACGTCCTGATCCACGAACTTGCTTGACCAGCACAGTTTTTGTTGCTGTGACCTCTGTCAGATTCATTGTGGGAACCCAAACTCAAATGCTTTAAGATGTGAAATTACGAAAAGCCACTCTGACTACAAAATGGCGAGCACATGTTCAATTCCTACAAAAAGCATTGAGTCTAACATAAAACAACATATATACACAAGTTGTGTTGGGTGGACCCAAATGGAAAATTAGCAGCACAAACGCCTGACGAGGGGCAAATTCCACATAGGCCCCAAACAACTTCGTTCTTGTACTTCGCAATGGAGATGGGAAAGCGCGGCAGCCCATGCTCAGGAACTGGCTCATACACCAAATCCCCAAAGAACTCGATGTCAGAAAAATCTTCCCGGCATAGTCCATCAAACTGGCCATGCAAGCAGCGACGCACATACATATGTGAGCCATGTGCATCAAACAAAAGGCCTTTCACAGTGCCATTGTTTTGCGCCATGATCTTCCCAATCGTTCTCAGCATGTAGTAGCACCCTCGATGGGACGCGCCTGAGCCGCTGAAATTGTGCTGCACTGGGAGTGAAGCAATTGGGATGGGAAGTTTTCGGCGAAGACTGGGATCCCAGACAATGACTTCCAGCATGGTCGAAGCTTTCAAGACCTTCTTCATGTCGATCGGGTTGTCTAGGCTCAAGAAAGAATTCTCCATTTGGTCGGGAAACCACATTCCGCCAACCATTCCCCTTTGGGAATGGAGTTGTAGCTGTGACAACGTCGTGGTTAGATACGTGCAATCGAAAGCCATCATGAAACGGCCTGGGGCGCCGGCGCCAAAAAATGAGAATCTGTTTACATGCTTACATAGGCTCACTAAAAATAGGTTGCACAGGTTAGATACTCTACAAGTTCGTATTCTTGGTCCCAACAAATTGCAACTGTGCAGATCAACCTTGAGAAACACACAAAAATATCCAAACGAGCCAAGACTCCTCGAGGAGCTTCGGGAGCCTTTGGGTATCTTTGATCAATCAGCATGAAGTTTTCCTTCAAAACGTTCTCAAAGTTCAATGCCAGGGCTGCCATGGGCAAAGAATGCTGGGGCAGCATATCTAAAGATATGCGGCAATGGGATGCAGCAATGCCGAACTCCCGTGCAAGGGACAAGTTGGCAGCATGTAAGCTGAGCGTCAGCCCTGCATCAGCTATTAATGCAGCCTCCCTATCTGTCTCCAAAGACCTGCGTCCCTGTAAGCTGGTTATGCCACGCTTCTTCTTCTCAACCAGTCTCCGTGCTTGCAATGCAAGTCCTGGAACATGGGCCATTCTCATCGATTTTTTTTGTTGCAGGAACATATATGAAAACATAGACTAACAATGAAATACAATGAAATTGTATGAAATTGTATGATATCAGCTGATCTTGCGGGTTCTTTGAAAAATCATGCCTACAAAATGGAGAGCTCAAGTTCTAACTCTATAGAAGCATAATCACAAGAACACACAATCAGTCCTTGGACCAGAGGATGCTGATCCAGCTCACCAGCCAATGCCGAGCAGGCAATGCGCATGTTGGCAACATCCTGCTCGGAAGCTTCCGAGCCCGTCAAGATGGACATGTAGCGCCCCATGACCCCTACCATCTGTTCAGGAACTGATGTGGTGCTGATTGAGATAGCAGGCTTCACCACCACGTCAATAAAGCGCTGGAGCTCAGGGGTGGCATTGCCGTCGCAGAGGAAGGATGCTCGCACCCACTGCTGCTGATTTGGCACCCGCTGCTTGAGGATTTCTGTGAACCTCTTGTCACCGCTCTTGTAGATCTCGGTCTGATACACCTGGTTCTTGAGTTCTTCCGCCTCCTTTTCCCCCTGAAAGAGTCTAGCAGAAAGTAGTTGAGCAACATGGTACTTTCTTGCAAACCGCTTCGCATTCCTGGCCACCTCAGGGATGCGTCTGAGAAAATGTTAGCTACTACAAAATGAGGTGCTCAGCCAAACAGCTTACAAAATGATGGGAACAGCATGAACAGCATTTAAGACCCCTATATTAAATTTACATGATTTTACAATAAGCCTATAGAAAGATGTTCCTGACAGATATATCACGATGTCATGTAAAAAATGAAATAGGGAAGGATGGGAAAAGAGAAAAATATGATAAAAGGATCCGAGCAACTCCATGAGATGTTCCAAGCTCAAGGCATTTTGCACAGGTCTGGAAGTCCATGTGGCTCTTCTCAACCGTTCCCAGACAATGATAGGACTTGACAAACCAGGCATCTTTGTTCTTGTCCAGGTGGTACGAATGCTTGGCTGACCCCTCAAAGTTCGAGTGAACCGCCCAGAGCCTGAATTCCTCTCTGAATCGGTAAAGATGGCATGCCCTTTCTTCGTCGTTGACGCAAAGGCCTTGGCAATCGACATGTTCCACCTGGATATGGCCAGCCTGCAGCTTCGCCAAAGCCCTTTGGTGCTTCATACTGTCACAATGCTGAGCCACAAAGTGCCTTGCACAGTCAACCGTCCACCTGCTCAATTCCAAGACTTGCCCCGTTGGCCACGTCGGAGAAGTGCACACCAGGCACTGCAAAGGACACTTTCTGCCAAACGAGCCAGCTGGAAGCGGCTTGAAAGTTCCTTCCAGTTGCTGCAAGTATGTCATGCACACAGTCCTGGCATCAATAAGTTCGTCCTCGCTGTCACCTTGGCATTCACATTTCTCCGCCTTCGCATCATTCACCGCGGCTTCTGGTTGCACATCAGCTCCCTTCTTTGGAGGAGGCACGAGTTTGCTGGAATGACCGGCCCATGTCCCTTGAAGCCATTCAGTGATGACCCTGTCCATCTGAACCTCGTCAAACTTGCAGGCTTCGAGCATCTGAGCGCAAATCGTGCACTCCAGCTTTGCCTCTGGATCAAGGAGTTTCACCTTCAAGCTCCTGAAGCCACCATTCTTGCAGTTGGTGATCTTCTTCATTGGTGCATGCCTGAAAAGGTCAATGTTGCAAAAGCAGAGAGGTGTGACTACAAACAAAAGGTCGCAGGGGCAGCCTCTACAAAAAGTCATTGAGAATCTCTCCATGCTATTTTCCTCTTTTATTTTGGATTTTACATTTCAGTCCAGACCATAAGTACTTGAGGGGATCCTCCTTCAACATCCCCAGCCTATGATGCTCACGTTGGTAAAGAGGCCAATCCAGTCCAATCGTGGTAAAGTAAGCTCCCACAGCCTGAATCTTCTTCTCACTCACGGATTTGGTCTTGGACTTGCAACTTCTCCTATGACGTGCTCGTCGAAGTCTTCCAGGATTCTCCTGTATGCATCTGCATGCCAGACTGGTTCATGCGACTTCCATTCAAAAAAGCAACTGGGCGACCGGCGACCACTACAAAAAGCAAATAACAGGGCTTCCCTCTACAAACATATGTCCACAAGAGGCTCCAACTGAATGGAAAAACAACTTTCCAACAATTTTCACTTTCCAACCATTTTCAGGGTATGTATGTCTATATATGCAATAATATGTATCCCTTCTATTTTGGAACAGACCACTTGTCCTTCTCATCATCTGAATCAATCTTGAAGGAATCATCAGGGCCGAGGTCTGCACCAAATGTGAAAGAATCCTCAGGGTCGCGGTCTGCAGCATCAGAGGCTGGGGCATCCTTCCTCTTGGCAGGCAAGAGTGATGTCTCTGTGCTTGGTGGCTTTCCAAAGGATGCCGCTCGAGAAGAAGCCACACGTTTTGGAAGGGTACCTGGCTTCTCGGGGGTCATTTCATCTGTCAGTTCACCTGGTGGCCGCTTATTTGATGCACGTGGCGGTGTTGAGGGACCGGAGGCCGAACCACCAACAAGAGCTTGCAATTGCACTTTGCACGCCTCCAAGATGTTCTTGGGAAGCTCATCCTGCATCCCTAAGGACAAGAACAGCTTCTGGCACAACACCTCATCGGACTTGCGCTCCCATAGTGTGGCCAATGCCTGAGATGGGATAGCATCATGCAATACTTTTCCGTGAGAAAATGTAATGACTCTATAAGTTCAAGGTACCAAATCCGACGTCTACAAGTAGCTGGCCGTAGACGACCTGCTTTATATTTCGAAACAACTCCTCCAATTCAACAACAATGACTCACAGTGAATCTATATAAATTGTCTTCCGATCGCTTTGACACCCACAGGCCTTGCGCATCTGTGCGATCTCCTTCTCACCGGGCCCCTTTTTGAGAGAGCCAGGACCCAATCTGAGGCAAGCCATACTCCACAACAGACAATTTCCATCTCCAGGAACATCAACTGGAAAGTAGCCGTCACTGATCAAAGCCTGGTAGAAGAGATTCTTCTGCTCGAGGAACTCAAGCCGCATCACCATGGACTCATGAAGTGCCTCATCCTCAGAGTCCTCACTCCAGGCCTCAAGCTTCTTCTTGACTTTTGTGAGCTTGCCCTTCATCTTGGTCATGGTCGCTGACGTGACCTTCTCCCACTCATCGCCAATTTGCTCTTTGTGCAATAAAGGCATCGCATGATTCAACGAGAAAAATGACCCCCGAGCAAAGGTGGAACTGGTGAAAGAGACCACCCATGTCTTGGAAGAATGAGATCCATCAACAAACTCAGAAGTGTCACCAGTGACGTTCTGCAGCCTCTGATTCAGCGAAATTGGGCCGGGCTGGCCCCAGGTTTTTTCCACCCAGTGGTGCGTCAGAACAGCCACCTCCTCTTGACGTGCAAAAAGTGCCAAATCCCCAAGGCCCAGGTAGACACCATCTTTGCGAATGTGCTTGGCATACTGGGCAATCATCTGCTTCACCAAGGGGTGTGGCAGTGGCAAATCGGAGAACGATAAAGCAGGTTGCTCAGCGCCAGAAGAACCAGCAGCAGGTGGCGGCATCGGCGTTTTTTCCTGAGTAGGAGGCCGACACATTACCCCACTACAAAGTGCTGGACCCAGGTTGATTCTCTACACAAAAGGTCCATGGGTGCTTTCTTCCAATTTCCAGGGGTAGTAACAGCGGAATAAACATAGCAAAACCATGAAAAACCATGGTTTCTGAAGCTTTTTTTTTTTATACAAAAACTAATTGTAGAGACATCATTCTGTGCACTTTTGGTGCCAAATCTGGACCAAGGGATTTCAGAGCTTTTGCAACCCAGCAAAAACATGCTTTTCGGGGTCACCGGCCGGTTCATCCCCAAATAGCATCGAATAGCTGTGCTATTTTGTGATCATTTTCAACTTTACTCATTGATACTCATTGTATGTCATGATTGTGAATGTCTTAAAACCATCCTAAAGAAACTTATCGTCTTTCACTCCTGTTATCCCCAGATAAGATCGAAATAATTAAAAGGGTATTGATTTTCGTTTATGATTCTTGTCCTTTCTTGTCCTTTTGGTGGTCTTTGGGATGATTTCCAGGTGAATTTGTCTGTGGCAAGTGGCTGCAGGACCCTTCATCGCAGCATCAGGTTGCTCAGCGCCAGAAGAACCAGCAGCAGGTGGCGGCATCGACGTTTTTTCCTGAGTAGGAGGCCGACACATTACCCCACTACAAAGTGCTGGACCCAGGTTGATCCTCTACACAAAAGGTCCATGGGTGCTTTCTTCCAATCCCAAAGGGTACTAACAGCGGAATAAACATAGCAAAACCATGAAAAACCATGGTTTCTGAAGCATTTTTTTTTGATACAAAAACTAATTGTAGAGACATCATTCTGTGCACTTTTGGTGCCAAATCTGGACCAAGGGATTTCAGAGCCTTTGCAACCCACCAAAAAGAAGCTTTTCGGGGTCACCGGCACGTTCATCCCCAAATAGCATCGAATAGCTGTGCTATTTTGTGATCATTTTCAACTTTACTCATTGTATGTCATGATTATGAATGTCTTAAAACCCTCCTAAAGAAACTTATCGTCTTTCACTCCTGTTATCACCAGATAAGATCGAAATAATTAAAATGGTATTGATTTTCGTTTATGATTCTTGTCCTTTCTTGTCTTTTGGTGGTCTTTGGGATGATTTCTAGGTGAATTTGTCTGTGGCAAGTGGCTGCAGGACCCTTCATCGCAGCATCAGGTTGCTCAGCGCCAGAAGAACCAGCAGCAGGTGGCGGCATCGGCGTTTTTTCCTGAGTGGGAGGCCGACACATTACCCCACTACAAAGTGCTGGACCCAGGTTGATCCTCTACACAAAAGGTCCATGGGTGCTTTCTTCCAATCCCAAAGGGTACTAACAGCGGAATAAACATAGCAAAACCATGAAAAACCATGGTTTCTGAAGCATTTTTTTTTGATACAAAAACTAATTGTAGAGACATCATTCTGTGCACTTTTGGTGCCAAATCTGGACCAAGGGATTTCAGAGCCTTTGCAACCCACCAAAAAGAAGCTTTTCGGGGTCACCGGCACGTTCATCCCCAAATAGCATCGAATAGCTGTGCTATTTTGTGATCATTTTCAACTTTACTCATTGATACTCATTGTATGTCATGATTGTGAATGTCTTAAAACCATCCTAAAGAAACTTATCGTCTTTCACTCCTGTTATCCCCAGATAAGATCGAAATAATTAAAAGGGTATTGATTTTCGTTTATGATTCTTGTCCTTTCTTGTCCTTTTGGTGGTCTTTGGGATGATTTCCAGGTGAATTTGTCTGTGGCAAGTGGCTGCAGGACCCTTCATCGCAGCATCAGGTTGCTCAGCGCCAGAAGAACCAGCAGCAGGTGGCGGCATCGACGTTTTTTCCTGAGTAGGAGGCCGACACATTACCCCACTACAAAGTGCTGGACCCAGGTTGATCCTCTACACAAAAGGTCCATGGGTGCTTTCTTCCAATCCCAAAGGGTACTAACAGCGGAATAAACATAGCAAAACCATGAAAAACCATGGTTTCTGAAGCATTTTTTTTGATACAAAAACTAATTGTAGAGACATCATTCTGTGCACTTTTGGTGCCAAATCTGGACCAAGGGATTTCAGAGCCTTTGCAACCCACCAAAAAGAAGCTTTTTGGGGTCACCGGCACGTTCATCCCCAAATAGCATCGAATAGCTGTGCTATTTTGTGATCATTTTCAACTTTACTCATTGTATGTCATGATTATGAATGTCTTAAAACCCTCCTAAAGAAACTTATCGTCTTTCACTCCTGTTATCACCAGATAAGATCGAAATAATTAAAATGGTATTGATTTTCGTTTATGATTCTTGTCCTTTCTTGTCTTTTGGTGGTCTTTGGGATGATTTCTAGGTGAATTTGTCTGTGGCAAGTGGCTGCAGGACCCTTCATCGCAGCATCAGGTTGCTCAGCGCCAGAAGGACCATCAGCAGGTGGCGGCATCGGCGGTTTTTCCTGAGTGGGAGGCCGACACATTACCCCACTACAAAGTGCTGGACCCAGGTTGATCCTCTACACAAAAGGTCCATGGGTGCTTTCTTCCAATCCCAAAGGGTACTAACAGCGGAATAAACATAGCAAAACCATGAAAAACCATGGTTTCTGAAGCATTTTTTTTGATACAAAAACTAATTGTAGAGACATCATTCTGCGCACTTTTGGTGCCAAATCTGGACCAAGGGATTTCAGAGCCTTTGCAACCCACCAAAAAGAAGCTTTTTGGGGTCACCGGCACGTTCATCCCCAAATAGCATCGAATAGCTGTGCTATTTTGTGATCATTTTCAACTTTACTCATTGTATGTCATGATTATGAATGTCTTAAAACCATCCTAAAGAAACTTATCGTCTTTCACTCCTGTTATCACCAGATAAGATCGAAATAATTAAAATGGTATTGATTTTTGTTTATGAATCTTGTCCTTTCTTGTCTTTTGGTGGTCTTTGGGATGATTTCTAGGTGAATTTGTCTATGGCAAGTGACTGCAGGACCCTTCATCGCAGCATCAGGTTGCTCAGCGCCAGAAGAACCAGCAGCAGGTGGCGGCATCGACGTTTTTTCCTGAGTGGGAGGCCGACACATTACCCACTACAAAGTGATGGACCCAGGTTGATTCTCTACACAAAAGGTCCATGGGTGCTTTCTTCCAATTTCCAGGGGTAGTAACAGCGGAATAAACATAGCAAAACCATGAAAAAACCATGGTTTCTGAAGCAATTTTTTTTGATACAAAAACTAATTGTAGAGACATCATTCTGTGCACTTTTGGTGCCAAATCTGGACCAAGGGATTTCAGAGCTTTTGCAACCCAGGCTTTTCGGGGTCACCGGCCGTTCATCCCCAAATAGCATCGAATAGCTGTGCTATTTTGTGATCATTTTCAACTTTACTCATTGATACTCATTGTATGTCATGATTGTGAATGTCTTAAAACCATCCTAAAGAAACTTATCGTCTTTCACTCCTGTTATCCCCAGATAAGATCGACATAATTAAAAGTCATTGTTTATAATTGTATTGATGTTCGTTTATGATTCTTGTTCTTTCTTGTCTTTTGGTGATCCTTGGGATGATTTCTAGGTGAATTTGTCTATGGCAAGTGGCTGCAGGACCCTTCATCGCAGCATCAGGTTGCTCAGCGCCAGAAAGACCATCAGCAGGTGGCGGCATCGGCGGTTTTTCCTGAGTGGGAGGCCGACACATTACCCCCACTACAAAGTGCTGGACCCAGGTTGATTCTCTACACAAAAGGTCCATGGGTGCTTTCTTCCAATCCCAAAGGGTAGTAACAGCGGGATAAACATTGCAAAACCATGAAAAACCATGGTTTCTGAAGCATTTTTTTTTGATACAAAAACTCGTTGTAGAGACATCGTTCTGTGCACTTTTGGTGTCAAATCTGGACCAAGGGATTTCAGAGCTTTTGCAACCCACCAAAAAGAAGCTTTTCGGGGTCACCGGCCGGTTCATCCCCAAATAGCATCGAATAGCTGTGCTATTTTGTGATCATTTTCAACTTTACACATTGATACTCATTGTATGTCATGATTGTGAATGTCTTAAAACCCTCCTAAAGAAACTTATCGTCTTTCACTCCTGTTATCCCCAGATAAGATCGAAATAATTAAAAGTCATTGTTTATAATTGTATTGATTTTCGTTTATGAATCTGGTTTCTTTCTTGTCTTTTGGTGGTCTTTGGGATGATTTCTAGGTGAATTTGTCTATGGCAAGTGGCTGCAGGACCCTTCATCGCAGCATCAGGTTGCTCAGCGCCAGAAGGACCATCAGCAGGTGGCGGCATCGACGTTTTTTCCTGAGTGGGAGGCCGACACATTACCCCACTACAAAGTGCTGGACCCAGGTTGATTCTCTACACAAAAGGTCCATGGGTGCTTTCTTCCAATTTCCAGGGGTAGTAACAGCGGAATAAACATAGCAAAACCATGAAAAACTATGGTTTCTGAAGCATTTTTTTTGATACAAAAACTAATTGTAGAGACATCATTCTGTGCACTTTTGGTGCCAAATCTGGACCAAGGGATTTCAGAGCTTTTGCAACCCAGCAAAAACATGCTTTTCGGGGTCACCGGCCGGTTCATCCCCAAATAGCATCGAATAGCTGTGCTATTTTGTGATCATTTTCAACTTTACTCATTGATACTCATTGTATGTCATGATTGTGAATGTCTTAAAACCCATCCTAAAGAAACTTATCGTCTTTCACTCCTGTTATCCCCAGATAAGATCGAAATAATTAAAAGTAATTGTTTGTAATTGTACTGATGTTCGTTTATGAATCTTGTTCTTTCTTGTCTTTTGGTGGTCTTTGGGATGATTTCTAGGTGAATTTGTCTATGGCAAGTGGCTGCAGGACCCTTCATCGCAGCATCAGGTTGCTCAGTGTCAGAAGGACCATCAGCAGGTGGCGGCATCGGCGGTTTTTCCTGAGTGGGAGGCCGACACATTACCCCACTACAAAGTGCTGGACCCAGGTTGATTCTCTACACAAAAGGTCCATGGGTGCTTTCTTCCAATCCCAAAGGGTACTAACAGCGGAATAAACATAGCAAAACCATGAAAAACCATGGTTTCTGAAGCATTTTTTTTTGATACAAAAACTAATTGTAGAGACATCATTCTGTGCACTTTTGGTGCCAAATCTGGACCAAGGGATTTCAGAGCTTTTGCAACCCAGCAAAAACATGCTTTTCGGGGTCACCGGCACGTTCATCCCCAAATAGCATCGAATAGCTGTGCTATTTTGTGATCATTTTCAACTTTACTCATTGATACTCATTGTATGTCATGATTGTGAATGTCTTAAAACCCTCCTAAAGAAACTTATCGTCTTTCACTCCTGTTATCCCCAGATAAGATCGAAATAATATAACAATATATAATAATTGTATTAAAGTTGGAAGGCAAGTAGCTCCCTCTTCAGCCACATCCCATCCACACATTGGCTCTTCGTGGTCTGGAAGGCTTCCCATGAGATCATCAAATTTACCCATAAAGTTCTCCAAATCCTGCATCACCAGATCAGGTGCCTCGAATGTGGCTGTGGTTCTCAAGCTCTGGCTTTGTTGGGCTGTTGCAACTGATGGATATTGCAACTGACTGCATCTGAATTTCGCAGGAAAAATATGGACAAATACTTTCTGAAGAGATATACCTTTAGAATCCTTTAGAAAGACATAAAAAACAAACAAACTTCAGAGTTCGAGACCAGCCTCTTCCAGCCTACGTGACAATACCCCACTTCTGTAGCAAGCAACACGCTCAAGCATGGAAGGTTGAGTGTCTGCTTGGCGTTGATCAGGCTGCTCCAGGGCACTCACCTTGGTAGAAGGAAGAAAGGCCGTCGCTAATGAATTGAACATTTTATCGTACAATAAGAACTTGAGGCAATGTGGCCTCTTTACAAATCCTTACAAAATGAAGGACCCAACCACCTTGGCTACAAATTGTTTTTTAAATCTTGCCAAACTTCTCCCATCACCATCATCACCCGAATCTTCCCAAACCTCTTGAAGCCCAAGTAGCAGGTGCTGCATCAGCATGTCCATTTGCAGCGGCAGCTGGCCCATGTCCACCACCACCCTTGGAAACGGATGTGAATGGCAAGATGAAAGGCATAGAAATCGACTATCATGCCTCTACAAAAACCAGGGGCATGAGGGACCTCTACAAAATGATATGATGATGGGATCTAAAAGAGCAGAAAAACATCCAATCTCATCCTATCCTGCCCGCACTACAAAATTGAAGTTGTGATTACTTTCTACTACAATCATTGCAGCTGCGCTCCTCCCACCCATCACCATCATCACCCGAATCTTCCCAAACCTCTTGAAGCCCAAGTAGCAGGTACTGCATCAGCATTTCCATTTGCCATGGGCGCTTGGTCATCATTTCCATCACCACCCTTAGAAACAGATGTGAGTGGCAAGATGAAAGGCATGGAAATCGACTATCATGTCTCTACAAAAACCAGGGGCATGAGGGACCTCTACAAAATGATATGATGCAGGGATCTAAAAGAGCAGAAAAAAGAGCCAATCTCATCCTATCCTGCCCGCACTACAAAATTGAAGTTGTGACTACAATATACTACAATCATTGCAGCTGCGCTCCTCCTACCCATCACCATCATCACCCGAATCTTCCCAAACCTCTTGAAGCCCAAGTAGCAGGTGCTGCATCAGCATGTCCATTTGCAGCGGCAGCTGGCCCATGTCCACCACCACCCTTGGAAACGGATGTGAATGGCAAGATGAAAGGCATAGAAATCGACTATCATGCCTCTACAAAAACCAGGGGCATGAGGGACCTCTACAAAATGATATGATGATGGGATCTAAAAGAGCAGAAAAACATCCAATCTCATCCTATCCTGCCCGCACTACAAAATTGAAGTTGTGATTACTTTCTACTACAATCATTGCAGCTGCGCTCCTCCTACCCATCACCATCATCACCCGAATCTTCCCAAACCTCTTGAAGCCCAAGTAGCAGGTACTGCACCAGCATTTCCATCTGCAATGGGCGCTGGACCGGCATGTCCACCACCAATCTTAGAAACAGATGTGAATGGCAAGATGCAAGGAATGGAAATCGGCTATAAATGCTCTACAAAAACTAGGGGCTCTCGAGACCTCTACAAAATCTTGCCTATGTAGTCCTCCAACACCTTTTTTCAAAAAAAAACGTGGTTTCAGCTTTCAATGCCAAGACACACCATAGTGATTCAGCCATTCCTCAAAAGTGAGTACCTCAGATGTCATCAGCGTGAACCCATGGATGGATTTCTTTGTCTTGCTTGTATATACCCTCCGGATTTTGTACATGGATGTACATGGTGTTAATCAACAACAAACAACTAGGGGTAAGATCATACAACCATCCACTGCGCAGCAATTTTCTCATTCCGTCATCTGTCACAGGAAAGCAAGCTGTGACATTAACTTACTCTGCACCTTGGTGCGCTCAAAGGACTTGTCAGAATAAGGCACGTCTCATTGAGGCGTGCCGCAGTCACTCTGGGAACTGATCACAACCATTTCATGGTCTGATCCTTCAGGCTCTTGATTGGCCTGGCAAGCCGTTGATGGCTCCAAACTTGGCTGAGAAGTCTGGGAACAGGCCACCACCATTTCATGGTCTGATCCTTCAGGCTCTTGATTGGCCTGACAAATTGATGGCGCCAAACTTGACTGAGAAGATTCAATTTCGATGACATCTCTACGCTCACGATTGGTCCAGCTTTCCAAGAGTGCCCGGCAGAAGGCCCACGTAAAGACAGCACTGGATGCCAGGTCCTTCCCTCCATTCCATGAGGTACTCCCATCAGCTTTGTATGTGCGTGTATGATACACCTGGGGACAAGGGAGTCGTTGGACAAGAAAAGTGACATTTTGTAGTGGTTTTGACCGGGCCAACATTTTGTAATGATATTGGGACCCCATTATGTTTTATAAAGGTGCTCGTTGGGATTCATTGGATGACCCGGGGGCTATCAAAATGTGATTTAGTAGTGGTTTTGATCAGGCAATACATTTTGTAAAGATCATGGGACACCACTCTGTTTTTTCATATGGAAAAATCTAAAAGTTCATCCGATCAATCAGAACACAGAGGTACTTTCTTCACACCACGTGCACGCTGGCGACGCTGGAAGCGATGCTTCACCATCAATCTGTCTTTTTTGCTCATCACTTTGCGCATTGAAGAAATCGAACTGACAGGGAATGAAAGGAAGATACTGGGTAGGGCTGGAGGTGTAGGTATGCAACTTACATATACTTATATCAATGTATGACCAGACAAAACAATGGTAATTGGAAGCAGGTATTGAACCAATCTTGATTCCATAACCTCCAATCTTGGACAAAAATCCAATCTCGATGCCTGAGGTTTGAACGCAGGTGAGTACATTTGTGAAGGTCGTGTCCGTACAGGCCCATCCATGTGACGGTGCAGAGCCTCGATTTCCACATGTGTAGAGGCTGATGGGTTCACTATTTGATACTATTTGTAGATTGCCTTCTTGGGTACATCAATGTATAGAGCTGACATTCTATATTGTTTTTCCAACTTCTATGAAAATTGAAATTGCGCATGTGATAAATTCATTTTGTAGCTCCCAAAGTCCTTATTGTATACATCTGTGGTCTTTACAAATGAATACCCATGATTTCTTATCTTATTCACACTGTTTTTGGTTTGATTCTACAAGTTCACCAGCCAGGCAACAGCTGGAGGCCAGCGATGAGTGTGAGCATAAAATCCTGCTTAAAAGCCCACGACCCAGACGGCTGTTCTATGACAACAAAGAGGTCTGGTCGCATGTCTGTGATCATGCCCACCGCCACAGCCTTAGAGCCAGGCTTGGAGCGGATATGAAGAGATTTTTTTTCGAATTTACGTAATGGGTGTCACAGGGTGTGTCTCTACAAAATGATGAACTAGTATGTAAGAATCAAGGTACGAAGCTCTTCCAAATTCGCTGCGCTAAACGCACTTTAAAATTGGATTGATCGCCTGCGGGATTATCCCTTGTCCTGCGATGGATTGAACTGCACGCCGGTCCAAATAGGGAATATGGCGGAGCACAGATCAATATTCCCTCTTGCTTCAACCTGAAATGGATGAAACTCGTCCAAACAAAAATGCCTCTAAGATCCTTAAGATCCTTTAAGATCCATTAAATCAGTAACCTGTCATAACCAAAAAATGGGAAACAATGCAAAATGGGAGAGCTGTCTGACTGACATTCAAAAGGAGTGGCTTAAGGCCCATCTTCACCAATGCTTTGAATCCGGTCTCTGAGGTCAAATCGTGATCTGGACTCAACTTAATATCAAACCCAATGGCTTGAAAACCAGCCCTCAACCACGTATCTTTGACTCTGCCGCTGGCTCCAAATGCGTCAATGCAGTCATAGGCCTGTTGGACGCAGTCAATCGTTTCATGCACCCAATGCATGAGGTCTTGCTGATGATCTTCTGGTTTGAACCACCTTGGTCCACATTTTGTAGAGAAGTCTTGCTGGGAACATGTGTTTGTAAGGATATAGCCTGAGTATATAAATGTATGTACATGTATGTAAATGTGAACAACTGCTGATGGTCTACTAACAATATGGAAACAAGCCCAGAGATTGCAATGATTTAGAAAAACAAGGGTTGAAATTCACTTGCAAACCCGGTCACTGATGCTCTGGGGTGACGCAGGTGGTGTCATCTTTCAACTTGGGCAGCGCTCCCAAGGCTGAGCACCATGTTGCGCTCAGCACCGCCAACGCCAAGGAGAAAGCTCGCATCATGGCAGCAAGAGATGACCAAACGTCTTCTTCTATATGAGCTAGTTGACCAAATGGCTTGAGATCCACCCATGTATGTCGTGTGACAATATGCATCAATATGCAACTTTTCTGCAACCCTTCAACCACTTTTTCGGCATACGTATGCCGACGCTTACAACCAGTCTATAGTGATCTATCATACAAAAACAAACCAGGTTTCAATAGGCTTAAATGATCTTAAATGTCCACCTAATGTTGTAAAAACTGTTCTTGTCTCAAGACGAATCCCCTGCCTTCCCATGTCACAAGCCCTGCAATGCAAACTAGATACTACAGGCTCCACTCGCACGTGCTGGCTGATGGCAAGTGTGGTCACCCAAGTTCCTGTTGTCCTGACCAGCGCGCTAAACAGAGGTTTGTAGAGCCAGAGGGTCGTGACACCCTCTTTATAGACCATGGTATAAAAGGGGGTTAATGGATGAAACCCAGAAAAATCAACTCAAAATGGTTTACATCATCACATGGGCAAACGATCCAAAAGGATTCAAAAGGCCTCCAAATGATCCCAATCAGGTCCAATAGCTTAAACATGTCCGATGGATCCCGATGGTGGCTTTCCTGATTAGCCCCCCTGTGGATACCATTTTGTAATGGCAGGGCTGGCTGCAAACTGTTTGTAGTCCCAGGTGCCGGTTGAAGAACACATGGTGATAGGATTTGCGGCCTCCTTTGAAGACTCTCTCGCAGACAGAAACTCGGCTGCTTCACGCCAAAGCATCTGTGAAAAATGACAGAAAATCAATGAAAATGTTTTTAAATGCGCTCTGAGAATCTTAAAGGTGTGATTTTAGAATATCTCTGGTTGAGACTTTTGGACTCTTTTGCTCAATTTTCATTAGGCTTGATCTTTTTGAATATTTGAAATATATTTGGATATATTTGGTGTTTACTTATTGGACCACATTCCACACTGAATCCGTACCAAGAAACTCCACACATGCCTTTTGCAATCCCAGTAGGGATCTGGGACTGGCATCCCACATCCGTGAATGACACACACTGCTGGACACCTAGGTGGTGCCGCCATGTCACAACAGTGTGCCCAAAAAAACTCTTCAGAGTGCACAGCTCGAGCCAAGCAAAATGGCTGCCGGGCCAACGTTTACATATTCAAAAAAAATCCTCGATGGAATATAGGGTGAGCAGCTGTGTACCAGTTTTGTAGGTATGAAATATGGGGTCACGGGTCCCCTAGCTACAAAAAGGTATGCCCAACCCAAAAAGCAGCTCTACAAAATGATGCTGCAGGTACCCCACACATACCCAGGTGGAGCCTACAAAAAGCCACTCGCATTTTTGTTATGGATGTTGAAAACGGATGCAAAAGCGACTAAGATAAGCCCAAGTCTTTTTGTAGTCTCACCCAGTTTGTTTTCGAATCATATATATATACATACATACATAACTCCAAGGACAAAGTCCTGGACTATATATATATATATACATATGTACCTCCAAGGACAAAGTCCTGGTATATATATATATATAACTCCAAGGACAAAGTCCTGGACTACATATGTTTCCTATTTAAAAAAAAAAACGTCCCTGTTCAGGACACTGCCTGTTCGGCAGACTAGTTACTGTTTCGTCATGGTCCTGGCTATAGTATTTATTTTCAAGGACCACATCCTAGTATACATCTGTAGCAATTTACATATATATATATGTGTTTTTTTAATACTTATATATATTTATATATATCTGTAGTATTAACTACTTATATATCTGGGTTTTATTTCGTGTCGAGCACCTAAAGTACCAAAGTCTGCCCATCCAATTACTGCGCGCTACAAAATGATGAGGCCGCCTCACTTCACTACAAAATGCATGCTGTGATCAACTATTGCATGAAGTTCCAACGACCCTCACGTAAGCATGGTATCTAATATGCGTGTCAATTAGTGTGACATCGTGTCATCTAGAGTCAATTAGTGGTGTCAATTCGTATCGATTAGCTTTATTTAGTGGCAAGTAGTGCAATTAGTGACATTTAGTGTCCAATTAGTGTCAATGAATGTTATTTAGTGTTCATTAGGGTCAATTAGGATCACTATGGATCATTTAATTGTGTGTAATAAAAAACAAAAAGCAACCAAAAAACAACAAATGAAGAGTTCCCACAAAACCTTGCCAAGAGCTGCAATTTGTGTTTTTTACTAGGGTAGGTGCGTTATTTTAGGGAACTAAGCTACGCATATTTGTATAACTCCAAAGACACGGTGTATATATATATATATATACACAACTCCAAGGACAGAGTCCTGGACTATATATATATATACATACATATGTAGCTCCAAGGACAAAGTCCTGGTCTATATATATATATATATATATGATTCTATATGAATATACATAACTCCAAGGACAAAGTCCTGGACTATATACGCATAAGTAACTCCAAGGACAAGGTCCTGGTCTATATATATATATATACATACATACATAACTCCAAGGACAAAGTCCTGGACTATATATATATATATACATATGTACCTCCAAGGACAAAGTCCTGGTATATATATATATATATAACTCCAAGGACAAAGTCCTGGACTACATATGTTTCCTATTTAAAAAAAACCGTCCCTGTTCAGGACACTGCCTGTTCGGCAGACTAGTTACTGTTTCGTCATGGTCCTGGCTATAGTATTTATTTTCAAGGACCACATCCTAGTATACATCTGTAGCAAATTACATATATATATACCTAGGAACCCAAATGAATGTTTTTTTTTGATCATACGGCCTCAACCATTTTTTTTGGTCATTACGGCTTACGGGTGTTTCCCAATTTGGGGGTTCAGCCATAATCACACACAATTGCTTCACTCCCCTTTTTCTGTGCTTTGGACCATCAGCTTCAAGCGGGCCCGTCATCTCGGCGAAGCTTCTCTTCGTCGGCTGCTGAGTGTCAGGGTTCGGGCTGTTGACCCACGCTTTGTTTGCCATCACAAGATACCTTTGAAGTACTCTCAATCCAATTGCCCTGGGGGAAATGCGTCGGCTGACGCGACAGCATCTCCCCACAAAGTCCTGAAATGAGACATCCCCAGGGAACGGAAAATACAACAGTGATGACACATACTAGGATAGGACCACATAACGACCAACATATCAAAATTCAAATAAATTCAAACTAGACTCCTCATCAGCCTGCACTGACTCCGCTAGGATGTTCAGTGTCCATTTGTTTTGGGCTCCAGATACCAAACGACGCCAGTGATGGTCCAACATGTGAAACTTAACATAGATCGGGAAGCGTGATTTTCGCTCAGTGAAGCACCTATAGGCAAGATTTGCATAGATACGTAACCACTTTCTTCCGTTGTTTCCAGCTGCAAGCGCTTCATTGGACGTCAGCCACAACCCAGACGAGTAACGAATTGAAAAAGTGTCGTTGGCCGCTTTGACAGCTTCAAGAATCATCAAAAAATACTCGTCCTCATTGAATTGATTAATCCTCCCTGTCAAGAACCATTCCACAAACCTGTGGTAGATATGCGTGTCAGCAAACTTTGACCAACCTCCTTCAGGTAAGACCTGGAAGCTTGTAAGGCCAATTCTCTCCGCAACAAATGGACCTGAATGAGGAAGGTTGCAACCCGGCCGTTTGGCCCACTGACGTAGGAGAACATCCAACTGGGAAATTTTGTCTTCCCTTGACCCCGGCAAAAGAAGCAAACATTCAGCCAGCACTGAAGCTATGAAAGTTTTACCTGCTCCTCCATGGTAGTTGTGCCAAACATCAGTCTTGAGATAGTCATGGGGACGATCGATACAATGAAACAATTGCAGCACTGAAGGTCGTGTAACCCAAGGATCAACTGTAGCAACCACAGACCATTGAGCATCTATGTTGAAATCTTCAAAAGGCCCCCCTGGCTTTGTGCCAGCCAAACACATCCAACAAACCCCAGGAGGAGATTTGTTTTCCTCTGACCTGTGCGCCCTTTGCCAATGCCTCGTCAGGTCTCCAACGGTCCTCAAAAACGGAAGATCCCCTTTCACACCTAAGCAAGCGATGTTCCATCTTTCCCCTGCGTAGGTAAACCCAATGTCTTGAAGTTTGAGGAGGTCATTGATCATCTTGTTGAGTACAGCCTGGAAATTCTCCTGAGTAAGGATAGGGGGCTGAGTGGGATTAAAATTAATGTCACAGGAAAGGACAACCAAAGGCAATCTAAGAGGATAGAAAATGAATAATATCATAGTCCCAGAATCTGGTTTCGCCTTGTAATGTTTCTTTGGCATTGCAACAAACAGCATTCGACTGTTGAAAGAGCTCCCTTGAAGGTTGATACCCATCTTGAGTTGACGAAGAGATCTAATTGGATGTCTTTTGAGGAAAGGTTTGCTGCCACGACCAATGGCCCCTTGTAGGCTCAATATCATGACACCCGATCGTTTGAATCCACGACCTTCATCACCATGAATGTAAACTGGAATTGTTCGTGATAGCGACAGCTTGTTTTCAGCAGCAGCTCGAAAGACTCCATAATCTGGCCATTCAAGGCTGTAACGTCGCCAAAACTCTAACAACATTGGTTGCACTTGTTCCATGGGTTGTTCCCCAAACAACTTGGACAAGTTGTTGGATTGAACCAAGTAGTCAATGGTG